TGTCTGGCTAAGTCTCTGATTTCTTTCCAGGAGTGCAATTCATGTCAGCTCTTGTTGAATTTTGATCTTGTCATGTGTGATGTACCGGTAGTTGTCGTTATATTGTAGGAAACAGTTCCTAGCCAAATAGTTTTGTGATCAGTACGCATTTTGTAACATCGTAGATCATTGTGTTACTGTAGATAAAATGCTGTACATCAAAATTACTCATAAATTATCATGTTTAGAGAATTGCTATTGTTTTTAGGTGTGACAGTCAGTTTTCCGATTTTGCTGTCACTCTTTTGTTTTTTTTCATTTCCTTTAAATTGACGAATCTGTAATAATTAATGACCTTGTTTGGTTTCATGAACATTGGGCCTTCACTGTTTGTGGTGACAGGTTGACATAATCAGAAGTTATGATTCCCAGTGAGAAACTTGTATATTGTATATATGTCTATGATTTGTATGCTTTGTAAGAACATGTTAAAACAGCGTTGTGTCGAACTGCTGCTAGTGTTGTGTTAGGTCTCTCTACACAGTCCCTGTACATCCCAGCCAGGGAAGGTAGCAATTCTGCAATGTTATTAGGAATTTGTTTTCATTAGATTTGTTGTAATTAACAAAGTCATTTTATATTCCCGGCAATCTGTTTGCATGTGGTAACTAAAATATTTGTGTTGTGGCCATAGGCCCATTTTAGACGTAAACGTAAATACGGTATTCGACGTAATAAGCGCCCCGCTCTAATAAGTGCCCACGGCGATATTTGCTAATATATTGGCTCGTGAACAATCCCAATTAGCACCCTTTCCGATTGATCAGTGTACACAATACTTATTTATTCGCGTATAATACGCACTCGTGTGATATATGCACCCTTAATTATGGGCAATTAAATTCTTGAAAAATATTTCTCTCGTATGTAAACATTTCAGGCTGTCAGCATAAACCACGAAATCTATCTTTCAACTCTGGTTTTTTTTCAACAAAAAATTTATATTTATTATAATGCTCATTTTTTCATGACCCCTCCCAAAACTGTGTATTATTTTTTTATGACCTTCCCCTACAGACTCATATTCTTTGGTGACCCTCCCCACTCTATAATAAATGGCCGGCCCCTTAGTGGTAACTTATGGAAATCGAGACTATGAACAAAAGGCCTTGAGAACTGAATTCTCTGAATTGTGTGACATCAACAGCTACTTGAAGTGTAGAGATATGTGGGTATGTGATATGATTCGTATTGTGATACAAAGGCAGTGATATCATACATATCTAGCTGTGTGAGGATCATTCTTTTTCGCTTTGCTTTCATTACAACAGAACAATATCCATGTTGTTAAAACACGTGCAAAGGTTTTATTTCAACCTGACTGAAGTCTAATTTCAAATTTTCTTTTCAGTGTATAAATCATTTCAAATGGACTCAAATTTGACAAACAAATAATGCAGTTCTTCACCGAATATAATCAAAATACATTGATGCAAAATAGGAAAATTACTCTCTCACGAGTAGTGCTGGGGTGATTTATCGAATAATCTGTTACAATTCATTCGGACAGTTCGATCATGTCTAGTCAAAACATAATTTTACCAATTTGAAAATATAAGTTATTATTCTTTCGTAATGTAATTTCAATAAACATAACGAGATGATGGCAGCAGTTGTAACCCACTTGCTGTCGTGAAATTGTGGTTTTTACTTGACATTTAGCGATTCAATTAGCTAGGCTGTGTTTCTTCATATCGGCCATATGAGCATCTCTTCCGGCCTTACTTACTTCAGAAATGTTGTGTAATGTAATGTTTTCATGATGAGACGTGAACAATTAAAAGTGATGATTGGTTGATGTGGGAGCTCCTATTATCAACATACACACAGAGCCATGACCAGCACTACTCATTGATCAAATACTTAATCAAGATAATCCCAGTCTTTGAGGAATTGTGGTAATATGTACCGGTAGTACAGTACCAATCATATCCATGTAGGAAAACATGTATTTCAGTTACCATGGACACCAGATTTAAAGTACAATGTCTGACACCTGTTCCTTGTCATAGAATCATTACTGAAAACAGAAGTTATTTTACAGAAATTAGTCATTTTTTATTTGTATGGCATTCCCACTAGGTTGTTTGGATATGATTGCTTCTACACAATCTGAAGTTATGCAAACATTTCCTAAAGCAATATGTGTCCTGGCCAGTAGCTGTTTCCGTTAACTTACATGTAACAGATAAATTACAAAGTGAATTTGAGCGTTACTCAGGTTGAAGTTTGACTATGGTAGACTCTGTGAACTGGTAGTAGAGAGATCAGCAGTGTTCATACATGTTTGTCAACAATAAACTTTGTATACAAGTTTGGAGGAGGAGTCTTGTTCATTTTGTTGAATTTGTGTTTGTTTCTTTGTTGTTTAAGGCCGCACTCAGCAATATTCCAGCCATATGACAGCGGTCTGTAAATAATCGAGTCTGGACCAGACAATCAAGTGATTGACATCATCAGCATCGATCTACACAATTGGAATATGATGACATGCAACAACTAAGACTGGTGGCCCAGTCGTCTAAGGCGCTGCAATTCACTGTGCAGAGTTGCATCCCTTGGGCACGCCAGAAAGCAATGATTGTTGGTTTGAATCCCGATTAGCCCAAATTTTGTTTCTTGGTTTGTCAGAACCATACCCGTGCTCATAGGTTTCACCGAAGTGGTGAACGTCTGAGATCTGCATCACTTCAGGCTTACCTCCCACATTAAGCTGACAAGCCGCAATATAACTGGAATACTGTTAAAAGCGGCGATAATCCAAACTCACTCACTCACTCAAACAAGACAGCGAGCCTGACCACCCGATCCCATTGGTCGCCTCTTATGACAAGCATAATCACCGTTTACAGCATCATTTTGTTGGAAGTGAATTCTTGTGCATGAGGCAAGACGAAGTACATCTTTCTTGTTTTACACATGTTCAATGACCCCAAATATGAGTACATGTAATATGTAATGGCCACCATGGCAGCCATGTTGAAAAAGCTTCTTGGGACATTTATTTTTAATATGTATTGAATTTGATATACATGTATAGTTTGTAGGTTGGCCTAAAATATATGTCCATTTTTTCACAGTATTATGAATTTTTACCTTGATTCGACCATGACACTTTTGCCATTTCCTATAAATTCCCTCAACCCTATAAGCATCTTCTGTGCAGCTACTGATGATGTTAAAATTTAGTATACAAGTTCCTTCTAAAGATCACATACTATTTTGTTTATATTATTGCAAATTTTATTAAAGTTATTTTGTAAAATATACTGAACAACAAAAGTTCCTGTGACATTGAATAAGATTTAATGCAAAGTTATGATTTTTACTAAATCTGAAATAACTCGGTTTGCAACAGATAAACGACTCTTATAATTCTTCAAATGGTTTAATTTGCCATACTGACTTCAGAAAATGTGTTATTTCATAAAAAACATGAACATGCCAAAATGTCAATTTACAAATCAATAGCGTGTGTGTCCACCTCTGGTTGCGATGCAAGCAACACATCTTCATCTCATCGAATGGACCAGGCATCGCACAAAGTCCTGTGGGATATCTGTCCATATCTGCTGGAGCATGTTTCGAACTTCCTGGAGTGTCTGTGGAACACGTGGTTGACGTCAAAGATGCCGATCAATCTAATCCCACATGTGCTCGATTGGGGAGAGATGAGGGGAGCGAGCCGGCTAGGGGATATCATTCACGTTGTTTTATTGAAGAGAATCCTGAACAAGTCGAGCAATATGAGGCCGGGCGTGTCATGTTGAAAGGTAATCCCTGGGCCATGACGACGCAAAAACAGTAGAACAACAGGGCCGATGATCTTGTCACGGTAGCGCTGTCCATTGAGATTTCCCTCTACCACTATCAAACGGGTCCTCTGTCTTGCTGTAATCCCACCCCATACCATAACGCTGCCGCCCCTAAACCGATGTTCTTCAATGACACAATGATTGATGTAACGTTCACCTTGACGTCGGTACACTCAAATCTGTCCATCGCTGTGGCTGAGGTGAAAACGAGACTCGTCAGTGAATAGAACTTGTCCCCACTGCATGGCCGTCCAGCGGAGACGCTGTCTGCACCACTGTAGACGTGCTTGACGGTGGTTTCCTGTCAAAGTGGGACGTCTGGCGGTTCTGGTGACAATCCCTGCACATCTGAGGCGACGACATCCGGTTTGTGAAGATATTCGTTGAAGGCCAGGGATGCTTCTTGCAGTCACTGTTGCTGGCTGGAATCGATTTCGTAAGTGTGTTGTTCGAATCCAGTTGTCTTGTCGATTATTGCTTATGCGTGGCCTGCCACTCCGAGGGTGGTCTCTGACTGCATTCGTCTGTTGCCAACGTTGCCATAAACACCAAATGGTGTTTCTGTGGACGTTAAATTGTCTTGAAACATCATGTTGACTCGATCCTGCTTCAAGTATACCAATGGCTCGCAGACGCTCATTTTCAGACTGGCATGGCATTTCGTAATGTTGAACAATTGCGTAATTTTGTTATTTATCTGAGTGGTTGTTGTCAGCACGATGCTAAACAATGCATATGGAATCCCATTAACGCACAAGTTTTTATACCCATTCTTGGGTAGTGAAATGCATGGGGCTTGCATAAAAGTCAACTTTTGCATGGAATGCATGCTTTTCTGTAGCAGTTGCATATTTGTGACTTGATTTCATATATGTACAACAATATTGAAAACCAAACTTTACTTGCTTGAAAAATACACTAAAATATTGGTGTCGCAGGAACTTTGTTGAGTATATTAAAGAAGTCCAATTTCACAAAAAGTTTTAAAAACCTTGTAGAAAGTTGAAACTTTGTATGAATAATAATGGCTTCAGTATATTCAAGATCACTCTTTGAATCATGAATAGCAGTCAGCTGTGATGTTGCAAAAACTATTTTTTTTCATTCAATCACCTTTCTCAAAACTTAAATACAAAAAACACTTTATACATTGAATATTTTTATTAGCAGCGTCATTGTTAAGAATGTGTGATGTACAAGGTTAGGGAAAACGTGACGTGGACAATATTATGACACATCAACATCTTGCATCGCAACTCTTCTCATCAATAAGTCTCGGGCCATAACTATCACAGTCCAAGCCTGGAAGACTTCCTTTGACTACAGTTTAACAATCAGTTCAACAAAGTAAAATCCATGATGAAAAATATAATGGTCAATTCAGTATCACACTTAAAAATATAACCACCCTGAAAAACAATACTGTCAGTATTATGTAACAATACAATTCTTGATAACATTCCATTCATAACACGCTGATTCAGAAAGCATCACAACTAAGTCAAAACAGACTTTAATTGTTTCAAAGTTCAGTGTTACTTTAAAGAAACAAAAAACATATGCTGAATGAAAGTACCAACCCCATGCATCTAGGCATCCGGTATACCACGTAATTTGTCTTGCCATCCAATTTAAGAACTTGAATCATATCAGTGTGGGGGGCACGAGTGGCCCAGTCGTCTAAGGCACCACGATTCGCTGTGCAGAGTTGCGTCTTTTAGGCACGCCAGAAACCTATGATTGTGGGTTCGAATCCTGGTTCGCCCCAATTATGTTTCTAGGTTTGTCAGCACCATACCCGTGCTCGTGCGTTTCACCGAAGTGGTAAACGTCTAAGACCTGCATCACTTCAGGCTTTCCTCCCACATTAAACTGACACATTGTGATATAACTGGAATACTGTTAAAAGGGGCGTTAAACACAACACACTCACTCACTCAAAACTTAAAGCAGACTCAAAGCAACATGTTTCTGAAATTATCCACTGTTGAAAAGAACAACAAAACTTGGCATGGAACTATAACCTTGTTATACATCATCAGGATATAAACAAGTTCTACCGCCCTTCTACCAGCTCATGTTTGTACAGATTGACATGCACAATGTGTGTAGCATGTGGCCCATGTTTTATTGATTCTCCCAGCCAAGATGTTCATGTGAAGATCGTGTTCCCTGTTTTATTGCCCCTTTTTTGACACTGATGCCAATAATTTGTTGTTGTTGGACTTAGCGTTGAAAGCATTGACAACATAATGATCCAGATGGATGTTTAAAGACAGCAAGCTTGGTGCTGAATCTGTGTGCCATCATCTGTACTTCACACGTTTTGTATACACAATGTATTGGAGGAATAAACTGCATACAAAACTAGAATTGACGATGTTTGTTTGGTACATAAAATGTTACTTTTCTCTTCAGTTGTGACAATGTTTACATGTCAGCCAAACATTTATTTGGCCGTTCCTGGGTCTAGATGCTATTTGAGATAAGAAGTTTGGCTTATACCGGGACTTCAGTCATCTCCTGGCACACCAGTCTGGCCTGGGAGGAAAGCCCAAGTGGTGCAGGTTGTCGATGGTTACAACTTGGGTGAAACCTAAGAGTGCAGGTATTGTGCAGGTATTATGTAGGTACTGTGCAGGTATTATGTAGGTATTGTGCAGGTATTGTGCAGGTATGGTGCAGGTATTGTGCAGGTATGGTGCAGGTATGGTTTAGGTTTTGTGTAGGTATGGTGCAGGTATGGTGTAGGTTTTGTGTAGGTATTGTGCAGGTATTGTGCAAATATTGTGTAGGTATTGTGCAGGTATTGTGTAGGTATTGTGTAGATATTGTGTAGATATTGTGTAGGTATTGTGTAGATATTGTGTAGGTATTGTGCAGGTATTGTGTAGGTATGGTGCAGGTATTGTGCAGGTATGGTGCAGGTATTGTGCAGGTATGGTGCAGGTATTGTGTAGGTATGGTGCAGGTATGGTGAAGGTATTGTGTGTGCAGGTATGGTGAAGGTATTGTGCAGGTATTGTGCAGGTATTGTGCAGGTACAGTGCAGGTATTGTGTAGGTATTGTGTAGATATTGTGTAGATATTGTGTAGGTATTGTGTAGATATTGTGTAGGTATTGTGCAGGTATTGTGTAGGTATGGTGCAGGTATTGTGCAGGTATGGTGCAGGTATTGTGTAGGTATGGTGCAGGTATGGTGCAGGTATGGTGCAGGTATTGTGTAGGTATGGTGCAGGTATGGTGAAGGTATTGTGTAGGTATTGTGCAGGTATAGGTATTGTGCAGGTATGGTGCAGGTATTGTGTAGGTATTGTGTAAGTATGATGCAGGTATTGTGTAGGTATTGTGCAGGTATTGTGCAGGTATTGTGTAGGTATGGTGCAGGTATTGTGCAGGTATTGTGCAGGTATGGTGTAGGTATGGTGCAGGTATTGTGCAGGTATTGTGCAGGTATTGTGCAGGTATTGTGCAGGTATTGTGTAGATATGGTGCAGGTATTGTGCAGGTATTGTGCTGCCAGACCAAGGATCGTAATGGAGGCAAATCTGGAATTTGAACCAGCAACCAATGTATATAAGATTTTTTGTTTTGTTTGTTTGTTTGTTGTTTAACGCGGCACTCAGCAATATTCCTGCTATATGACAACGGTGTGTTAATAATCAGGTCTGGGCCAGACAATCCAGTCATTGACATCAATCTACACAATTTGTACAATGACATGCATCAACCAAGTCAGCAAGACTGACCACCCGATCCTGAGATGCTAAAAACTGAAAATAATCTCGGTTCTCAGACACCGCCCGCATCATCACAAACTCCGCCGCATGTTTCGTTTTTATTTCCTTTTTTTTTTAAAAACTAAAAATCCTTAAATATTCCAAATCCAACACTAGTCAAATTCTGTATTCCACTATTTTACTCATCAAGGAATACATTTATTTGGGGTGGCCCTTTCCCAGGTTGATTGTACATGACTTTTTATTTGGTTACACAACGGTTTACCACCCGCACTATATTTTCAAAAAACATTGCCTGAGAACCAATTCTTTTATTTTATTAAGCCTTAGTTGCCTCCCAATACAAGCAAGGGGGCTGAAGACCAATTCTAACCCGTATCTTCACGAGGACGGAGCCCAGATACATGGAGAGACTTTGAGAACAACACTCACTCATTCATCTTTTCTTTCTATTATTACATTCATGGAGCGCAAGTTACGGGTTTTGTGTTAAGCAGAACAGAAGCAGTCTCTTGTAAATAAAGGTAAATGTTTAAAACATGGAGCACATGAAACCTACTGAACACATATGGACATTATGGCAGATGACAGAATGTTTCAGAAGCTTGTGGCAATGTCTCAAAAATATGTGAAATAAAGTGAAATATTTTCTAGGTAAAATAGAGTCTATGAAAATGACATTACCAAATTACAGCAACTTAATTTGGCCCTTCTAGTAACACTCATCCTGATTACTATAACAATGATCAGGCAATGACAATAAACCTCTAACAGCATGCAGCAATTGATTTAAAACTGACCATATCTAAATTTGGGGAACAATTTAAACATTTGGAAATGTATCCATGTCATTTTTAATTTGAAATGATTATCAAAAGAGCACTGTGACATCTTCAATTTAGAATTACACATCATACTTAAGGGTAAACTCTTTTACATATCACTTGGGACAAACTGATTATAGTAAACTATTAGTTCTCGGCCCTTTTTCACAAAGCCATCATAGCACTAAGGTGATTGTAACTCCCATTCTTGCACATTCTACTTACGACAGAGTGACCATTAAGGTGATCGTAACTCCCCTATGTGAACACTCTACTTACGACTGTCGTAGCGCTCAGGTGATTGTAAATGCCATACCTGAACATTCTATTTACGACAGTCTTAGTGTTAAGGTGATTGTACCTCTCATACGTGAACACTCTACTTATGACAGTCTTAGCGTTAAGGTGATAGTAACTCCCATACGTGAACACTCTACTTATGACAGTCTTAGCGTTAAGGTGATAGTAACTCCCATACGTGAACACTCTACTTACGACTGTCGTAGCACTAAGGTGATCGTAAATGCCATACATGAACACTCTACTTATGACAGTTCTAGCGTTAAGGTGATAGTAACTCCCATACGTGAACACTCTACTTACGACTGTCGTAGCACTAAGGTGATCGTAAATGCCATACGTTAACATTCTACTTACGACAGTCTTAGCAATAACGTGATCGTAACTCCCATATGTGAACACTCTACTTACGACTGTCGTTGAGTTAAGGTGATCGTAAATGCCATACGTGAACACTCTAATTATGACAGTCTTAGCATTAAGGTGATCGTAACTCCCATACGTGGACACTCTACTTACGACTGTCGTAGCACTAAGGTGATCGTAAATGCCATACATGAACACTCTACTTATGACAGTCTTAGTGTTAAGGTGATCATAACTCCCATACGTGAACACTCTACTTACAACTGTCGTAGTGCTAAGGTGATCGGAAATGCCATACGTGAACATTCTACTTACGAAAGTCTTAGCGTTAAGGTGATCATAACTCCCACACATGAACACTCTACTTACGACTGTCGTTGAGTTAAGGTGACCGTAACTCCCATACGTGAACACTCTACTTACAACAGTCTTAGCATTAAGGTGATCGTAACTCCAATACGTGGACACTCTACTTACGACAGTTCTAGCATTAAGGTGATCATAACTCCCATACGTGAACACTCTACTTACGACTGTCATACTGCTAAGGTGATCGTAACTCCCATACGTAAACACACTCTACTTACAACAGTCTTAGCGTTAAGGTAATCTTAACTCCCATATATGAACACTTTACTAAACGACAGTCATAGGGTTAAGGGGAACGTAACTTCCATACTTAAACATTCTAATTATGGAAGTCGTAGCATTAAGGTGATCGTAACTTCCATACTTAAACATTCTAATTACGAAAGTTGTAGCATTAAGGTGATTAAACTTCCATACTTGAATACTCTACTTACAACAGTTGCAGCGCTGAGGTGATCGTAACTCCCATACGTGGACACTCTACTTACGACAATTGTAGCACTATGATCGCTTTGTGGAACGGGGCCAAGGACACCTCATTCTGATACATTACTCGCATGACTAGATCATAGAAGTTAACAATACACTACCATCATGTCATAATACTTTGGCACTTTACAAAACATGATTCTTCAAGATAATCCTTTTGTAATGACAACAAAAACAAAACATAAATGGAAATATTACTGGTGTGAAAACGGATCTGAAATACTCGACTTCAGTTCCAGCGACTGGCATAGATGCTTGGTTTGTGCTTGTCAGAGAACGTACTTGCTGACACCCAACAGTTGGCAATCCACTTTTCCCCCCGTAATACGTCACATCCTCCATGATACGAGAAGGGGTCAAGGTCACCAATCCATCCAGTCTGCAATCACACAAATAAACTGGTTTAATTCACTCGCATGATCAGATTTTAACAATTTTATGTTTTGAGTTCTATTTCATCTTGGACAACACATCCCAAAATTCATGATACATATTAATCTGCTGTTTGTGCAGACATCCGATATCACATAGAAGGGCAAGCCCAAGATGGTTGTTGGTTAAAAATAGATTCATTAGAATAAGAGAATATGGTTTGATGTAATTCTTAGCAATATTTCAGCAATATTTCAGCAATATTTCAGCAATATTTCAGCAATATCACAAGGACACCAGAAAGGGGCTTCCAATATCGTACCAATCTCATTAAAATCAGATCTTAGTTCTCGCTATCGCTAAACAAAGATCTGAGGACATCCAATTACGGGTCACGTCTGAACGACCTTTCATCCAACCAATCAGAGCGTCGCTTACCAGATCATGAAAGTGACAGTCGGAATGTGTTTTCTAATCATGCAACCACGAAATATTTAACACCGGGTATTTCGAACGACAGTTACGGGTTTTATGATTATATCCATACAATCTAGGCCATCTATAAGCCATTCCAGAATGTTCTTCTTATTAGTTTTTTTAATCGAGAATACGTCAGAATATGTTTCGAAGCGTAGTCGCCAGTTTGAAACTAGTGTCGTAAAGCTCGAGAAAGCTGCCTTCTGATTGGCTAATGTTGATATCTTGTCAGTCATTTCATTGGTCGGTCAAAATTCCCGAAAGGTCGTTCTGACGTGACCCGTAATGGGATGTCCTCAGATCTTTGTTTAGCGGTAGCGAAAACTAAGATCTGATTTTAAAATTAATGAGATTGTAATACAATTGTTGATTGTACACCATATGCTGGTTGTTTGTTTGTTTTACACTAAATCCTTTCATATACAGATTTCTGAGTAAACTAATTGTTTCAATCAGGGAATAATTAAATTTTCATTGTGTTCATTGATATTCCTGCATTCTGATTAGCTGAATTGGTCACGTGATATAGCATTCATTTAAGGATTGACTGTGTATTTGTTTCGGTTCATTGAGGTATGAATCGAAAAACCAATGTGCAAACTGTATGAATCTGCATCTGTCTCGTTAGTGATTGTACTCTCCTGACAAATTGTCTTACCTATGTGTCCAAGGGATTGTACTCTCCTGACAACTTGTCTTAACTCTGTGTCCAAGTGATTGTACTCTCCTGACAACTTGTCTTACCTCTGTGTCCAAGTGATTGTACTCTCCTGACAACTTGTCTTACCTCTGTGTCCAAGTGATTGTACTCCCCTGACAACTTGTCTTACCTCTGTGTCCAAGTGATTGTACTCTCCTGACAACTTGTCTTACCTCTGTGTCCAAGTGATTGTACTCCCCTGACAACTTGTCTTACCTCTGTGTCCAAGTGATTGTACTCTCCTGACAACTTGTCTTACCTCTGTGTCCAAGTGATTGTACTCTCCTGACAACTTGTCTTACCTCTGTGTCCAAGTGATTGTACTCTCCCGACAACTTGTCTTACCTCTGTGTCCAAGTGGTTGTTGTACCACATGACGGCCATCCCTTCTTGTGGCTTGATGACAACTGAGGAATTATGGCAGTTGTGACTCAGGTTAAAGTTTTCACGTTTGGACATTAAATTCTGGAATGAAATAAAACAATAATTGTCTCCGTAAATTACACTTTAATAAGAAGTTCTATCTGACATGCAATTTTTCGTCCAAAAGCAAACCTTACATGTTCGCCACAAAATCCTTGTGTGTACATTTTTGGTTGGTTGGTTGGCTGGTTGGTTTGTTGTTTAATGCCGCACGCAGCAATATTCCAGCTATATGACGTCAGTCTATAAATAATCGAGTCTGGACCAGACAATCCAGTGATCAATATCATAAGCATCGATCCATGCAATTGGGATCGGTGACATGCACCCTCCTCAAGGGCGATGTAGACTCTCAGTTCAGTCTGGAGTGCTGAAGTCCATATTACATGCAGAGGGGGCACCAACTGACCACATCGCAACTTACGCAATGACATGAAACCGCAAACCATTTAAAACAAAAATTCGGGCCTTACTGACGAAATAAAAAAAAGTCTGTATATAATGTTGATACTGTGTTTGTTTGTTGTTTATTGCTGCAATCACCAATATTCCAGCTATATGACAGCGGTCTGTAAACAATCAAGCCTGGACCTGACAATCTAGTGATTGACATCATGAGCATCGGTCTACACAATTGGGAAACGATGACATGTGTGAACCAAGTCAGCAAGCATCACCACCCAATCACGTTGTCTTTTGAAAAGCATTGGTTGTTGAGGACCAATTCTAACTTCACTGGGTGCCTGTTATGACCAGTGCTGGGGACACATTCTACCCCGGGTCCCCCAGGGGGTTGATGCTGTGAGAAATATTTCTTATATGAGAGTTTCTAGGACTTCGGTCCTGCCCCACACTGAAGCACATGTACCACATGTGGTGTCTCCTTTGTGTGACTTTGTTCGAAATGTGCCTCTGTTCACCCAGCAGTGAGTGGGTACCCGGTAGGATGAGATGGTAATGTGTCTGTTTACCTTCTAGCGCCTCACAGGCAGCTTTGGTTGTATACTCCCCAGGGAGCTAAGAATGAAAATCGAGTGCACACTGATCCATTGACCGGGGGAATAATAGTGTAGCGCTATGAGCTTCCACTTGGTGAATGGAATCTGGCGCGTTATAAATGCAATTATTATTATCATCATTATTAAAAGTATATAGCATTTGGATTGTTTTCCCGACGGTTTGCTACTTTTTCAGGTTCATCTGGGAAAAGTGAGTGAGTGAGTGAGTGAGTAAGGTTTTACGCCTCTTTTAGCAATATTCCAGCAATATCACACCAGAAATGGGCTTCACACATTGTACCGATGTACCGAACCCGGGTCTTTGGCGTGACGAGCAAACGCTTTAACCACTAGGCTACCCGACCGCCCCTCATCTGGGAATAAAGTGTGGTCTGGTATTACAAATGTATTTAAGATTATATTATTGTCGGTACCGACACTTAAAGCTTCGGTGTCCTGGTCTGCAATAGGGAAGGCTGTCTCTCCCCCCTCCTCCACTTGGTTCAAGTACAACAACACCGTCACATACCTGCAACTCAAAAACAATGTCATTTAAAAAAACAATGAAATACTACTTAAAGACGTAATTAAAGAAATTACTGCTTACAGTAAAAGTGTGCCTACTTACTAAATATCCCTAATCAAACTGCTTACAGACTAATTATCTCTAATCTAACTACCTACTAAATAAAGATCTCTAATCTAACTGCCTACTGACTAAAGATCTCTAATCTAACTGCCTACTGACTAAATATCCCTAATCTAACTGCCTACTGACTAAACATCCCTTATCTAACTGCCTACTGACTAAACATCCCTTATCTAACTGCCTACTGACTAAACATCCCTTATCTAACTGCCTTCTGACTAAACATCCTTAATCTAACTGCCTACTAACTAACCATCCCTTATCTAACTGCCTACTAACTAAACATCATTAATCTAACTGCCTACTAACTAACCATCCCTTATCTAACTGCCTACTGACTAAACATCCCTTATCTAACTGCCTACTGACTAAACATCCCTTATCTAACTGCCTTCTGACTAAACATCCTTAATCTAACTGCCTACTAACTAAACATCCTTAATCTAACTGCCTACTAACTAAACATCCTTAATCTAACTGCCTTCTGACTAAACATCCCTTATCTACCTGCCTACTAACTAAACATCCCTAATCTAACTGCCTACTAACTAAACATCCCTAATCTAACTGCCTACTGACTAAACATGGCTTATCTAACTGCCTACTGACAAAATATCCCTAATCTAACAGCTGCTGACTAAACATCCCTAATCTAACTGCCTGCTGACTAAACATCCCTTATCTACCTGCCTACTGACTAAACATCCCTAATCTAACTGCCTGCTGACTAAACATCCCTTATCTACCTGCCTACTAACTAAACATCCCTAATCTAACTGCCTACTAACTAAACATCCCTAATCTAACTGCCTTCTGACTAAACATGGCTTATCTAACTGCCTACTGACAAAATATCCCTAATCTAACAGCTGCTGACTAAACATCCCTAATCTAACTGCCTACTGACTAAACATCCCTTATCCAACTGCCTGCTGACTAAACATCCCTTATCTACCTGCCTACTGACTAAACATCCCTAATCTAACTGCCTGCTGACTAAACATCCCTTATCTACCTGCCTACTGGCTAAACATCCCTAATCTAACTGCCTTCTGACTAAATATCCTTAATCTAACTGCCTACTGACTAAACATCCCTAATCTTACTGCCTTCTGACTAAATATCCTTAATCTAACTGCCTACTGACTAAACATCCCTAATCTAACTGCCTTCTGACCAAATATCCTTAATCTACCTGCCTACTGACTAAACATCCCTAATCTAACTGCCTACTGACTAAACATCCCTAATCTAACTGCCTGCTGACTAAACATCCCTAATCTAACTGCCTACTGACTAAACATCCCTTATCCAACTGCCTACTGACTAAACATCCCTAATCTAACTGCCTACTGACTAAACATCCCTTATCTACCTGCCTACTGACTAAACATCCCTAATCTAACTGCCTGCTGACTAAACATCCCTTATCTACCTGCCTACTGGCTAAACATCCCTAATCTAACTGCCTTCTGACTAAATATCCTTAATCTAACTGCCTACTGACTAAACATCCCTAATCTAACTGCCTTCTGACTAAATATCCTTAATCTAACTGCCTACTGACTAAAGATCCCTAATCTAACTGCCTTCTGACCAAATATCCTTAATCTAACTGACTACTGACTAAACATCCCTAATCTAACTGCCTACTGACTAAACATCCCTAATCTAACTGCCTGCTGACTAAACATCCCTAATCTACCTGCCTACTGACTAAACATCCCTAATCTAACTGCCTGCTGACTAAACATCCCTAATCTAACTGCCTACTGACTAAACATCCCTAATCTAACTGCCTACTGACTAAACATCCCTAATCTCACTGCCTACTGGCTAAACATCCCTTATCTACCTGCCTACTGACTAAACATCCCTAATCTACCTGCCTACTGACTAAACATCCCTTATCTAACTGCCTACTGACTAAACATCCCTTATCTAACTGCCTACTGACTAAATATCCCTAATCTAACTGCCTACTGACTAAACATCCCTAATCTAACTGCCTACTGACTAAACATCCCTAATCTAACTGCCTACTGACTAAACATCCCTAATCTAACTGCCTACTGACTAAACATCCCTAATCTAACTGCCTACTGACTAAATATCCCTAATCTAACTGCCTACTGACTAAACATCCCTAATCTAACTGTCTACTGACTAAACATCCCTAATCTAACTGCCTACTGGCTAAACATCCCTTATCTACCTCCCTACTGACTAAACATCCCTAATCTAACTGCCTACTGACTAAACATCCCTAATCTAACTGCCTACTGACTAAACATCCCTAATCTAACTGCCTACTGACTAAACATCCCTAATCTAACTGCCTACTGACTAAACATCCCTAATCTAACTGCCTACTGACTAAACATCCCTAATCTAACTGACTACTGACTAAATATCCCTAATCTAACTGCCTACTGACAAATCCCATTAAAACGCTCTTTACAAGTGTTCATTTCACACAAGGTGAAATAAAAGTAAATCTCACTTTGGGGGAATCTGGAGTCTGACAACTGTCAGTTTTAAATATGGAGTTATGCATCAAAACAAGATTGAGAGTTTAATATCCTGAGGTTGTCTACATTTTATTTTTCAAATTACATATTAGACACCTATCACTGAATTTTCCATGTGACATAATTTTTTAATATTTAAAATTCGACCCTCTTCAAAATTCCTGGATTTATCCTTGTACACTATATGTTAAGGAGAGTGTCAGGGTGAACCTTATACAATACATTCAACTCCTCTGTAACCATGGTAACCTCACCGACACAGCTGGCAGCACCGGGAAGTGGCAGGGTGGCAGTCTCGACTCTGGTGACAGCACGGGAGTCCATGCGCCATTTCCGGCCCCGAGTCCATGTGGGCGTGGTAGTGCCCCCCCACCCCGTACCTCACCACCTGAAACAGACACACACTCTTCATTTAACAGTTGACTTCAATATGTTTTGAGTTTATGGAGGTATAAATGTAAAAGCGGATTTACATAATGTATGCACAATGGATTTTACGTTTAAACCTCAGTGAAGTCATTTCAAAATATAGGCCACCAATAAAACTTCACAGACTGCTCATTAAATCATTTGAACCAAGAAGATCCGGGATAAAGTAGGTCTCCAGCAACCCATTCTTGCCATAAATGGCGACTATGCTGGTTATAAGAGGCGACTAACGGGATCAGGTGGTCAGACTCACTGACTTGGTTGATGCATGTCATCGTATCCTAACTGTGTGGATCGATGCTCATGATGTCAAATCACTGGATTGTCTGGTTCAGACCCAATTATTTACAGACCGCCGTCACATAGCTGGAATATTGCTGAGTGCGGCATTAAACAACAAACAAAGATACAAAGAAATTATATCATTAATGAAAAAACAATTGTAGACAACAATACAAAATCAGAGACATTGTTTCATGCAGTAATGCAACACAATTCCTGCCAGCCCTATTATAGGCCAATCAGGAAACAGTATACTGCTAGAGGGCGTGGCCTAATTCCTTTTCGGTTTTTGTGAACATAAACACACAAAAATTGTTTGGTAAGTCAATAATATGCCATGGACTCACTTGCAATATATCTGGGGCCAACACCAGCCCACTGGAACTCATGGGGTCATTGTCAAACAAGGTTCTACAAGAATGTCATCACCGTAAAGTTTTATCAGAAAAAAAATTCCAATGACACAAATGTATGAGATTTCTCACTCAGTTGTAATAAAATATGTAATCTGCAGTCTACCTCAATCACCACTGAAATTATTAAGACCACTTTCAGTCTTTAAGAATAGCACCCCTTTAATATGAATTTAGGGGGGGGTCTAAAATTGCAGGGCCCTGATGAACACTTATGAAATGAAAAATAATTGAATATTGACAATATTTACCTGTAACCCTTCGCTGTCATCAAAAAAGTGAAGAGAAAGTCGTGTGACTGCTGACAGTCTGCAAGCATACAATGCCTTCAGAGAATTCAAATGAATAGGTGATAACAAACTTGGTAAATTTAAAATGTAAAATTTGAGATAAATTATCACTAGACATGATGATTTACCATTTAAGTTGTATTTTCTGTTCTGCTGTTTTTTTACATGCAGAAATAAAGATTACTGTGCATATTTTCTTGTGAATCAACAGCAATCAACTGCGTGCACATTTTCAGCTAATCCATTGGTGATTCGGCTGGAAAATACCCAACAATATAACTTCAAAGAATTTTGCTGCAAGGGTCGGAATATATCGTATCGAAAAATATTAATTTATCAGGAATAATATAATCCAATATCAAGTTCTTTTAGTTGCAGCTACCGGTAAATAATAATAACCATAATAGTAGCACAACAACTGATTGCTGCTGCCAAATATTTTTCAAGTATGGAAGAATGATATCAGATACCGTAGCCTCCCGTGTTCTTGCTACAGCACGTGAATGAAAACAAAACGCAAATATCGAAATTACAACCAATTAAAGTTGTGTATAATGTCTGGCAGTTACCTTGTTTGAGGAATGAATCCATCAATATCCACATAAAGAAACGATATCCCAAGATATGTGCAAGATAACAGTGATTAATCAATCAACGTATTATCGGTTAAACCCTTTGATCAATGTTTCTTGCAACTCAACTGACCATTCCTCTCAACATGAACATGAAATACATTCAAATCAGACCTGGTTTTATAACCCAACATTAGATTAAATAATTACCCAAGACATGAGAAATGACAAATGCGAAACCACAGATTGCTGTACACGTATCCTTTACATCCTCAAAAGCGGGGGGGGGGGGGGGGGGGGCATGGGTGGCCCAGTCATCTAATGCGCAGCGGCGCTGCATCCCTTGGGCACGCCAGAAACCTTTGATTGCGGGTTCAAATCCCAGTTCACACCAATGATGTTTCTAGGTTTGTCAGCACCACACCATACCCACCATATGCTCATGGGTTTCACCGAAGAGGTAAACGTCTAAGACCTGCATCACTTCAGGCTTTCCTCCCACATTAAGCTGACACGCCGCAATATAACTGTTAAAAGCGGCGTTAAACACAACTCACTCACTCACTCAGAAACAGGGGTGAACGTGTTTGAGTTATTTTGCATGGTCTTTGTCAAGTAATCTGAGTGGTTCTACCACTACATACCTGTAATAAAGTCATTAACTGAGCATTATGTGAATGACGACAAATTCACAGGTGCAGAGTTGTACTATGAAACATGGATGACAAGAAGGGAGTAGTTTTAAATGCAAATTGCCTGAAAAATAAGGGTCGATGCTGTTTTGAGTATATGAACTCAACTTAATTGTTCCAAAAATATCATGTACACATATTTACTGTATACTTAACTATATACATAGTTGTAATTGTACACATACACCGGGGCACGGGTGGCCCAGTCGTCTAAGGCGACGCGATTCGCTGTGCAGAGTTGCGTCCCTTGGGCGCGCCAGAAGCCTATGATTGTGGGTTCGAATCCCGGTTCGCCCCGATTATGTTTCTAGGTTTGTCAGCACCATACCCGTGCTCGTGGGTTTCACCGAAGTGGTAAACGTCTGAGACCTGCATCACTTCGGGCTTTCCTCCCACATTAAGCAGACACGCCGTGATATGACTGGAATACTGTTAAAAGCGGCGTTAAACCCAACTCACTCACTACATACACATTTACACTTGCAGACAAATTTGCAAGGTGAAAGGTTATAGTACCGGTAAGCATCATCCAACCACATGCGAGGATTCACAGGATGTCCCCCTCACAGTCAATGAGGTCCTCCAATTGCCCCATCACTGATCCGAAGCCCAATTTTTTGGGTCACTGATACTAATTGGTGTCTGGTGATTACATAGACTAATTAAAACTGAGTCAGAAAGACAACTGAGATTTGGAGTGTTGTTTCCCTTCGAGGCCAAAAAAACATATATATAATGTAATTCCTATTTCAGACCATCCAAACACAGGGTTGGTAGGTCAGGTTTGATTTTGTTTGTTTTTTTAACTTTTTATTATTATTTAAAAAAAACCTGTATCTGTATGTCAATAAATGCCAACTTTCAAAGTAGATAATCTATGGTTTATCTACAGTGAAGCACAACAAATTTAGTGACATGAAATATGGACAATACTGAGATGTTGATATAAGTCATGGTGCTACTTGTGAAAACAGACGAAGAAGGTTTAGGTGTAACAGATGTTATATTTGGGATAACACTTTCTTAGTAAAGTAGAGATTCTCATACTTTTTGGGGTTGAGTCCCATCCAGGATTCGAACCCACACCACGAGAGTGAAGCACATAATCGCAAGCACACAAAATCAGCGATCTAACCCACTCAGCCACCATGAGGCTTACAGTTCGCCAACTGGTAGTCTAGATCACGTACTTTGTGTACCCCTCTGACAAGTGTAAATTGGCACGGCTCCAATGGTCGAAAGCTATGAACACACAATGCCATTTAGAAAGTGGTAAAATGTAACAGATGTAATGTTTGGGATAACACTTTCTTAGTAAAGTACAGATTCTAGTACTTTTGGGGGTTAAGTCCCGTCCGGGATTCGAACCCACACTGCCAGAATGATTGAGAAAGTGTTATCCTAAATATAACATTTGTTACATTTGACCACTTTCTAAATGGCATTGTGTGTCCAAAGAAGGGTTAGGGTCAGGGAATCCAGGAAATGGGAAACACACATATTTTTTGTGCGGCCTAAACGATAAATTAGTGAGTTTTACCTCTCTCTGATTCCCTTCAAGATTGGATCGTGATCAAGATGTACGTATGTCTGCATACTAACTCGAGCAAAATCACGCAGATCTCGGGCAGAGGTGTGTGACTCGGGCGTGTTTTGTCCAGCAGAGGTGAAGAGGCCACTAGTCTTGAGGCCATTCTTCATGGCTATTTGTCGGATATAGCTGCACTCCGAGGAGCTCAGGAAGTCCCGGATTTCTGTTTAAGTAGATATAACTCTAAAATTTGATGCAGGATCAAAATCACAGCTATTCCACCAAAATAAAAATTAAACCCTCAGTTGCCTCATAAGTTGATATGTTTTATATTTTAAAGTCAAATGATCAAATTTGCGATAGAAGGTATATTTTTTCTTTGGCCTATTTTCCTTCTGCATGTTCTGTTAAAAACATTTTCTTGTTTTAGAATATTTTGTTTGTTTCTTTGTTGTTTAACGCCGCATTCAGTAATATTACAGCTATATGACGGCGGTCTGTAAATAATCGAGTCTGGACCAGACAATCCAGGGATGGACATCATGAGCATCGATCCACACAATTGGGATCGATGACATGCACCAACCAAGTCAGCGAGCCTGACTACCCGATCCCATTAGTCGCCTCTTTTATATGACAAGCATAGTCGCCTTTTACGGCAAGTATTGGTTGCTAAAGACCTATTCTACCCTGGATCTGTTTAAGAACTCCCTACAAATTTAAAAGACAAAATGCAACGTTTCATTGAAATTATGCAAGTTTGTATACAATGCTGTGAACTGACCAGATGATAATGAATTAATTCTCTTTTCATTCCTGCCTATATATCACCTGATCTTGTTTAAAATGAAATCTAGGGGGCACGGACGGATGGCCCAGTCGTCTAAGGCGCTGCGATTCGCTGTGCAGAGTTGCGTCCCTTAGGCACGCCAGAAACCTATGATTGTGGGTTCGAATCCCAGTTCGCCCCGATTATGTTTCTAGGTTTGTCGGCACCATACCCATGCTCGTGGGTTTCACCGAAGTGGTAAACATCTGAGACCTGCATCACTTCGGGCTTTCCTCCCACAATAAGCTGACACGCCGCGATATAACTGTAATACTGTTAAAAGCGGCGTTAAACCCAACTCACTCACTCACTAAAATGAAATCTGAATTGTAACCATGTACATTTGGGTAATTGTGATTGCAGATCATGGAATTGCACAGTTATTTTGTTTTGTGAGGACGTTCCAAAGATAAAGAATTACGTTTTTTATCTCACTTCAAACTTTTGGCTCATTCACGCTTTAACAACATTATTTTTGTCAGGACTTATGTTACCATGGTTACATACCAAACACTGGAGGATTCAAAGCCAGGGTGATCCTTTCATGAACCTTGCCCTCCATCAGATTCAGCAATTCAACATGGCCGACCTGCAGATTACACCAAGTACCTTCATGAGCATATATACATCTCAAAAGAAGTTAAGGACCACCTGATTCTATTAATATTGGGGGTGGGGGGGGTTGGAGATTCTTAACCTCTTTTAAGTAGTATATAATGTGGAGAGTACTTCACTGATCGTGATTCAAGATGACAACAACAAACAATATATCAGTGGATACTATGCTTCATGGCATACCGTATTCGACATAATAAGCTAATCCAGCGCACAGGGCGCTCTCAAAATTAGAAATGAGGGGCTCTTATTGGAATATTATTTTGGTGTAAAAAAAACAGTTACAAATTTCATGGTTTATGCTGACAGCCTGAAATGTTTATATACGACAGATATAATATTCCAGAATGTAATTGCCCACAGTTAAGGGTGCATGTTGCAATATCTAAGATGGAGGCCGGATGGCTTCAGATTAGGTTTATTAAATGAGTTACATGAGGCAGCCATGTTCTTGTCTAGAGGCCATCTTGATCATGACGTCATCATGACATCATCACTCTTTTAGTGACGTCATCAGTTCATGAGTACTATGATGACTGTTGATACTACATCTCCCTTTCGAAAGTCTTGAAGGAGATTAAATCCTTTAATTACTGTAAAAGAGTTCAGCACTTTAACGTTAGAGTCTCTAATAGTGAAAGCTGAACTTAGACCTTAAAAGCTGCATTATAAAGATAACAGCACAATATTCTAACCAAAGCTAACTTGAATGAATACTGAGTGTAAGTAGAAATTAACATTATCTCTGCAATCAGCATTTAAAGTCAAATCAAATTTCTAAACACATTTTCACACAAAGTGAATCTTCATAGAGTCACAGATCCAGTCTTTTTGGTTTCACTGACATCCTGCCAGATCTTGTCGTTGCAGTGTTAACTGGGTTGTTGACTTGAGCACTGGTGTTGGCTGTTTCGCTGAATGGGTTTTCACATTTCCTCGAACAGTCTAACTTGACTGGCGTTCCACTATCTGCTGATGTTGGGATGAGATGCTTGCGATTTCTACGCACAACTCTTCCCTCCGTTTCCACGTGATATGAACGGGGGGCTTCATCCTTGCTCTGAACTAAACCTTGTTTAGTTCCGTCAGCATCTTTCACGAACACATGATCACCTGGTTTGAGCGGTTGAAGATCTCGAGCTCGGTGTCTCACATCAAAAAGTTCTTTCTGTTTGACTCGCCGATGTTCGTCTTCCTCCCTGAATTTGTCAAAGTTAAGCTGCTTGGGCTTGAGCTGATTTGGGTGAGTAGGAACATTTGAACGGAGTTGTCTACCCATAAGGAGTTCTGCAGGACTGTGTCCACCAACAAGAGGTGTAGATCTGTAAGCAAGAAGACCTAGATAAACATCAGGTGACTTCTGGAGTAGATTTTTCACTGTGCGAACTGCACGCTCGGCCTCACCATTACTTTGTGGATAATGAGGACTACTTGTAAGATGAATGAATTCATACTCCAGGGAGAACGTTTTGAAGTTCTGGAATGAATACTGTGGACCATTGTCAGATACCACAAATTCTGGGATTCCATGACGCGCAAAGATTGATTTCAGTTGATTGATGACGCTTGCCGATGTTGTACTTGATAACTTGGCGACTTCGATGTATCTTGAAAAATAGTCAACAACAAGGACATATTGGTTGTTTCGAAAGTCAAATAAGTCTGTACCGACTTTCATCCATGGACGATCTGGAAGTTCCGAAGGAATAAGTGGTTCAGTTGAATTTGACCTTTCTTTGGCACACACTTTGCAGTTTTGTACTTTTCTCTCTAGCTGTACTGCAAGTCCAGGCCACCATACAGAATATCTCGCCAATGCTCTGCATTTAGTTATCCCCTGATGTCCTTCATGTAGGCGATCTAACACACTGGATCTCATTACTTCAGGTATGACAATTCTCTGTCCATACATTAACAGTCCATCTATAGCTGTGAGATCACCTCGGTGAGTCCAATATTGTCTCGCCTGAGTCGGAAGTTTGTGCAATGAAGGCCATCCATCTGTGCAGTATTGAATAAGCAAGTGACAATCGTCATCTTGTAGTTGTTGTCGCTTTATCTCAAGTATCTTTTGTTGAGACGCTGGCAGGCCTGACATCACAGAATCTGCATAGAGGTTAACGTCATGTAGAAGTTGAGTTTCACTCTTGTTTCCTTCAGACTTGAGTGGAGTTCTTGAAAGCGCATCTGCAGAGTACATGTATTTCCCTGGAACATGTACAATGTGAAATTGATATGCCATCAAACGCATACGTAGACGTTGAATTCTGGGTGGAAGTTCTTCAAGATTCTTGGAGCTTAACAGCGGAATCAAAGGTTTGTGATCCGTCTAAATTGTGAACTGCAGTCCAATCAGAAAGTCTCTGAATCTCTCACAACCCCACGTAATACCAAGCGCTTCCTTCTCAATTTGAGCGTATCTCTGCTCTGTCACTGTTAGTGATCTAGATGCATATGCAACAGGTCTGAGTGAATTATCCATTTGCTTCTGCAGTAACACTGCTCCAAGCCCGAAAGATGAAGCATCTGTTGAAACTACAGTTGTTGCACTTGGGTTGTAGTGGGTCAACACTGGTGATGTACAGAGTTTCTGCTTTGTTCGATCAAAGGAAGTTTGTTGAGGTTCATTCCAAACCCATATGTTGTCTTTCACTAAAAGATCTCTGAGTGGTTTAGTATCATCTGCAAGATTTGGAAGAAACTTTGCTAACTGGTTCACCATTCCTAAGAAACGTCGAACTTCCGTAACAGATGAAGGTTCCGCCATATCTTGTATAGCGTTGATTTTCGCCGGATCAGCTCGAACACCATGACTGTCGATGATGTGACCAAGGAATCTCACAGAGTTAGTTGAGAAGACGCATTTGTCATTGAGAGTGACTCCAGCTTCCTGTAGTCTCTGTAAGGTTGCTTCTAATCTTGTGTCGTGTTCTGCCTGTGTTGAACCGTAGATCAGTATGTCATCCATCTGACATAAAGTTCCTTCTAATCCTCCCAATATCTGACTCATCCTCTTCTGGAAATGTTCAGGTGCAGATGAAATCCCAAACGGAAGACGATTGAATCTAAACCTTCCAAACGGTGTTATGAAAGTAGTAAGAAGTGACGATTTCTTTGTTAGTTCGATTTGATGAAACCCAGAGTTGGCGTCCAATTTGGTGAAGTATTGAGCACCGCTCAGTTGGCTGATTGTTTGGTCTACAACTGGCATTGAATGATTTTCGCGATGAATTGATTCATTCAATTTGGTCAGATCAACGCAAATTCTAACGGATCCTGAGGCTTTAGGTACAACAACAATACCTGCACACCAGTCCGTAGGTTCGTCAACACGTGAGATTACACCGCTTCTCTCCATGTTCTCGAGTTCTTTCTTCACCTTGGTGAGTAAAGGAAGTGGAACTCTTCTTGGAGTATTCAGAGAAAAAGGCTTCGCTCCCTCCTTAAGCTTAATGTTGTAGGCACCATCCATCTTCCCAAGCCCAATGAACAACTTGGGAAACTTGGTTCTCCAATATTCATTTGGTGATACTCTGTCTTCAATGTTGTGTACCCGCTGAATGAGATTCAAGTCTTTAATTGCAGGTTTACCTATGAGAGGGGAAGCTAGACCTCTTACAACGTACACATCTTGTTTTGATGAACAATCTGTTGATTTCAGGGTTGCTGTGAATTTACCAAGCAATTTCAAAACTGATTTCCCAGCTCCATATAAGATCCTGTTAGATTTCTTGAGGGGTGGAGAATTCATCTCTTTGTAGACAGATTCTGGAATAACAGTTACATCGGCGTCAGTGTCTATTTTGAAAACAACACCTCGCTTGTCGACTAGCAAGTCAATATACCAGGGGTCATCACTGAAACTACTGTGAGGTGAGACATCCTCTACAGATCCAAGAAATGCATAATCACAGTCATTTTCCTCTGTCAGCCCTTCAACATTACTCACTGCATACCGCTTCTTACTTGTTTGTGAGGTATTTGCAGGCTGGTTTCGGCACATAACATCCCAATGTCCCTTTTTCTGACATTTTCTGCAGGTTGAAGATACAGCTGGACAATCTACCTTCCTGTTTTGAGATTTGCCACATCTGTGACATGGTTGAGACTTGTGGTGGTTCTTCCACTTCTTATTCTTGTGATGTTTGAAGTTACCTCCCTTTATCGCCTCAACATTTGCCGTAGCATTTTCCATTTCAGACGCAGTATTTCGGACCACTGGTTGTTGCCTTTTCACAGTTTCAGACTGTCTGGCCATCTTGACAGCTTTTTCAAGGGTTAATTCACCATCCAGCTGTAGTCGTTCAGATAGACCAGTGTCCCTTATTCCAACCACTATCCTGTCACGAATAAGATTATCCTGAAGTGCTCCATATGCACAATGTTCAGCCAGACCATAGAGCGCAGTGATGAAGCTATCTACAGTTTCACCTGGTTCTTGTAGTCTCTTGTTAAACTTGGCTCGTTCGAAGATAACATTTCTTCTAACAGTGAAAAAGTTCTCAAAGTGAGTTTTCACAACGTCAAAATCAGCCACTTGTTGTTCATTAAGTCTAAATGTAGCTAATATGTCTTCTGCCTCTTCCCCCATAGAATAAACAAGCGTGGAAACTTGAAAATTACCATCTTTAGTGTTCAGTCTTGATGCTAATCTAAAGCGAGCAAATCTCTTTATCCATTTTGGCCACTCATCAGGCTGCTTGAAATTGAAACGATCAGGTGGAGACACTTGGAATGTAGCCATGCTTTTTCTGATGAAAATATCCACTGGGATAAATGAACAGCTTCTGTAATCCTTAGTAATTGTGATTGCAAACTAGGATGTGCTTATGACTTCAGTTTATCAGTCAAAATGTTCACTCAAACTAGCATGTGAGTTTAAACATTAGCACTATCACTGGCTATTCACTTCAATTATTTTGGCAAAATGCCAAATTCTAGTCTATCAAAATTGCATTAAATAGCTCACTCAGTCTCTGTAGATTCATATCCGACTTCTGACACCATGCAATATCTAAGATGGAGGCCGGATGGCTTCAGATTAGGTTTATTAAATGAGTTACATGAGGCAGCCATGTTCTTGTCTAGAGGCCATCTTGATCATGACGTCATCATGACATCATCACTCTTTTAGTGACGTCATCAGTTCATGAGTACTATGATGACTGTTGATACTACACATGTAGCACACGAGTGCGTATTATACACGAATAAATGTCTTGTGTACATTGATCGATCGGAAGGGGTGCTAATTAGGATTGTTGACTTGCCAATATATTAGCAAATATCGCAGTGGGTGCTTATTAGAGCGGGGCGCTAATTATGTCGAATATGGTATTTTCCAAAATACAAGAAGAACGGGAAGAGGCTTTTGTCCAGTGAGAGTTAGAATTTTGACTACTTGGCGTGCATTGAAACCTTTCAATTCTTAGAAAATATATCAGATAAATGCTTCATTCACAACACCCAATTTAAATGAAGTAGATGTTTTGGTTCACTCCCATTAACTCACTCCCAAACTCATGCCTAACGATACAGTAAACGTTCATAACGAACACGCTCATAATGAACTGACGGATATATAATGAACTGGTTTTTTGGTGCCAGCCATTTGCTGTATATATGCTTATAACGAACTACGGTTATAACAAAATAGAATAAGTGTTCTCTTTGAGTTCGTTATAACAGTAGTTTACTGTATATCTGAAAGCTGGATTCTGGACCGAGTTCTTCTATATGAATTAATGTAGCAAAATAAGAGATAGGTGCTCCCAACTGGTACAACAGTGGAATTATCATAGATGAGACTTTTCTGCAGATTTTATTACGTCAAGGGACACTTTTGTGAATCATAGTCCACCAGACCCAGCATACTTTCAGAGTGTTTTTTTTTAAAGAAAAAACATTTTCATCCCTGAATTTTAAAATTACGTAGTCTGGACAGGAAGCATGTTGAGGCAATGGCACCCATTCATTTCATGAAATCAGAAAGTGACTGACAGAGTGTTGTTTAATGTCCCATCAATATTATTCAAGATCTATCACAATGACCTATGAATAATTGAGTCTTGACTAGTGGTTGACAGCATGAGCAACCATCCTTGCCACAAACTGTAACCACCTTATTCTCATTTAGTTGGCTGTTACATAGAGAATCTCACCCGAGTGTCTTTTGATATCAAATATATCAACACAAGTTGATAAAAGTGGGAAAACTCCGAGGGTGAGATTTTATTTATCATCTAACATCATTCTTCCAACTTTTTCAGTTTGTAGAAAGTAATAAGCAGTGTCTTAAGTGTAAAAACTACTGCTAACAGCTTCAGTAGCAGAGCCATTAGTGATGTCATTTGATTGTAACGTCATGGTAACCAATGACGTCACAATGGTCTGCAAAGCATTGTGATGCAATTTCATTGCAGCGATATCTACAGTATAGATATGGCTTGATCTCACCCAAGCAATATCTCCTGTGGGAGCCAGTTTTGGATGATAAAAGCATGGGGCATGCTGTATCTCTATTCCATCAAGTACACTACTCCATGGCCTAGTTTCTCCCTAACTGCACACACGGTAATCAGTATAGTGTGTAAAACTGAAACACTGTTTCTGTGTCGTTAGGGTAGTCATTGACTTTTAGATTGATATAAATGATAAAATTTAAACCATCTCATTAAAATCAGATCCATGTTCTCACTGCCGCTAAACAAAGATCTGAGGACATCCCATTACGGGTCACGTCAGAACGACCTTTCGCGAACTTTGGCCGACCACTGAAACAACTAACAAGAAGTCAACATCAGCCAATTAGAAAGCAGCTTTCTCGAACTCCACAGCACTCCTTTCAACCTGGCGACTTTCTTTTCTGACTACGCTTAAAAAATATGTCGACTCAGTTCTCGATTAAAATTTTGAAAAACTGAACAAATGAACATTCCGGAATGTCTTATATATGGCTGCGATTGTATGATAGTGCTTACCACGTACTGTGCAACCCCTCCTGCATTCAAATGTTTATCCCATGGAAGCGAGAAGATAATTTTGACGGGCTCAACTGTCGTACGGAATACCCCATGTTAACGTTTTCGAGGCTGCATGATTAGAAAACACATTCCGACTGTCACTTTCCTGATCTGGTAAGCGATGTTTTGATTGGTCAGATGAAAGGTCGTTCTGACGTGACCCGTAATGAGATGTCCTCAGATCTTTGTTTTAGCGATAGCGAGAACTAAGATCTGATTTTAATGAGATTGAACTTGAACTAGCAGACAAAGAATGTGAGGACAGAAACTAGCTGGAACTGCCACATTGGAAGGACATAGAAGGGACATAACTTGTAACATCCACTGCTGGAGCTATTATCAAGCCACGAAATTCCAGCCTAGTTCGGCAAGGGTGGTAACTGGTCTTTTTTAGTCAGTTAACTCCCTAGCCTCAGGAAGATGATGAATAACAGATGACAGACAGTTCCATGACACATGTTGCACATATCACATTCTTAGCCTGGCTTGTTGATACCCTACTCAAACAATAGAAGCAGAAGAATATAGTACCTTCACTGGATCAAGTCTTGTAAGCTGCTCAGTTCTAGATTCTCGGTGCAAACATTGATCAGTTTGATGATCTTTGATCTTGGAGTTGCCCCAATCCTGTGGGTTGTCATTCTCAGCCCCACAGGAGCTGTCCTGTATGTGGCTTCCTGCGTGGGTTCCTGCAGACCAGAAACAGAAGGTCGTCCACAGCAGGAGGACGCCAAGAGACTGCCTCACAGTCATCGCTGCTCACGTCTCCGGCTTCATTGAATCTCTCCTCTCTGTCCCGTCTAAATATATACTTTCAGTAAGACAGATATCTTGAATACTTATTTAAGAATACAGCAATATTTCAGAAATGAGAATTGAAAATATACTATCGATGACATATTACCGCTTCATTCAAAAACTTGGTAATAGTGGGATAGAAGATAATGGGGAAACTTAACTGAGAAAGCTTACAAGCCAGATTACACAATACATAAGAAAAACATGTATTAAATATACTAAATATACTAGCCCTTGGCATACCTGTAACACTTGGAAGATTGGCTTGGGCATAATTCAGATTAATAAACTCATCTTGGTTATTAAAACAATATTTTCCTAAATTATAAGGGATGATATACACCATATAGTTCAACTCAGCAAAAGCTGAATACTTAATTTCATGAAATCAGAGACAGGTGCTCCCAATAAGCACTGCAGTGTAATTATGTAATTACACAGTCTAGACAGTGAGCAGACTGAGGCCGAGATACAAATTTGTTTGTTTGTTGTTTAATGCTGCACTCAGCAATATTCCAGTTGTATGACGGCAGTTTGTAAATAATCGAGTCTGGATCTGACAATCCAGTGATTGACATCATGAGCATCGATCCACGCAATTGGGATGTGATGACATGCATCAACCAAGTCAGTCGCCTCTTATGACAAGCATAGTCGCCTTTTACAGTAAGCATGGGTTGCTGGAGACCTATTCTAACCTGGATCTTCACAGTCCCGAAGTTCATTGGATGAAATCATATACCCAGGCAGCATTACACAATTGGGCCAACAGTGGGCCAATGCCGCACTAAACATTGCGCCAATGTCGTTTGCCGGCAATGGGCCAATGCTGTTTATCAACGAGGGGGCAGCATTGGCCAATCACTGATTGCCATTTGTCAGCCACCATTGGCCCAATGTTGGCCAAATGCTGGTCCAATATTGGCCCAATGTTGGCAAGTTTAAAATTACCTTTCCTGTCATTTCAAACTATGGTCAGTAGTTCACAGTCATGCATGCGTCTGTGAAGAATTTACGATGATTTCAAAGAAACTCATTAGCAGTGTCACCTCAGTGTTTAAAATTGAATTACAAATTTGATCATGCTGGTGTGAATGAATGGATATTTAAGATTTAAGATTTAAGATGACAACTGAATTTATTACATATTTTTCTATATAGGAATTATCAATTTATTTTCAGTGACTTTAAATGTAGATTGTCAGTTTTTTCTATTTTGTTTGAAAAATACAAAATCTGAATCAAAGGTCTAAGAGATGTAGGAACAGCGGGTCAATCAAAACAAAAGCTATGAACTAAAGAAATTCTGGGTCAGTCTACCACAAAACTGTATAATGCAAATCCAATTCAGGAAGTCCTGCATAGTCAGAAAAATGTAACAAACAACTGGGTGATCCACCTCCTTGTTTATTTACATGTAAATAGCTAATATTTGAATAAATATGCCTCACAGAACATTAATGATGTGAATTTGAACACAGTTATAAAATAAATGTCTCTAGTTTAAAGTTTTCCTAGTCTGGTTCTGCAAGCTACTCTCCACCAGGAATAGCTGGTGCCTTCTTTTGTAAGGACTTTAGGATCCGCTCTTTTCTGCCCCTGTCCCTGTCAGGTGCACAGCGAAACCACAATTTCATCTTCTAAAATTATCTTCTATTTCATTGTTGGTTTTTGGGGCCAGTGGGTTCTTTCTGGTGGCTTCTGCAACATACTTGACAAGATAGAAGCTACTAAAATCGTGTTAATTACTTCACACAAACAGTTCCATGAATATTATTGCTGGTTAATGTACAAGAATTGAGACGTTCGTTTTACACTGAAAGGCTAAAAATAAATGTTACATTGTTTTAAGTTGTTTTCAAAACAGTTTCATGTCTTAGCAATTATCAAGAAACATATTGAGGCGAATTAAGAACGTCTCACCGTGACTGCAGCGGTCATACCCCCGATGACAATAAGTTGTGAGACCTACCGTTTCCGATGTAATAAGCGCCCCTCTCTAACAAGCTCCCACCGCGATATTTGCTAATATATTTGCTAGTGAAGAATCCCAATTAGCACCCCTTCCGATCAATGTACACAAGACTTATTTATTCGTGTATTATACGCACTCGTGTGTTATATGCACCCTTAATTATGGGCAATTAAATTCTGGAAAATATATCTGTCGTGTATAATACGCACAGACTTTTCATTTGTATCATTTCGGATTGTCAGTATATACCACGAAATTTACAATCTTTCAACTGTTTTTTTTCACAAAAATTATATTATAATAAGAGCCCCCTATTTCTAAGTTTGCGATCGTCCTTGGCGCTTATTACGTTGAATATGGAATATGTAAAACATCCTTCATGTAGTTACAATTACATATTCGGATTATGGAGACAGCTTTCATAGAATTTGTAGATAAAATAACAGAACACGAACGAACGAACATTTGAGTTTGAATGAAGTGTTGTTGGGGATTATGAATGAAGTTAAATTAATATAGGTTATCGGTAATATATTTGTTTTCATGAAAATAACATTATTTCACAGTATAGCCTAGCTATTTAGAGTTCAAAGCATATCTGGAGGTATAGAAATATGAAACTATTACATGAGAAACTATTACATTTAAACTACATTCACGGATGTTTACACGAACAAAAGTAGACCAATGTACAGACCACACTTTTTTACTATGGCGCCAGTATATCAGATTTCATGAAATTAATTATCTCATTAATAACTCTTTCTTCGTTCAGATCATTACGGAGATTATACTTATTTTACACCAAAGCGGTTATCTGTTTGGGGGAATCTGTAGATTGATGAAAACATACTTACTGTTGTTGAAATGTGCAAATTCGGACACAAAGATGTCAACAGGAAGAATGACCCACTTGTAGAATGGACTGTAACCGTTAGCATGATCCGCGGTAAAGTGATACACAAACAGTTATTCCTTATTATAATAATGTGAGTTCTCTAAATAATTACCAGAGGGATAAATTTGTTATTTCAGTACTCATGACCAAACAATTTACATATATATATGTTTTTTTCATCCTATAAAAGATGGTATTTAATATCAACTTTGAGTGTTCAGGGCAGATTACTGATAAGAGCGTGGCACTGTAAGGGGCTACTGTCGCCTGGCGAGGGTGTGAGTGGAACCCAGCCGAGTTGTTATCTGGCATTGGCTGGCACACGCTGGCCCGATGATGGGTCAGTGCTGCAAGAGCGATACCGGCACTGGCGATACTGGCAACGCTTAGCCAGCATTGGCCCATTTGTGTAATGCTGCCTGGGTATAGTGACTGATCATGAGAGAGTTTTGTTTAATGTCACGTCTATATTATTCAAGATGTATCACAACGACTTGTAAATAATTGAGTCTGGACCAATGGTTGACAGCATGAGCACCAATCCTTGACACACTGACAACCAAGCCACAAGCTGTAACCACCTTATTCTCATTTAGTAAAGAGTGAGTAGGTATGGTTTTACGCCGCTTTTAGCAATATTCCAGCAATATTACGGCGGGGGAAACCAGAAATGGGCTTCACACATTGTACCTATGTTGGGAATGGAACCCAGGTCCTCGGCGTGACAAGCGAAAGCTTTAACCACTAGGCTACCAGACCTCCCCTGCATTTAGTTAAGAATAAGAATACTGATGCTGATACTAAACAGAACACATCCTGTCAGTGAAACAAGAAGAGAACAGTCCCTCTCGCAATAAATCTTAATGACAAGCTTGGCTTTAAACAACAAACAAACAGACATGAACATATATCGCATGTCGTAATAATAGAAATGACAGCTGTGCACATACATCATAAATGGTTTATTTGTTATGACTCATGTCTGTGACACATTAACTTTTAACAAGAATAATAACTTTGACGCACAGACAATTATCAGGTCATTAAAAATTCATTATAAATTCATTATAGCAAAAGATTCACCACCAGTATCGAATCAAAATCTCACCAATAATCGCACTTATAGATCAGAGGTCTCTGTATATATATATATCTATTATCAGCTGATGTTGCTGATGTAAGGACGAGTGCCCATGAAACCTTGAACACTAACCTTAACGACCGCGTGAAAGTGTCTGCGTCAGTGTGAAAGCAGGGACGTCATCATACGTGTACGTGCGACGTGTACCACAGATTCGATCTTTCACTCGACTTCAATGTCGGGAAGCATTTGGCCCAAGTTTACAGATCCCTGCAATGGGAATGTTATCGATTATAGCCTCACGGCACAGGCGGGTCAGTGTGACATTACTCTACCGAATACCGCTGAACTTTCCCTGGCTGTCTAGAGTCGAGCGATGTGTAACAGCCGTGATGCTGCAGCCACCTTGAACTGTCACCGGTGGGCTTAAGACAACACGTGTCGTTGTTTACAAAGGGAGATAACTCTCGTTTGTGACAGTCCAGCTGTTGACAATGTCACTGAGAAAGTAAGCGGCGGTAAAATCTGGTAAATAGTGCAGGAAATCCATTTCAAATTAAAAATACACATTAAAAACCATTTTAGTAAGTTTAATATTTATTGATATTTGATATGACCGATGTTTGATGGGTCTATTTATGAAGACGAAGGACAAATCCTAACCCTGCCTATGATCTCTCATTAGATTATCGGTATGGGCGTTTTCTTTCTGCTTATCTGTTTCATTAAAGATGTTGGATTTGTGACAACCTGACAAAATAAGATGTGAGACATCAGCTTGCTAGTTTAGTGTGTCACCGGGCGGTGGGGGAGTGTATGGTTAAAGCGCTCGCTCATCTCTCACGTCGAAAATATTTTGGATGGCATGTAATTTCTGTACGACCGTTTCGACTTCATATTATTGAGTTTTCGAATGTACGACCATTTTACATATACAGTAAACTACGGTTATAACGAACACGCTTATAACGAACTGATGGATATAACGAACTCATTTTTTTGGTCCCGACTATTTGCTGTAGTTATGCTGTGTATATGCTTATAACGAACTACCGTTATAACGAACTAAAATTAGTAGTCCCTTTGAGTTCGTTATAACCGTACTTAACGGTATTTCGTCTTCATGGTATCCAGTTTTCGATTGCACAAACCTTTCACACCTATTTCGTCTTCATAGTACCCAGTTTTTAAATTAACGACCATTTCCCATATATTTCGTCTTCGTATTCTCCAGTTTTCTATTTTACAACCATATTTCTTTCTTCACATTATCCAGTTTTCGATTGTACGACAATTTCTCATTTATATTTCGTCTTCACATTCTCCAACATTTCAATTGTACGACCATTCAATTTTCCCTGTATATTCTGCAGTATGTCCAACCTAGGGCCATTTCAAAGTTATTTATCCTGAAATCTTGTGCAAGAAAGGTTTACGTTGTTTAGGCAAGCTTACAGTTGACAAGAGGGAAACATGGCCTTGAGCTTCATTTATTTCTACTGGAGTCTTCTGGGTTATACATTGTTAGACTAGACGCGTAGTTAACAGGTAAGGGAGGTATTTACTGCTAACTGGATCTACCTGTGTTACTGGAGTTACTTATGGCGGCCATATATCACTAAGGTTGCTCCATGGAATGGTATATTTGGGATGAGGTGATGAATGGTGTTTGACGTCGGAGATAGAAAGTTGCAGGTTTATCACGGCTGTAAGTCAAGTCCGGACCAACAAAACCAAAGATTGATAGCGTGAACAACGATCCAACGAGCCCCCGGAGAAGCAGCAGGGTCAAAACATAAAGCTATCTCGAGATTGTATATTGAAAATGAAATGCCAACAAAACAGCCTATAAAAGAGTCAAGTCTTCATTTATGTGCTTTGCCCCCATGACAACGCATTAAGACGTACGATTGCCGTCAGCAATATCCCAGCATGACATAAATTGAATCTTGGCCAGTCAAACATGCGGTTGATATAATGAGCACCGTACAACGTCGTGTGGGTACTATGGAACGCTGTTTCTAGGATCGTCAGCACCATACCCGTGCCAGTCGCTTTCATCAAAGTGGTGAACGTCTGAAACCTGCTCCACTTCGGGATTTTCTTCCACATCATACTGATACCTAGTTATATGACTGAAATACTGTACAAAGCGGCGCTAAAGACAAACTCGCACGCTCACTCACTCACTCACTCTCACGACAAACTGGAGCCCAAGCCTAACCTCGGATCGATAATATTAATAATGTTTTATTACAACCATGTAGTGACGGTAACACCCTCAACTCCCCCACTCTCCCCCCGAGGACCAGAGGAGAGATACGTGTGTTTGCATGCAATATAGCTACATTTCATTGATTCGAATAAATAAATACCCAGGGTATAAGAAGATCATAATCTGTACAGTCCTCTGAAGCTAAATGCACATCCGATGCAGGAGTAATGATTGACTGCGTCAAGGCGTGGCGTATTTGACAGTACATCTCTGTATTTGTTCATTCCACCCATGGATGTTTGATATACGTGATATTCCTGGATTTTAAATCCCAATAGCTCCGCTATGTGACCAAGGGTAGATGAAAACAGGGTGCTGAGTGTTTTTATTACCGATTCGGGAGGGTGTTTTTCTTTGGTGTATATAGCAACCGGTATTTACGCATCTAGAGATGACAGGTCTTTGAAAGGGGACTTTGTCAGGTGCGCACTTTTCTGCAACGTTCTAGACATCATCATCATCATCATCATCATTATCGTCGTCGTCATCATCATCATCATCATCATAAAAATATTTCGAATGTCATGCTTGTATCCCAAGTACCAAGTGGTCCGACTCCCCTTCGTTCTTGGTGCCTTAGATTTGGTACCTCCCGGGTTTGCTGCCAGGAATACAGTCCTTCTGGCAATCTTGGTAATGCAGAAAGCTAAATGTGTTAGGGAGTCTTCACATTCCCCAAAAAGTTCTTGGTGGGTTTGACAAGGCAGCGCTTCCAGGGAGAAGTCCCATTCCCTATCTTGGCGGCGTGCAGAGGGGGCAAGGGCCCTGAGCTGATGATGAGCCTAACCAACCTGACTGTGAAAATTAAAAATATATAAATAAATATTATGATAAGCCCATTTATGACGCGCCAAGTTCCACTCCTAGTAAATGCTCATTGCACAACATTATTATTACCCTTTGTCAATGGATCAGTGTGCACTCGATTTTCATTCTCGGCTCCCTGGGGAGTATACAACCAAAGCTGCATGTGAAGCAGGTGGCAGGTTAACATGCACATAACCAGTGTCACTGGCACTGTCTCTGTATAATTCGACTACTCATTAACTGTTAGCTTGATATTCATCTTACAATTCAAGCAGGTACACCAGGGCCCACTTGCACAAAGCGATCTTAGCGCTAAGATGATCGCAACTCACACACTTTAACATTGGCTTACAAAAGTCGTAGCACTAAGATCGATTTGTGCAAGTGGGCCCAAGCGGTGTTTGAGGAACTTGAATCAAATTCGCTGGTTAATCCTCATTCATGACCAACTCGTGTTATTCCGGGACAAGCCGTATAGCGACTCGTGCCCCTCTCGTGGCCATTTTTGCGACTGGGTTCCGTCTTAGCGCAAACGGGCATACCCAAAACAATTGTCAACTCGTTGCGTAATGTTTCACATATATGTGATTGTCCCCATATATTATATATATTTCAGATGCAATTAAAAGCACATCGGGACATGCGGATTTATACAATATGATTGACCACATTTAACTGTGTCTTGGGTATATTTTTAGATGCAAGACATATGTAAAATCATAAATTGTTTCTTAGGGATTCCTTGACGAAGAACTTGAAATCATACGCGCATTCTGATTGGTTTGTCGTATTTTCGCACATAACATTCATCGATAGGGGGACGAGTCTTCTTGCAGGTTACGGAAAGGGGCGAGTGGTGACGAATGGTTCATCCTGTTCGCCCGAGACTCTTTTGGAAACAAAGTCATATTCCACGTCACTAGAAAGATGATACGACAAACACATGTTTTAAAAATAATATTTATTATGCCGTAACAATGTATACATCGCATCAAAATATAATGGGGCAGTCATGGATCAATCATTGCCGAAACCCCATTTACAAGGTGTTCGAGAAGGGAGCTAACTCCGCTGCCAAATCGTCAGGGCAAGGTGGGCACACATTCGAAACTTCCGGAGACATCACATCAACGCATTCATTCAGCACCACTCGGCCCTTTCCGTAACCCGTAAGACGTTTGGTTTGTTGGCGCGAGTTGCTCGCGACTGCAATTCATTGTGATTTGTCAATACGTGTATATATACTGATGGTAACAAGTTAAGCACTATGAAATCTCGCCAGATGGCCTCGTCGTGGAGTGAGTGAGTGAATGTGGATTTCAACCACAGTTTGTATTAAAGCTACATCACGATGCCCAGTAATATGATCGAGGTTTGACCAATAGTCTGATATTACCATGAACCGGCCAGCAACAGGGCCAATGGGGCTTAATATTTCAAACAGTCAATATTCACATCAATATACAACAGTCAATATACACGATCACGCCGATCTATATAATCGTTATAATCTTGAGTTCGTTGTCTTCAGTGGACATAACAACTACCTCTATTGATAAAACTGTCCACTTCGCCTTCCAAATCAAGAGAATCGAAGAAATGAGCATTCGATATACGGACAATATATCACTCACATCATTATAGGTCATCTTTGGCCTTCGACCCGCCGCTGAGACATCAACATCTGCATAGAGAAAAGATCAACACGTTTTCTTCAATATGCGGGTCTTATTCCATAATTCAAATGAAATATTAATCAGATCCATTTGATATCAACACAACTACAAATATTGTTAATCAAGAAATGTACAACTGCACGTCATCACGACCCCACATGTTTAATAGAAAACCACATTTATTGTCCAAAACTGCATGTATGTGCGCGGTGGAGGCTTTGTGGTCATTCATCCGGGGTTCGATCTTCTGCACTCACTCACTCACTCACTCACTCACTCACTCACTCACTCACACACACACACACACACACACTGGGGCTCACTCACTCACTCACCCACCCACTCACTCACTGGATGTCACTATATTCGCGAACACATGGTGTCATTACTGATTTTCAGGGGGCGGTTGGGTAGCCTAGTGGTTAAAGCATTCGCTCGTCACGCCGAAGACCCGGGTTCGATTCCCGACATGGGTACAATTTGTGAAGCCCATTTCTGGTGTCCCCCGCCGTGATATTGCTGGAATATTGCTAAAAGCTCAATCACAATCAATACTGACTTTCAGTGATCCATTAATATTCATTCCATCACAATTACGCCCAATGGAATCTACGTCGGTAGATAATTGAGACTGAATACACTCCGGCGCTGACGTTTTGAATTCGACTATACCAACTTTGAATTCCATGCATGGGCAATGTTTGTTGTGTGGAAAAGGCTTTCCGGGTCATCATAATGGACTAGTAAACAGTGTTACTATAGAAATAGGGTCATTATTTCTTCATAACACCCGGAGGGATGGATAAATACAACAGAGCCGGAGTTTTCAGTGACTCGCTATATATAGAAAATAACAATGGCGACCTCAATGTATTCACTCTCTGTAGATCCTTCTCCCGAGACCTTGTCAATAATAAGATAGTGATGGTCATCGCACTGATATAACCTCTCTGTTCAACAGACCTTTTCCGTTGATATGGCAACATGGTTTAACGTTATCACAATAACTAGATGTATTACGAATTAAATGCCGATGTTCGGCAATATTTGAAAAGACAGCTATAGCAAACCTTATACCAACATTATTTGTCACGAGTCTCTCTCTATATATTTTCAACTATAAAATGATTTGCATAAATGTCAAAGGAGGATATGCATGTAGGTAATAATGTTCATAATTTGATATCTTACGCGGGTCCGACACATTTGGGAGATTTAGCTTAATCAGTCAAATCAGCTCTAACTAAAGAAAGTCAATTACCAAAGACAAACATGATCCGGGGTAGAATAGGTCTTCAGCAACCCATGCTTGCCATAAAGCGCGACTATGCTTGTCGTAAGAGGCGACTAACGGAATCGGGTGGTCAGGCTCTCTGACTTGGTTGATGCATGTCATCGTTTCCTAATTGCGTGGATCGAATATTGGAGTGCGGCGTTAAACAGCAAACAAACAAAAGCAAACAACTGTAATTAGCGATAAGGAAACAGACATCGTTTGAAGTTTCTCCCTATCATCACAATGTCCTTTTAGCCGATGAAAGTGAAAACCGTAACCCCCCGAATAAACGTCCTGTGAAAGGTTTTGTTCCATGAAAACTTGGGAAACATTGAGAAGAGGCAGTTGAAAATAATGTTAGAATAGAACGACAACGCTAGAGAATAATCTATCTAGGTTAACTGCCGAAATTATGCCATTTGGTGTAAAAAGCAAAATAGTTTTGAAAACCGTATACATGAATCACTGAAAATCACCTGGTGTCCCGCTCTACCGGTAGCACCCGCCACTCACAATTTGACTAAAAAAAGTAAGTGTTTGTTGCCTAAGGCCGCACAGGAGCACTCCTGATATACGACGGTATTTAAATATAGCACCAAGGCACTGTAGCTCACTATGAACATTCAAGGTGTACTGAATGTTATAATGTGTCAGCCATCAAGTAAGGAGATCGCCGTGAAAATCCGAGTTAGAATAGGTCTTCACAACCCATGCTTGCTGTAAAAGCCGACTATGCTGTGTAAGTGGTGACTAACGGGATCGGGTGGTCAGGCTGCTGACTTGGTTGATGCATGTCATCGTATCCCAACTGCGTGGATCGATGCTCATGATGTCAAGCACTGGATTGTCTGGTCCAGACTCGATTATTTACACAGACCGCCGTCATATTATAGTTGGAATATTGCTCCGTGCGGCGTTAAACAACAAACAAACACTATTTTGATAGTGATTCATAAACACATGCTTATGATATCATCGGTCTCGTACACTGGACTTTGTTTATGATTACGGAAATGGTTTTGTGGCTGTATATTTGTAATGTCTTTTTATATGAGATGATATCAATGTAAAAATGGGGCGGTCGGGTAGCCTAGTGGTTAAAGCGTTCTCCCGTCACGCCGCAGACCCGGGTTCGAATCCCGACACGGGTACAATGTGTGAAGCCCATTTCCGTGTGATATTGCTGGAATATTGCTAAAAGCGGCGTAAAATCATACTCTTTCACTATAAAGTAAAATATAAATCATTAACATCGTATTGTTATCATTAATGGAAACTATCTTCGTATTTTGGTACAGCAGGGTTTTTTATTTAAATTTAAATGCAATCATTATATCTGAATTTCATTATGACCAAATCAATTTGTATGACCAAATCTGAATATTGACTTTCAGCTACCTAGACCTTGTGGTGTATGCAGAGCATTTTAAAGAGATTTCTCAATTTAAGTTGCTTTCGCATTTTCCTAAAAAGTACATACTTTTTTTTGTTTTAATGCCACAAACAAATCTAAATCCCATTAACTGAGTGATTTCTCAAGGACTATGTTATGGGTCTTGATAGATAATAATTAACTGTATCGTATTCAATGAGTAATCGTGGCTTTTAGAATTAATTACTTACATCGGCAATTAATTAACCATACTTGACTGAACAAAAGCCCTTAAACTTTTAATGTGTGCTATGTATTCTTTTACAATGATGGCTTTAAAATGAAAGCGATCGATGATGGGACGAAATCACCAGAAACGTTTGTACTTTCCTGTGGTATATTCATTACAAAAAGCCTGATCGAAAATGTATTGTCAATTATGTTATGGCAATAAGTCTAGATTCCATTTAGGTCAGACTTTTCTAATTGGTTTACGGATCCCATCGATCCTAAAAATGTGAAAAGTGAAAAAAAATATTTTTTTCCACCGAATGCCACCTTATGTGTTCAGACAAAAACGTTTGCGCATGCAGTACATTCATGAGTGAGTGAGTGTGTATGGTTAGACGCCGCTTTTAGCAATATTCCAGCAATATCACGACGGGGGACACCAGACATGGGCTTCACACATTTTTTTTTAAATATCTGTGGTATATTTGTAGCTGTGGGTGACAAAATATCTAATCTCGATACGAAATCCCAGACACAACTGTTCACAACGAGTCGCTTCGCCTTACACCAATGACCACCGAAACCATTCGTGACCAACTCGTGTTATTCCGGGACAAGACGGATCTTCTTGCAGGTTACGGAAAGGGGCGAGTGGTGACGAATGCACCGAAACAGCTAAGAAACTAGATTACGATCTTTGAACATGTTCCGTTAAATGGTCAATATGATGTAATGAATTTCTCCAATAAATTGACCCTCAAATATCCCTTTTAACATAAAACATACACACCCAAGTATCCATGCGCACGTACCCGCACAAATAGAATCGCAGACACATTTATAGTTTGACAAACCAGTGTTTAGTTTGTCCCTTAAAGACAATTTGTTTCTATTCCATTCATGGGATATATTGGGGTGGGGGGGGGGGGGTGGGGTGGGGGGTTGTAAATATTTCTGATTCAGCGCTACTCCCAGCGTTCCGTATATATACTATGTTTATCTTTATCCACATAGCGAGCTGCATTGATCCAAAAATTGGCGATCCACTTCTCCCCATGTTTGACATTGCATCCACCATGAAGGGACCGTCGGTGCAAAGACCCCATCCAACCAGTCTGCAAGCACAAACACGTGACACGCATGAACACGGCGCAGCGTCAATACGCATTGTCCGTACCAGGAAGTGTATTAAAACCCTACTTGGTTTCATTGATCTCCCCTAATGTCAAATACAGAGTCTTTACGCTGTGTAAACGTTTGTTCTACACCCAACATGCGATTCCTGTCCGACAGTGTTTGTAGATTAAAAATAGGACTAACGTCCATTTAGAATCCAAAACGATTGTAACGCTACGGCTGTCGTAAGTATACCAACGGATGGGAGTTACGATCGAAACAGATATTTTGCTTCTCATTAAAAAAACGAAATCTGAATAAGCAGACAGGCAGAAGGACGGTTCTAAATTACTTGATTGAGTGAGTGAGTTGTGTTTAACGCCGCTTTTAACAGTATTCCAGTTATATCACGGCGTGTCAGCTTAATGTGGGAGGAAAGCCCAAAGTGATGCAGGTCTCAGACGTTTATCACTTCGGTGAAACCCACGAGCACGGGTATGGTGCTGACAAACCTAGAAACATAATCGGGCCGAACCGGAATTCGAACCCACAATCATAGGTTTCTGGCGTGTCCACGGGACGCAACTCTGCACAGCGAATCGCGGCGCCTTAGACGACTGGGCCACCCTTGCCCCCCTAAATTACTTGAACACAATATGATGAAACAATACATGTAGGGACAATGCGTTCGAGCCTAGCAACGTTTTAAATAAACAAATTAAACTCACGTCCGAACACCAACAATCGACACAGACTTACGGTACATACGATCGTTGTGTTAGTGGGACCCGGTCTTTCGCTTCGTTCCCCAAAGCAATATTCGTGCCACCTTGATCGTAACTCTCATACCTCAACGGATACATACGACCCCCCAAAGAAAGAAAGTATTTTTATTTTATAAAAGACTATATGTAACAAAAGCATGGCGTGCCATTCCTTCAAATGCGCATACCGTATTTCCTCTATTAGACGCTGGGCCTCTAATAGACGCCGGCCTCTCATAGAAGCCGGGTCAATTGTTCAGTGCAAAAAATAGAAGCCGGGCCTCTAATACAATTAATGATCCCATTTTTTAGACCTAAATTACATAATGAGGACTCCCTTTCTCTTACGATCATAGTGAAATGGGGGTATTAATAGAAGCCGGGCCCCAATAGACGACGGGCCTCTAATTGACGCCGGGTCAAAGGCTTGTCCGAAATAAATAGAAGCCCGAGCGTCTAATAGAGGAAATACGGTACTTACGATCGCTTTGCTCAAGCAGGACTTGATTTCGGTCGGATGCTGGTTCTATGACGAACTCATTTAATTCGTCATGTGTTAGAGAAGTACCTACGATAGTCACAGCGCTAAGATCCGGACTTTGTACGTGGAAAGTGAAGTTAGTCCCTACCTGTCTGTAGTGTTACTGTGTCAATTATTAAGTAAGGTGCCTCGTTCCCTGACCTTCTCGTCCATGTGATGGTTGTACCACATGACTGCCTTCCCCATCTCCGGTGTCACGGCAACAGGTGCCCGGTGACAGTGTTCAGTCAGGTTCGTGTGTTCTTTCTGTAAAGATGATTTACAACCAGGTATAATGTTCAGACATGTCAGTGAACGTTATATCTCAAGATTGATGTTTTGGCGAATGCCATACAATATCTATGTATCTGTGTGTGTTGCCCTTTTCTATGTTAGTAATATACTGTATTCATCTCATACAAGTTCCAACTTCTAATGTGCCTCTCAAAGAAGTTATATGAGAGGCATTAATGGTTTCCTTCAATTATTCAAATGATCGTGTTACGCGTAAAATGTTCAATTGTTACCGAACCTAAGTACTGTCTACCCACGTTATAATGCCCCTTATTATAACGCCCCTGGTTATAACGCCCCTGATTATAATACCCGTCGCTGTATTGCCCCTGGGTATAATGTCCCTGGTTATAATGTCCCTGGTCATAATGCGCCCCTGATTAAAACGTCCCTGGTTATAATGCCCCTGGTTATAACACCCCATGGTTAAAATGTCCCTGGTCATAATACGTCCCTGGTTATAACACCCCATGGTTATAATGTCCCTGGTTATAACGTCCCTGGTTATAATGTCCCTGGTTATAATGCACCCCTTGTTATAATGTCCCTGGTTATAATGTCCCTGGTCATAATACGCCCCTGGTTATAACGTCCCTGGTTATAATGCCCCTGGTTATAACACCCCATGGTTATAATGTCCCTGGTTATAATGCACCCCTTGTTATAATGTCCCTGGTTATAATGTCCCTGGTCATAATACGCCCCTGGTTATAAGGTCCCTGGTTATAACACCCCATGGTTATAATGTCCCTGGTTAAAATGCCCCTGGTTATAATGTCCCTGGTCATAATGCGCCCCTGGGTATATTGTCCCTGGTTATAACGTCCCTGGTTATAACACCCCATGGTTATAATGCACCCCTTGTTATAACGTCCCTGGTTATAACGTCCCTGGTTATAATGCCCCTGGTTATAATGTCCGTGGTTGCCAGAACGGGTTTTCCACCATTACAATTCACTGGCTATAATTCTAAACTGGCTATAACGCCACCGCCAACCTCTAAAGAACAAATGTTCCAATTCCCTGGTTATAGCGTCCGTACCCTTTAGCCAGGTGGTCAACTTCCTGACATCAGATGCTATGATTACGTGACTATTCAGTAAGTTTGCAAAGGTTAGTGAGTTGTTTAATCCATTCAGTGCACAAATAATATGAATGTTATATTTTTTCTATTACATATGTATGGACTTGATAAACGAATAAAGATCTTTCTACACTACACTGATTGTTATTAAATGTACGTGTATTCATGAATGACTTGGTTTTGACGATTTAGAATGGCTTCCTTGGTTATAACGCCGAAATCGTCCTGGACAAATGTTGGCGTTATAACCATGGTAGACTGTAATCAAGAAGGGTAGGTTGTTGTTGTTTCTTGTTTAACGCCGCATTCGGCAATATTCCAGCTATATGACGGCGGTCTGTAAATAATCGAGTCTGGACCAGTCAATCCAGTGATTGACATCATGAGCATCGATCCACGCAATTAAGACGCGATGATATGCATCAACCAAGTCAGCGATCCTGACCACCCTATCACGTTAGTCGCCTCTTACGACAAGCATAGACACCTTTGACGGCATGCATTGGTTGCTGAAGACCTATTCTACCCCGGATCTTCACGAGTCTAATGAAGAAGCGGCACGAGTGGCCTAGTCGTCTCGGGGCATACAGTGGCGTCCTTTAGGCGTGGCAGAAACATCACAGTGTGTTCGAATCCCAGATTCGCCCTAAGCATGTTTCTTGCAGCAACGTGCTGAACGTCTACGACCTGTATCAGGGGAATACATGGAAATGTCCTCCACGTACGGTGTCCCATAAGCGACATGGAGTCTGTTTTTCAATATATTGATGTTTCACTTACTTTAATCGTAACCTTTTGCAAATTAACACAATTTGTCATACAAATATGTGATAAATCATGTATAAATACAACCGAAAACATGGAAAATGTACTTTCAAGTAGCTATTGACTCGCTGAAATGTGAAGCGAAAATGTCAAAAACTAAAATGGAAATGTCATAAACCAGAACGAAAATGTCAAAAACTAAAATGAAACCACAGAAAACTATTTCCACCGCGGTGGAAATAGTTTTCTGTATTTTCATTTTAGTTTTTGACATTTTCGCTTTTGTTTTTGACATTTTCATTTTAGTTTTTGACATTTTCGCTTTTGTTTTTGGACATTTTCATTTTAGTTTTTGACATTTTCGTTTCAATATTCAATATCTTCTTTACACTTGATTTATCACATATTTGTAAGACAAATCGTGTTAATTTGCAAAAGGTAACGATAAAAGTAAGTGAAATATCAAAATATGGAAAAACAGACTCCATGTCCCTTATGGGCCACGGTATCCACGTGTCCATCATAATATTTTTTTAAGCTTTTCAACGTTTTGAATGTTGTAACTCTGATCAAACAACCTCTCCGGTGTCCGGTGACACTCTTTGAAATTTTCGCAGGTAGGTCACCGATCTATTTAGTCGCCTCGCACAAGCCCCGGTCGATGTGTGCGTGATATAACGTGGTGCTCCAATGAGTGCTTATAGCTGTGTGATAAGCTCAGAGAGTTCAACAAACATATTACATACGTAAAGAATGTTTGACACTGTCAAAATTTAAGAACAAATGAGAATAATTTACAGATGTGCATTAAGTTTTCCTATTGAACCCTAGAAGGGACATTGTTGCGTTGTCGCACTGTCGCATTGTCGCCCTTACAAAACTATTATTCAGAGCGTGACAATGCCATAACGGGAAAAATGTGACAAAGGGCCAAAATGCCGCATTGTCGCATTGTCGCATTGTCGCACTGTCGTCCTTTGATTTATTTGAACAATTTTAGTGTGTTTTTGAAAGGGCGACAATGCGATAACGCGACGAAGCCTATTCTGGGGTTCCATAGTTTCCTTTGTGTATATATACACATAATCGACTCTGACTCTCTGTGAGTAAACATAACATAACAGTGGTCTGGCGTATTAATATAGAAACTTCTGTTACCGATATTTTGAAACCGTGATCCTGGTCTGCGACAGGGAATGCAGTTTCTCCTCCCTCCTCGACGTCATTCAGGTACACCAGCACCGTCAGGTATCTACAACGACGACAGCGACTTGTAAATGTTACATCAGTCAATATGTAAAATGCGTAAAAATGTTTGCACAATTAATCTATTTTGATGTTATTAAGCAAATAAATGGAGATTTGTTTCAGTCAATTTCTAAGATGACTGAAATATTTAGGCATTTTATAAACTGCCGAAGTGAATCACATTATAGACATTGACTCTAACATATACATTGTGGTTGATTGAATTAATAGTTCCATTATACTGTATATTATCTGGGGCGGTGAGGTAGCCTAGTGGTTAAAGCGTTCGCTCGTCAGGCCGAAGACCCGGGTTCGATTCCCGACAGGGGTACAATGTGTGAAGCCCATTTCTGGTGCCCCCTGCCGGGATATTGCGGAAATATTGCTAAAAGCGGCGTAAATTCATACTCAGTCACTCACTCACTGTATGTTATCTCAGTTTTATTGTGATAAATGTCCTAGACCCTCTGCTACCATACTTTCGTTTGGTAGCGGTCACCATCCCAATGGTCACCGCAGAAATTCTCCTCTCAAGAACGAAGCTTCAGGGTATATATACAAAATTTACGCTAGTTACGAGAACAGTCTTCGTAGCACAGGTGGTAACGTGACGGGCTACAAATGAGGTGAGGTGAGGTGAAATTGGGTTTAACGTCGCGTCCAAGATTATTGCACTTATATAGCGACGTGCATGTACGTGTGTGTGTGTGATTGTGTCGCTGCTTGTACTAGTCCGGACTGATGCCGATTTATAGTGCTAGCTCACTGAGATACCATGCCGCAGTTTAACATGACTACCCCACTCAGACACAGTGTACTGACTCCGAGCCGACCAGTCCTTGTTTTAGCCCCTTAATGCCGAGCGCCAGACAGGGTAACAACAAATACCATCTTTTAACGTCTTTTGGTATGACGCGGTCGGGGATCGAACCCCGGACCTTCCACTCTCCGGGCGGACGCTCTACCACTAGACCACGGAGGCGGTCCCGTAGCACAGGTGGTAACGTGACGGACTACAAATGAAAAGGCTGCAGGCTCGAATCCTACCTTTGACCGAGTGTGTATGTGTTTTTTCAAAGATAATATTCAGGCTCAGAGTGTTAACTGAACAAACATCTGGTTTTGCAGCTGTAGCTGAACAAATATCTTATCTCCATACAACATCCCCATCCCATCGCCTGACCCAAGGGCCCGTGAAGATCCGGGGTAGAGTAGGTCTTCAGCAACCGATGCTTGACCCAAAAGGCGACTGTGTTTGTAGGAGGCGACTAACGGGTTTGGGTGGTCAGGCTCGCTGAGTTGGTTGATGCATGTCATCGATCCCAATAGCGTGGATCGATGCTCATGATGGATTGTCTGGTCCAGACTCGATTATTTACAGACCGCCGTCATACAGCTGAAATATTGCTGAGTGCGGCGTTAAACAACAAACCAACCAACCAACCAAACCTACCCCAAGACTATTATTATATGGTGGGGACGTAATGGACAGGAGTCTGTACAGCTGTTGTGTCCATCAACACACGTCATGGTGCACTTCAGGTGTGAAGGATATGTACGAATATTAGCACTAAATATACTCGTCAGTAGATTATTATATGTACAAAGAAACGAAACAACGTCATAATTTGAATACAGCAACAATATAGAGTTGTACGTATATTGTAGGTTTATATGTGGAAATGTGTGAGTTTTAACGCTAAAGATACCATATAGAACAAAGGTTAATCAATGTCTTCCCATGTACACATGAAACATGGGCGGATCCAGAGGTGGCACTAGGGGAACGCCCCCCCCACCCCCACCCCCCCCCCCCCCCCCCCCCCCCCACCCCACCCCCTACACACACTTCTTTTTTTTAAAACCAAAAGTAGTATGCTGTAGACAACCCCCCACAAATACACACACATTTGAGAGAGAATTTTGATATTTTGGACCTCCCCCTATAACCAGGCAGTTTAGTATAGCGTCTGCCTATCTGCACAAGCCACCGGTAACACATCTGAGCGTTGGCACTTCACGCCGAAGGCCCGGGTTCGACTCCTCACATTGGTACAATGTGCGAAACCCGTTTCTGGTGTCTCCCGCCGTGATATTGCTGGAATATTGCTAAAAGCGGCGTAAAACCATATCCACTCACCCTGTCTGCCTTCACAAGACGCATGTAACACATTTGGTATGGAGTCTGCCTACCTACACAAGACGCAGCGGTGTTTGGTGTGGGGGAACCATGTCTGGTGGCAGCATGGTTTCCCTGCCCCTCCGTCCCCGGAACTGTCGTAGTGGCTGTGATAGTATCCCCCATCCGTGTACATCACCACCTGGAAGTCGGAGACAGCAATATTACATGTTTATTACAACTCCTTACCAGGCAAAAAGGCGCCAAAGCGTCAGGGTATGACGACACCCAATCAAACAAGTCGCACATTGTGGTCACCTGACTCACGACAAGATTAGGGCACTGGGGATACATTCTGCACCGGACTACCCCCGGGCCACCGCTCCTAAAAGGAGGTATTTTGTGAATACATGCTTTGATAAGGGCCAACAGGATCTGCATTACTAAAAAATGATCAAATATTTTGGGAATGGTTGTATTGCACATATTCAGTATCCCACCCCTCATCTATCAGTACCCCACAACTCATTTAAACAGATTCACTACCCTACCCCCTCACCTGCACAGGTTCACTACCTCATCCCCCCACCTGCACAGGTTCACTACCCTACCCCGTCACCTGCACAGGTTCACTACCCTACCCCGTCACCTGCACAGGTTCACTACCCCACCCCGTCACCTGCACAGGTTCACTTCCCTACCCCGTCACCTGCACAGGTTCACTACCCTACCCCACCCCCTCACCTGCACAGGTTTACTACCCCACCCCCTAACCTGCACACGTTCACTACCTCATCCCCGTCACCTGCACAGGTTCACTACCCTACCCCGTCACCTGCACAGGTTCACTACCCTACCCCGTCACCTGCACAGGTTCACTACCCCACCCCGTCACCTGCACAGGTTCACTACCCCACCCCGTCACCTGCACAGGTTAACTACCCTACCCCACCTGCACAGGTTCACTACCCCACCCCGTCACCTGCACAGGTTCACTACCCTACCCCGTCACCTGCACAGGTTCACTACCCCACCCCGTCACCTGCACAGGTTCACTACCTCATCCCTCAACTAAACAGGTTCACTACCCCAGCCCCATCGACACAAGTTCACTACCCCCGCCCGTCACCTGCACAGGTTCACTACCCTACCCCATCTGCACAGGTTCACTACCCCACCCCCCACTTTCTCAGATTCACTACCCTACTCCATCTGCACAGGTTCACTACCCCACCCCCCACTTTCTCAGATTCACTACCCTACCCCGTCACCTGCACAGGTTCACTACCCTACCCCACCTGCACAGGTTCACTACCCCACCCCCTCACCTGCACAGGTTCACTACCCCACCCCCTCACCTGCACAGGTTCACTACCTACCCCCTCACCTGCACAGGTTCACTACCTACCCCGTCACGTGCACAGGTTCACTACCTACCCCCTCACCTGCACAGGTTCACTACCTACCCCGTCACGTGCACAGGTTCACTACCCTACCCTACCCCCTCACCTGCACAGGTTCACTACCTACCCCGTCACCTGCACAGGTTCACTACCCTACCCCACCTGCACAGGTTCACTACCCTACCCCCTCACCTGCACAGGTTCACTACCCTACCCCCTCACCTGCACAGGTTCACTACCCTACCCTACCCCCTCACCTGCACAGGTTCACTACCCTACCCTACCCCCTCACCTGCACAGGTTCACTACCTACCCCGTCACGTGCACAGGTTCACTACCCTACCCTACCCCCTCACCTGCACAGGTTCACTACCCTACCCTACCCCCTCACCTGCACAGGTTCACTACCCTACCCTACCCCCTCACCTGCACAGGTTCACTACCCTACCCTACCCCCTCACCTGCACAGGTTCACTACCCTACCCTACCCCCTCACCTGCACAGGTTCACTACCCTACCCTACCCCCTCACCTGCACAGGTTCACTCTCCAGAACTAGGTCGAGGGGAATTCCCGTCAGAGCTGAAATCCTGAAACATTAAACAACACATCTTTGTGCTATGAAGTGATACACACGTGAAATATACTTACTATATATCATGAACGATAATGTTGAAATTGTCATAGTAATATTACCTACACGGTTTTGAATATTAAATAATAACTATCCCATATTTGAATTTTATTGATCCCGAAAAGGGATTTGTAAAATGAAGCACTTTAGCGTCATTTAGTGGTGGACAACGCAAGCAGAAAATTAATATGCATTATAACTAAACAGATTTTCGCCTAAATCTATTTTGCTGCTCTTGCAGATAGCTGAATTATCCCTGGGCCAAACACAAGCATCAGAAAAACAATATTCAATAACATACAGACACCTAAAAGAGTTGTTCTCAAACCTGTCGCTGTTGTAGCTTAACGCCGTGTGCTGGATATGACCTTAACATATTGAGTGAGTTTAATTTTACGTCGTCCTTTATTCCCGTTATATCACGGCGTATCAGCTTAAAGAGAGGAAGATCCAAACTTGCGCGGGGGGTATATATATGTTGGTGACAGAACTCAGGGATTCAAACTGAGGGGTCCTCGCAGCTAACGGACGTAACACGCACTTGCACTCGCAAACACACGGAAGCATACATTTTTTCCGAAAAGCGAGTGCATGTGTGAGTTACTGTTGTTTGAGACTAATGGTCCAGTTATAGGGCGGCTGCGTGGAAATGATCGAGTCTGGACGGGCAGAACCTTGGTTGACATCATGAGCAGCGATTAACGCCGTTGGGGCGCAATGACCTACAATGCATTGTTACCACTCTCATCGGATCCCATACGACTTATTCCCGACCTACCCGCACACAACATTCATCGATAGGGGGACGAGTCATCTTGCAGGTTACGGAAAGGGGCGAGTGGTGACGAATGTCCGCGTGCAGCAATGGAGATTATGTTACTGCCGAGCCCCACCTCCGCGTATAGTGTTCTTTAACTTCTTTTTAGCAGTATTGTTTGTACAACATGACGGCGGATTTGAGAAAAAAATGTATCTGACTTTTATAGAATTTAGGGTTATAATTTATTATCGAGCAGTGTTGATACAAGTGGCATGACTGTTGCCCACTTGTGTGATGCGGTAGTCACGTGACCGTGTAAAACCCCGTTCCAATATGGATTCATACCTTTGCTGACCGAGATAATCCATGGGACTAAGGTGAGCCGAGAGGGACAGAATGTAGTAACCTGTCTACTGGCATGCCGCTGAATATTGTGTCTTCTGTATCAAATACAACTGCGCCGTATTTCATACTATCTGAATCCATCTATAGTCATCGTTTTCAATAACATTTCCGGAAGATAGTTATTGAAAGATATCAATACTATACGGTGAAAAGACATATTATGCAAACAGCCCGGTCTAGTTTCAAAACACTTATGTATATCGCGCTATTGGTTCCGTCATCAAGAACCTTCGGTATGCTCCATCATCGATCGCGTGGCGATGTTCACAAGGATGCTGGTGGCCTATTGTCAGAACAAAACATGGCATTCGCGTTACTATTTAATTACTAGGAACTGCCTTCTTTGTTCATGGAACATTAGCTGAAATAGACAGAAGTGTGAAACACAAGCGCGACTGTTGTATCTGCCATTATTGACGTAAAAGCGAGCGACTACTCGCGTGATAAGGAATAATTTACTTTGCGAGCTGTGCACACGAACAATACAGTAAACTACGGTTAAAACGAACTCGATGGGACCACTAACTTTAGTTTGTTATAACCGTAGTTCGTTATAAGCATATATACAGCATAACTATTGCAATTAGTCGGGACAAAAAAATCAGTTCGTTATATCCGTCAGTTCGTTATAAGCGTGTTCGTTATAGACGTACTCTACTGTATTCAGCACGATTTATAACAAATACAACAGTACCATGCAACTTTACGCTACAATGCTTTGACTTGAAAACATACACTATAGTGATTTTGTTGTTCAGAGAACATGATGTTAATACATAAATTTAATCCCGACGCTTCAGAATGGTTAACTGTGTATTTTGTACTGCAATGTGAGGTTGACAGACCTGTATAGGATGTAGGATCTCAGTCTCTAATTCCATCTTTAAACAATTATGAATATTTTTTATTTAAGTTTTATTGACGACTAGGCTATAGATGGTATAGAGGGTGAAACTACTGTTAAGACACTGAACCTAACTTCGATAATTCTTTTACTGCTTAAAATATTAACACAGACAGACACTTAAAACAAGTGGTTGTCAGCATCAATGTTTAAATGATTTCTACATACATATCAGGACCCGAGAAGACCCGGGGTAGAATAGCTCTTCAGCAACTGATGCTTGCTGTAAAAGGCGAGTATGCTTGTCGTAAGAGGCGACAAACGGGATCGGGTGGTCAGGCTCACTGACTTGGTTGATGCATGTCATCGTATTCCAATTGCGTGGATCGATGTTCATGATGTCAATCACTGGATTGTCTTGGTCCATACTCGATTATTACTCGCCGTCATATAGCTAGAAATATTGCTGAGTGCAGCGTTAAACAACAAATAAACAAACATGTAAAACATACATACATATCATGGACTGTCCTTGCTCGCTACTGATTCCTGTTTTAAGTGAAAACAAGGGAGATAACGCTGGATGGAAGATGGCAGGACGGGTTAAGGAATTGGGGAAAATGTCGCTTTTATCGTTTGGCCAAGGTGGATATTCTTTCCTGAATGTGTTGAGGTTTGACTTACACAGGTGGCAGCGGGGGCTGAGGGGGCACGGGTGGCCCAGTCGCCTAAGGCGCCGCGCTGTGCAGAGTTGCGTCCCTTGGGCACACCAGAAAACTATGATTGTGGGTTCGAATCCCGGTTCGCCCTGATTATGTTTCTAGGTTTGTCAGCACCATACCCGTGCTTGTGGATTTCACAGAAGTGGTAAACGTCTGAGACCTGCATCACTTCGGGCTTTCCTCCCACCCTAAGCTGACACGCCGTGATATAACTGGAATACTGTTAAAAGCGGCGTTAAACCCAACTCATACATACATACATACATACATACATACATACATACATACATACATACATACATACAGACAGATGGCAGACAGGGTACTTGCCATAGGACTCGGACACAGGGACACCCAATAGGGCTCCAGCATCCACTGCTTGCCGTGAGGCTGATTGTGAGTCATCGCACCCGATGGCGGTGATCGGTGTTCATCATTTCAGTCACTGGTTTGCTTCGTCTAATGATGTGTAGAGACAATTCTACACGCTTCACCGAATTTACATTCAATCATTATGTAGAGAATCAAGACCTACTTGTCCTCGAGTACAGTGGAACCCACTAATGATTTCCTTTCCATAAAACTTGTGGTAACCAATGGGCCAGTCACCCATACACCACCCATACACCTATACACCCACAAACTCACGTCTGAGACTGAATGACTTCGGGCTTTCCTCCGGTATTAAGCTTACACGCCGTGATATAACTGGAACACTGTTAAAAGTGGCGTTAAACCCAACTCACTCGCTCACTCGCCGCCGTCATATAGCTGGAATATTGCTGAGAGCGGCGTTAAATAACAAACATAACCAAAACAAACACTCACTAACCCATACACACACACACACTTCCACTCACTTACGTCTGAGACTGAATAACTTCGAGCTTTCCTCCCGCATTAAGCTGACATACCATGACATAACTGGAATACTGTTAAAAGTGGCGTTAAACCCAACTCACTCACTCACTCACTCACTCACTCACTCACTCCATAAAACTGTTAACCACAAGATAACAACAGAAGGTAACACTGTTGGTATCTGACAGGTCAATGTTCGAGGCAAGTGAAAGGTTGTTCGGCAGTCATGGCGTCTTTTCTAATTTATGATCTTGTAAGGAATTGAAGTGTCACGATGACAGTCACATCAGCACTGTCTTCTGTGACACACGTCTCAAGGGACGAAGAACCGGAAGTGCGACAACACAGCAGAACATTGCGCCTGCCAAAGGGCCAACTTCCGGAACGGTACATGTGGGACAAGTGGACTGTGAACAGCAGCCACTACTACTTCCCATCATGCAACGTAATCGTTACTTTAGCGGAAATAGCCTTAGCCGAAGTAATAACGACCCTGACCTGTGAATACACACTGGAAGAGTGGCTGAGTGAGTTAGATCGCTGACTTTGTGTTCTGGCGATAAGGTGCTTCACTCTGGGAGTGTGGGTTCGAATACCAGCTGGGACTCTGTACTTTACTAAGAAAGATTTATTCCAAATACATGTATAACATATGTTGCATGTGACCTTGACCTCACTCACTCTCAGTTTCCGAGATAATGAATTACATATTCGAGTAATAATTAAACTTAATATTTTCGAAAATGAATACATTAAAAGCCTCTGGGTATGTTTAGTGTTTGTAGGATTTATTTTACAAAGTATTGTCGTGTATTTATTATAACAGAGATTCCCGGTTTATACTCCCACCTGTGCCGTATGGACAGAAGATGGCGTCCTCCGCTGACAAAGGCTGTCTGTGCTACCCGTCCCGAAGCTTCATTGCTGGTTCTCGCTGCCTGGGCCCCCATCTGCCGTGCCCCCCGCAGACCCCGTGATCTAGCCTGGCTGATGATCAGGGAACACTCTTTTGCCGTCAGAAATCCAGGAATTTCTGACAAAATAGAGTTGTGTAAACGAACACCTGAATGAGAGAGTTTTGAAATGAGTGAGTGAGTATGGTTTAACGCCGTTTTTAGCAATATTCCAGCAATATTCCAGCAATATCACGGCGGGGGACACCAGAAATGGGCTTTTACACATTGTACCCATGTCGGGGATCGAACCCGGGTCTTCGGCGTGACGAGCGAACGCTTTAACCACTAGGCTACCCCGCTGCCCTAGCTTGTAAAGGATAAAGACCGTCTCCGAGGTCAGAAATCTTGATGTGAGTGAGTATGGTTTTACGCCGCTTTCAGCAATATTCCAGCAATATTACGGCGGGGGAGACCAGAAATGGGCTTCACACTTTGTACCGATGTCGGGAATCAAACCCGTGTTTTCGGCATGACGAGCGAACGCTTTAACCACTAACCTACCCTACCGCCCCTAGCAATCTTGAAGTGATGCAGTTCTTTTCGGTGAAACCACGAATACGGTTATGGTGCTGATAAACTAAATGTAATCTTGTTTTCGATCATAGGATCCTAAAACTTTTAAGGTACGAATCACACAGCGGTGCGCGGTGGGGTAGCCCAGTGGTTAACGCGTTCGCTCGTTAGGGCAGAGACCCGGGTTCGATTGTCCGCATGGGCACAATATGTGAAGACCACTCACTCACTCACTCACTCACTCATTGTTTCGCCGGTTGGCCTGTGTGTTCTATTCCGTAACAAGTCACATGGTGTCTAGTATCTCAAGGGCTGTATGACAGACACAGTGTTTCGAGGCACTGTGTTCTATTATCACACATTTTTTAGCTGTTTATCAATACTTTAGCTGGAGTTGATTTCCATACAAACAAGTTTTTTACCAAATTGCTTTCAGCCCATTTCTGGACCTGTTATCTGCATCAAGCCTGAGCATAATACCTGAAAGGTAATCTTGTGAAAATAGACGCTAATTAAGAATCGATGTTATCGCTTGAAATATGAGCCATTACCGTCGATTGGGATGTCAAGTCAATAGCGTTGGCACAATGGTCGTATTTAATCACAGTCTTAATATCCCCATTGCCTTTTTAGCTCTATTTCTGCACAATTACATTTTGCTGTTAATCAATTGAATAAACTTGAAAATATTTATGGTAACTAGAATTATATATTTTTTTTAAAATAACGAGGTTCTCACAATAACCGTCGCCATGGTAACATAAAAACTGGATTGTGGTCACAATCACTCGCTCATGTTCTTGTATCTTAAAACCGAAAGGCCTCCGTATAGAGCGTTGTAATGCGATGTATTATTCACATGGTTCAATATGAGCGATTATATAAGAACCTACGACGTACTAAGGATATACATATACTGTGGCTTTTTTTAAACCAAAGCTAGGTTACCTGTATTTTTTAAACGCGCTAAATTGAATTTGGAACCGAACGCGCAGCGTTCAAGCGGCCGTCAAATCAACCGATCAAAGGTTTTTTGTTTGTTTGTTGTTTAACGCCGCACTCAGCAATATTCCAGCTATATGACGGCGGTCTGTAAATAATCGAGTCTGGACCAGACAATCCAGTGATTGACATCATGAGCATCGATCCACACAACTGAGATACGATGACATGCATCAACCAAGTCAGCGAGCCTGACCACCCGATCCCGTCAGTCGCCTCTTACGACAAGCGTAGCCACCCTTTACGGCAAGCATGTGTTGCTGAAGACCTATTCTACCCCGGAACGTCACGGGTCTGATCAGAGGTGGTTATTGTTATTTGAATGGTAAACTTCTAATTGATCATTCACAATCGAGTAGTTTCCAGATTCAGGGTAGAATCATTCTTATTCGCTCTATAGGACAGACCGCCTCCGAGCGTCCGCCCGGAGATCCCCGATCGCGTCATACCAAAAGACGTTAAAAGATGGTACTTGTTGTTACCCTGTCTGGCGCTCGGCATTAAGGGGCTAAAACAAGGACTGGTCGGCTCGGAGTCAGTATACTGTGTCTGAGTGGGATATTCATGTTAAACTGCGGCATGGTATCTAAGTGAGCTAGCACTATGAATCACAAACACACACACGTACATGCACGTCGCCATATACGTGCAATAATCTTGGACGCGAAGTTAAACCCCATTTCACCTCACCTCACCATTCTTATTCGCTCTATACAACATATAAATTGCCTCGAATTACATAATTGTTGCCGTGATGTATATAATGACGTAAGTGATGATGACATTGCAGCCTAGTTGACGTCATGTCCACACTGATAGCTACTCGATTACTACTAATATTTCCGACTCTTATCAGGATTTATGTGACTTCCAGAGCACTCGCTGGGGAGAGGAACACATTCCGATTGTCGTTTCGAAAAATCGAAACACAAACCATCTTATCATTTGTGTATGTGCCAGATCTTTGCAAATCTATTTTTCATCGACATTTTGCCTTGTTTACTTTTTTGACAAACTTTGGTTACTGCATTAGGGCCAATTGTATAACCTGGAATCCTCACGGACGTGTTAAAATGTAAGTCAGTTTACCAAAGACAGGTGGATCCTGTGCCAGGGTTCTCCGCCAATGCGTGATGCCCGGATGTAACTGTATCCGCACCTCACTTCCGGTCTATTAAACACATAGAAAACAAGGCTAACGGCTTTTACAGAGCGTAATAATGCACAATGTATAAACTATGTTTGCTAAAAGGGCGGAATAACTAAATAAAGTATTTAACCTTCTAAAACAGCGATTCAAACGAGCAATCGGGTCAACACATTCATATTATAAATTCCAGATTGTGTGTAATTTAAAATAATCAAAGGTACTGTAGCTAATGTCAGAACCGTAGGTACAAGTGAGCCCGTGGCACGGAGCGTTGTCCATCTTCTGTTTGCTGTCGACATCTCGCTATCACAACCGGCTGAGGGAATAAGTGCAGCATGTCTGAGGGCTCATATTCATTGTGTAAATGCTGTTGTTATTTTTTGTGTCCTTGTGTTTTCAAAAAACACATGTGAAAAATCTTTAAGAAACCCTTTTGTATGAAACGAAAAGCATTAACGTGAAACATTGATATTATGAGTCGCAACACAATGAACGAGTATCATACCAGTCTTTTATTCATCAAGTAGAGTAGGTCGTAGGTCCATTCTTTTTCACAGAGGATCAGAGAATTTAATGCACAATCATCTTCCCGAGGCAAAGGAGTTAACTGACTATAAAAGTCCAGTTTCCACCCTTGCCGAACTAGGCTGGAATTTCTGAGCTCGATCGTAGCCCCACCAGTGGCTATTACGAGTTAGGTCCATTCTATGTCCCACCCTATTGACCAATCAGATTCCACCCCTCATATCACTTGCATTTGCTTCAAACAAAATGGCGGCGTCCAGTCAAGACGATCAATAATGAAGATCTTTATTGTGATTAAACAGGTCTTACCTTGCGAAATGCGTCAAATGACATGAGCACCTTGATTAAAAAAATGAAAAGATTTGGTAATTATCTGTTGACGCTGCGTTGGCGGTACACATGTTTTGCAAATCCTGCAATCAAACGAAATCTCCACGACAGTTTACGAACCGGATTTCGATTTTGATACGCGATTTTGATTGGACTATTCATAGACTCGTTAGTCCAGCAAAAGTAGAACTCCATAATACCAGCCCTGTTCGGCAAGGATGGATATTTGACTTTCATAGTCAGTTAACTCCCTTGCCTCGGGAAGATGATGTACAAGATACATTACATATGTTATTTACACAAGTCGAAAATGCGTTGCCTTACAAGTAAAGATAAATGTTTCGAACATGTATGTTTTGTTTTGCCGTATGTATTGGTGCTTCTCCACAGCAACATAAACTGTACACATACAGACTCAATGAAAAATATATAACCCTGACTTTCCACGATATAATCACTCCTGAATGTGAAGAATGAACTTGCGGTATCTATAGCAACACTAGTGTTACAATCTCTGACATTCATATATTAATGTGTTTTTTTCATTGGCGAAATGACGTCACTTTTCCGTGTGGTGATACGCCGTATGCATCAACATCAATCAAATTCACATGTATGCTCACAAATATTATGTTTAGATTAGGATTTGATGGAGCATGGGTGTTTTAGACATGTTATAACCATGTTTTTTCCACATGCTGTCACAACGTTTAAAGAAAATTCCCAACAAGATTGGCACAAGTTCAAAATGTCATTCTCAGATATATTTTTAAATGTTAGGTATATTTTGGATTTACCACTATTGCCTCCCAAGTTCTCGTGAAGATCCGGGGTAGAAAAGGCCTTCAGCAACCCATACTTGTCGTAAAAGGTGACTATGATTGTCGTAAGAGGCGACTAACGGGATCGGGTGGTCAGGCTTGCTGACTTGGTAGATACATATCATCGATCTCAATTGCGTGAATCGATGCTCATGATATTAAAGACTGGATTGTCTGGTCCAGACTCGATTATTTACAGACCGCCGTCATATACCTGGAATATTGCTGAGTGCGGGATTAAACAACAAACAAACCAACCAACCTAATTTAAAGATAAACATACAGCGTGAAAAAGAGGAGTTGTCGCACTATAAACCAACGTCCTTATTAATCCCAACATTCAAACATTTCGTTTAATATTGATGTCAAGAAGCCCCAATATAACATTGTCAAGTTTATTTTCCATGAGGATGACGAAAATTATTTGGCCTTATCAAATATTGTAAACCATGTATCCAAAAATGTAAATATATTTGATCAATATCTTGCACTGTATTAGTGAGTGAGTATAGCTGTACGCCGCCTTTAGCAATATTCCAGCAATATCAAGACGGGGGACCCGAGAAATAAACTTCACACATAGCACCCATGTGGAGAATCGAACCCAGGCCTTCGGCGTGACGAGCGAACGCTTTAACCACTAGGCTACCCCACCGCCCTGCACTGTATTAACAAGGCAAAGGTGTGTGGCCTCTAGGTGACGAAATAAAAGAGAGAATGATTTATACTTGTATATATGGTGGCGTCGGCTGTACACACCCTGAACGTACCAGATGTTGCCACACTGGGTATCGAGATCATAACGTTTCTTCTAGAATACTACAGTTTTCAAATTTATTATAAAACTTATAATTACAGTAAACTACGGTTATAACGAACACGCTTATAACGAACTAACGGATATAACGAACTAACTTTTTAGCCCCCACTATTTGCTGTAGTTATACTGTATATATGCTTATAACGAATTACGGTTGTAACGAACTAAAATAAGTAGTCCCTTTGAGTTCGTTATAACCGTAGTTTACTGTATATTGTATTATTTTTATTAATAAATAATTAAATCAGTTCATACGTAACAAGGAATATACGCTGACAATCTCCGTATGCTATTAGTAGCAAATAGGACAAAAATAATATCGGTGGTTATAATAATGATAATAGTCCAGACAACGACTGTTGATAATGACGAGAGTTAACTATGAATTCAGTTCGGTACAAACCTTTCCCGGCACGATCCAAGGCAAAGCATAATCCCTGGTTGTCGGTAATTTGCACTGCCGGAATAGGAAGGAATATTGCACATGTTTCTCACATGTATTTACGGTAGCGTTCCCTTGCACGTGCGCTGACGACATGTACAACATCACCCATGTAAGCGGCAACGTACTCGACATCATCCCCGACGTCGTGCAGCAGCTCAACTAACCAGCCTACCGACAGCCCTCTTGTGATCGTAAAGGTTATATCAATACTCCCTACTTCCACGCGTTTAACACTATCACCTCTTTCTCTCTTGGCTTCACATCAAACGGGAGCATAAAGGACTGTTTTTCTTCCATGCATATATTGATAGAAACTAAAACCGGTTTTAATTTATATTTAATTCCGGTATATCGATGTTCTCACTAGGGGTCCACAAAGAACAAATATTTCTCATTAGATTTTCGATTGGATTCGTTATAATAGTCGTTTACGAAAACTTCCGCCAATGTGCATATACTTATATTGACCTGTGTGAGTGAGATTCCTCATCAATGTGCTTTAATAGATGCTTTGTACTATCTGTTGCTAGGCTATATATTCGTAAATCGTGTTTACACGCATCCTATCTGCGGGACATTATAAAAACATGAGCTGTAAAGTGACTGTGATTGTTGTTACCGAGCCTCGATGAGAAATTCAATAAAACATTATTAAGTGTGAAATTATGTCCGCAAGGAAACGAGTATGAGAATGGAAAACACTTGAGGTTGTGGTGTTTGTGAAATATGCTATTTGTTCAACAAACATTTTTCTCTGTTACAATATCTGGTAAGGTTGTTTTGGTTTGGGTTTTTTGTATTATTGTATATGTAAAATAAATGCAAGTGTATTGCTTAATGACGTCACTTTCGATTATTGTTTATCTTTGCCGAGGCCTTTGATCTCTTTGATTAGAGATCTATTATTGACAACCAAGATATCAAAAGGAACAGATAATAAGCTTGTCCGATTGATGAGTCATTTCAATTAAATATTGTATGCACTAGCCGCTTGTCTCTAAGGCATTGAATAAGATTAAAATATCCTGTGTAGGGTATGTGTCCTATGCGTATCAAAGAAATTAAAGAGAGTGACAGAGTTGTGTCCCTTAGCGAAAGAATCCGAGATTGGCCACCATCGTTGGACTTTAAGTATTATTCCCACTGATTTAAGGGAAGGGGAACTTGTATTACCTGTGCCACGTCGTGCAAGCTATGACATGACCGAACCATTGCACACACTGGCGCTACACCGAAAAGTCTTGTTCAGGGTGCATTCTCATTAAAACCAGAACTTTTACCCCGATGCGATACGTGTGCAACGTCTCCGTTGGAGGTCGCAATCTCAGCAATCTTTCGCCAATCCTGTGTGTGTGTCACGTGTGTGTGTTAGAGAGAGAGAAAGAGAGAGAGAGAGAGAGAGAGAGAGAGAGAGTTGTGTTTAGCGCCGCTTTTAACAGTATTACAGTTATATCACGGCGTGTCAGCTTAATGTGGGAGGAAAGCCCAAAGTGATGCATGTCTCAGACGTTTACCACTTCGATGAAACCCACGAGCACGGGTATGGTGCTGACAAACCTAGAAACATAATCGGGCCGAATAGGGATTCGAAATCACAATCATAGGTTTCTGGTGCGCCCAAGGGACGCAACTCTGCACGGCGAATCGCGGCGCCTTAGACGACTGGGCCACCCGTGCCCCCTTGCCAATCCTGGGCCGGTCCCCTCTGTTGTCGGTTTTGGATGGTTGTGTCAGGTGACCATTCTTATCGGCCAATCAGCATCGATGCTTCTGAATTCCTGGTTCCAGTAAACAAATCAGACCTGAATATCTGATTTCTGTATTAGCATGGTGACAGAACTTACTGGTACGTCTTACACGGGGGAGGTTGATCTTCCCCAGGCAATAGTGGGCAGGTGGACAAGCTTAGTGGTAAAATCATAACCTTGACATCATAAGCATGGATCTACGCAATTGGGATACGATGACATGCATCAACTAAGTCAGCGAGCCTGACAACCCGATCCCGTTAGTCGCCTCTTACGACAAGCATGGGTTCCTGGAGACCTATTCTCTACCCGGATCCTCACTGCAAATATCAAGCACCTTAATGTCGATAAATGACTCTAGTTTTCTTAACAAAACCATATGTGGACAACAAATTCAAAGTGAAAAGGTTTTGCTTTTTATCTAGAAATTTATTGTTAGCACTCTTTGAAAGGTCGCCCCAAAAATTCCTTACTCATAGTTGATTTTGTCTGTTTCAACATGGGGCCTCAATCATTCACACGGTGGCATTTAAACATATACGATGTCAACTTTAAAACAACGGGAAAGACGATGTATATCCATTTGACATGAAGTTTAAGTCAGACTGTCGTCGTATTACATTGAAACACTATCAATAATTAATAGGTGGAGATGGGTATACCACTTAGTAAAACGACGGCTAACATCAACACTCAGGCATCATGTTAATTATTAACTATCATTCTACACCGAACTTTCCAACAAAGGAATGTTCAAAGTTGCTTAGCCGCGTTTGAGACATTTGACCTATTGCGTAGTAACACACCCCGGCGTTGACGGAGCATCAAACTACCGCCCGTAATCTACGTGAGCGGACTTCTAAAGGAACTACTTAACTCAAATCTTCGGAAAACACAAGGCGACAATACCAAACATGATATTATGATTGCAGGTTCGATTCACGTAATGGAATTGTCATGTTAAAAATATCTTGACTTTTAACCAGGTACAAATCAACATTGGATGAGAATTAATTGAAATAGTTCAAAAGTAAAACCACAAAGCGGGTCTTACATGAAAGTAAAACGTTTCTAAGTCTCTCCCGTCTTTCAACTTGATTAAGTCCAAGTATACTACTTTTAAAAAGCTAAAGAATCCGCTGTTATCCTCCTTGGAGTTATATGGGTCTGGGAGCGCCACATTTGATGTTAAGGGACCAGTAAGGTCTCAGGTCAGACACGGGTCATTGGCACGAGATGTGGCGTTCCCGGTACCAGGCAATTAAAACGAGAGCAAAGGAGTACCGCTAATTAATTCCATTACCGTAGTTCATGTATAGAAACTGACATGCATGTTGAGGTTAAATGTGCATATTAGGGCTTAGTCCAGGTGAAATGTACTCAACAACAAAAGTTCCTGTGACACCAATATTTTAGTGTATTTTTCAAACAAGTAAAGTTTGGTTTTCAGTATTGTAGTACGTGTATGGAATCAAGTCACAAAAACGCAATTCCTACAGAAAAGCATGTATTTCATGCAAAAGTTGACTTTTATACAAGCCCCATGCATTTCACTACCTAAGAATGGGTATACAAACTTGTGCGTTAACGGGATTCCATATGCATTGTTTAGCATCGTGCTGACAACAACCACTCAGAAAAAAAGCAAAATTACGCAATTGTTCAACATTACGAAATGCCATGCCTGTCCGAAAATGAGCGTCTGCGAGCCATTGGTATGCTTGAAGCAGGATCGAGTCAACGTGATGTTGCAAGACAATTTAACGTCCACAGAAACACCATTTGGTGTTTATGGCAACGTTGGCAAGAGACGAATGCAGTCAGAGACCACCCTCGGAGTGGCAGGCCACGCGTAATCAATAATCAACAAGACAACTGGATTCGAACAACACTTACGAAATCGATTCCAGCCAGCAACAGTGACTGCAAGAAGCATCCCTGGCCTTCGACGAATATCTTCACAAACGGACGTCGTCGCCTCAGATGTGCAGGGATTGTCGCAAGAAGAAGCGCCTGACGTCCCATTTTGACAGGAAACCACCGCCAAGCACGTCTACAGTGGTGCAGACAGCGTTTACGCTGGACGGCCATGCAGTGGGGACAAGTTCTTTTCACTGACGAGTCTCGTTTTCACCTCAGCCACAGCGATGGACGATTTCGAGTGTACCGACGTCGAGGTGAACGTTACGTCAATCATTGTGTCATGGAAGAAGATCGGTTCAGGGGCGGCAGCGTTATGGTATGGGGTGGGATTACAGCAAGACAGAGGACCCGTTTGATAGTGGTAGAGGGAAATCTCAATGGACAGAGCTACCGCGACGAGATCGTCGGCCCTGTTGTTCTACCGTTTTTGCGTCGTCATGGCCCAGGCATTACCTTTCAACATGACAACGCCCGGCCTCATATTGCTCGTATTGTTCAGGATTCTCTTCAACAAAACAACGTGAATGTCATCCCCTGGCCGGCTCGCTCCCCTGATCTCTCACCAATCGAGCACATGTGGGATGAGATGGATTGGCGCCTTCGACGTCAACCACGTGTTCCACAGACACTCCAGGAACTTCGAAACATGTCAAGCAGATATGGACATATATCCCACAGGATTTTGTGCGACGCCTGGTCCATTCCATGAGACGAAGACGTGTTGCTTGCATCGCAACCAGAGGTGGACACACACGCTATTGATTTGTAAATTGACATTTGGGCATGTTCATGGTTTATTTTATGAAATCACGCATTTTCTGAAGTCAGTATGGCAAATTAAACCATTTGAACACTTACAGGAGTCTTTTATCTGTTGCAAACGGAAATTGTTTCAGATTTGGTAAAAAAACATAACTTTGCATTAAATCTTATTCAAGGTCACGGGAACTTCTGTTGTGAAGTATAGTTCAGACACATGGTCTGTGTAGTGAGTGTCAGATAGATGGTCGTTGACGAGGTAGTCGTCCAGTGATCTAAGGAGGGCGTCGATTCGGTGGTAACGTCGCTAAAGAGAGCCTGAGGTGCAGAAGGAACGCCGTCTAATCTCAGGATGAGGACTTCGGTGTTGGACTGCTCTATTTGGAAGGTCTATATTTCTAGCATGTATCTTTACTGTGTCATTACAATTCAGCAAATTATATTTTTAATTTTATTTATATAATTTGTAATATTTCTGAATAACTCGTTTACTAGTATTTCATAACACGTCTTTGAGCTAATGTATTTTCTATCTATACTGAGAAGCAAAATCATGCGACAGTGATAATATCACACATGATATAGCATAAAAAGATCATAAAACGTGAAATGGAGATCAATGTTGATTAAATGACGGTGTTTTTCTCAGATTTTAATGCAAACCAATGACTGGAGAGCATCTCAAATAGAGAGTTCAATAACGTGTATGCCCACCTTGGGCGACAATGCATGTCTGAAGTCTGTTAGGCATTGATATGCACAGTCTTAGAGTAAACGTCTGTGGAATGGCCTTCCATTGCACCGGCAGAGCTTGAGTTAACTCAGCGACAGTCTGTGGTGGTTGCAACTGACGTCTAACCCTACGGCCAAGCTCGTCCCACAAATGTTCAATTGGATTCAAAACCGGCGATCGAGAGGGCCATTTTAACACCTGAACATTTTTTTGTTGCAAGACATTCCGGGTCACGCGAGCTGTATGAGGTCGGGCACTACCGGTTGGTTAACGCCACGTCGACGTCCTCTCAGCAACGGTAAGGGCGCTGATTGCAACACTGTGTCAATGTAACGCAGGGCTTTGAGACTTCCACGAATCACAACCAAGTCAGAGCGACAGTTGGCATTAATTGCACCCCACACCATGACACCTCCACCTCCAAAACGACCATGTTCAATAACGCAGTTTCGAGCAAAACGTTCATGATTGCGTCTGTATACACGGATGTGGCCATCTGGGAAACTGACGTTGAAATGTGATTCATCTGAAAAGATCTCTCCATTGCCTGGGTGCAAGACGACCACCTGCAGCTGCCCAGCGTTGACGTGCAAGACGGTGTGTGTTAGTCAAGATCTGGCCACGATAGGGTCGACGGCACCGGATGTTTCGTGCAACAAGGCGACGTCGGACTGTGCGATCACTGGTCGTCCCCTTGTTCCCATCATGCCAATGGCAGACTGCCGTGCTGTTCTGAAGCGATCCCTAAGGTGTCTCACAATGATGAGTTGATCCTGCCTCCGTGACGTCACAGGCAGCGTTCCTGGTCGAGGACGCTCGGCAACACTCCCAGTTGTCCTGTGACGATGCTGCAGTCGGACAACAGTTGATCGATGGGTATTGAAGTGCGCAGCAACTTCTCTCGACGTCTGATCAGTTCCCAACATCCCTATGGCTTGGCTCCTCCGTGCGTTGCTTAACCGTGGCATCATGATTATGCATGATACCCTGCCCGCACTGTGTATTTTTAATAGGACCCAAGTCCCCATTTTGCACGTGCATCGGGACTTTTTTCTGATCTTCCTGATTTCCCACATTTCACCTTCATGGTTGCGTTTTAGTCGTCAAGCCACTGCGTACATGGCAGTGGGGATTCAAACTCAAACATTTGATGTTCGCCATTGTTATGTATACCCCTTTACTTGGTGTCAGTTGTTAGACACACAGACACAGATAACGCCGACTTTTAGCATGATAATGGGTTTGTGTTTTTAATGCCTCTCAGTATATCACACAATTGTAAGCATTCACGGTTAATCCATCGATACGGCGTCCACGGCACAAACAGCAGAATTATGTATTCGGCTTTCCCGGGACTCTCTGCTATTCAAATGTGGAGGCCCGTGAATATCCGGGCAGAGAATAGGTCTTCATCAACCCATGCTTGTCATAAGATTCGACTATGCTTGTCATCAGAGGAGACTAACGGGATCCAGTGGTCAGGCTCGCTGACTTGGTTGATGCATGTCATCGTATCCCAATTGCGTGGAGCGATGCTCATGATGTCAATCACTGAAATGTGTGGTCCAGACCGCCGTCATATAGATGGAATATTGCTAGGTTTGAAGCCTCTTTGAACAGTATTCCAGTTATAAATAGCAGAAATCATAGCCCAACTTACTCCTTCAGCTAAAAGTGTGTTTCAGTTTATCAGAATTAGCCACATCTAGAAGAAATAACTTCCCGTTTGAATAAAGAAATAGCCTCAGCAAACAAGTAAAACAGAACTTATGACGTCACAATAATGTCTGTGTCCCCGTTTTCCGATGACGTCACCTATCATCACAAAAGGGCATGACGTCATAATCAATGCTCGTAGTGTAGACAGAAAGAGTCGCAATATGGAGACGTACGGAGGACGACTGTCGTCCTCGACACGTAGCCGTTCAGTGCAGAACAGTCATCATACAGCCGCCAACATGCTGGTCAAGGAGGAGAAATTCCTGGACAAGCTGAAGAGCAGTAGCCAAAGATCTATGGGGTATTTACACCAAGTAGAAGAGATCATATATAGACATGGAAGCTCGAGGCAGTTGATTAGACTTGTTAAAAAATATTTCTTGCTTCTTCTGACAGGCCCGCCCCGAAAAAAAGCCCTGCCCTCTTATAGTTGTTTTTTAAGCACTGTATAGAAATAACTTTTTTCAAAACGGGGGCGTGGTCATGAGTATAAGTTTACTTTTAATGATTTGTAACCTAGTAACGGAATAGAAAAATACAGCCCTTCCAAACTTGCCATCTTTGAAAGGAAAGTCGTGTGAAAAATTAATATTATATTTAATTCGCTGTCAGCTTAAACATCGTAACCAGTACTATTTGACAGTCGCATGCCGTTTAAGTTTTGATAGAGACGGAGCAACATGTTGGTTGGTTGGTTTGTTGTTTAACGCCGCACTCAGCAATATTCCAGCTTTATGACGGCGGTCTGTAAATAATCGAGTCTGGACCAGACAATCCAGTGATTGATATCATGAGCATTGATCTACGCAAATGGGATCGATGACATGCATCAACAAAGTCAGCGAGCAGTGTCGCCTTTTACGCCTGTGACGTACTTAGTGAATGTGTGTGCATGAATGTTGTTTTACACCGCATCGCGATGTTCAGTTATGTCTCAGGGCGGCCTGACAACCAGTGGCTGACAGCATGGGCAACGATTTTCACGACGTTTGGGTACGATGACACACAATCAGCCAGGTTACAGAGTGAGTGAGGGGGATGTTCTAGTTCTGACACGCCGCGATATAACTGGAATACTGTTAAAAGCGGCGTTAAACCACTCACTCACATAACATGTTAATAACGTAATGCCAAGATCTTCGTCTGGGGCGAGGTTTTAAGAAACAATCGCAGTGTGCAAGTGCCTTGTGACGTTGAACCCTGCACTATTAGAGAGAGGAGGGGGTAGGACCCAAATAATACAGTTTTGTCCTCCATGCAGACGTGAGGAGGAGAAACTCAAGAAACGACTAGAGAAGATAGAGCTGGAGAGAAGCAAGTCCCCCTCGAGGGGGTACCTGGACCAGGTGAGTCTGTTAGAGGGGTGGGGTGACGGGGGTACATTAACAAGTCCCCCTCCATGGGGTACGTGAACCAGGTGAGGCTATTAGAGGGGTGGGGTGTGAGGGGGGTCCATTAACAAGCCCCCCTCCAGGGGGCACGTGGACCAGTTGAGGCTGTTAGAGGGTGGGTTGAGGGGGGTACATTAACAAATCCCCCTCCAGGGGGTACGTGGACCAGGTGAGGCTGTTATAGGGGTGGGGTGTGAGGGGGGGTACATTAACAAGTCCCCCTCTAGGGGGTACCATGACCAGGCGAGGCTGTTAGAGGGGTGGGGTGTGAGGGGTACATAAACAAGTCCCTTTCCAGGGGGTACGTGGACCAGGTGAGGCTGTTAGAGGGGTGGTGTGAGAGGGGTACATTAACAAGTCCCCCTCCAGGGGGTACGTGGACCAGGTGAGGCTGTTAGAGGGGTGGGGTGAGGGGGGTACGTTAACAAGTCCCCCTCCAGGGGGCACGTGGACCAGGTGAGGCTGTTAGAGGGGTGGGGTGAGAGGGGTACATTAACAAGTCCCCCTCCAGGGGGCACGTGGACCAGGTGAGGCTGTTATAGGGGTGGGGTGAGAGGGGTACATTTACAAGTCCCCCTCCAGGGGGCACGTGGACCAGGTGAGGCTGTTGGAGGGATGGGGTGAGGGGGGTACATTAACAAGTCCCCCTCCAGGGGGTACGTGGACCAGGTGAGGCTGTTAGAGGGGTGGGGTGAGAGGGGTACATTTACAAGTCCCCCTCCAGGGGGCACGTGGACCAGGTGAGGCTGTTAGAGGGGTGGGGTGAGAGGGGTACATTAACAAGTCCCCCTCCAGGGGGCACGTGGACCAGGTGAGGCTGTTGTTAGAGGGGTGGGGTGAGGGGGGTACGTTAACAAGTCCCCCTCCAGGGGGTGCCTGGGGCCAGGTGAGTAGGATGTGAGTTCTACATGGCGGGGGGCTGGTGGTACCCGGACCTAGGGAGGCGGTTACAGAGGGCTGGGGTTAGAGCTTCTGCCCCACCTAGAACACTGACTTCAATAGCAGACACTCCCTACAGTGCAAACACATCCATATGTACGTTCCAGTCACATATTTGTGAAATGATGGTAACCATGATCAGTTGTTAGTATATGCATGTTTTATAGGCGGCTGTAATACGGATCGGCAACAAAGCTCACTGTGTGCAAAATCTTTATGTGTCGACGCAAGTTGCAACTCTCTAATGTATGCGCCTAAATACCCCGAAATTAAAATGTTTGACTGTAGGACAAAAGGGTGGATATAATGTGTATTTTATGTCCATATTGCAAAGCATGCCCATCAGTACAGAAGTATGTGAAGAGTTGCGTCCCTTGGCAATACTAGGATGCGCTGTTGGGTTCGAATCACCCGATATTTATCCTTGGTAGATCTGCATAATGCCCATTCCTGTGGACATTGCCAAAATCATTAACGTCTATGACTTGAGTCATTTTGGCACATTGTGACATTTCACACGTTTGGTGAATATCATTCCGTTCACTCATTCCATATCTTTTCTCTTTGCAGGACAATGAGGAAGAATTTATAAGGTAAGCAATTCTACTGTTACGTGTCGATTCCCAAATAAAAACAATATGTTAACCAAGATATCTGTACGTAAAAGAACTTAGAGTGAAACTACCAAACATCTAACAAGTGGTATAAAATCGACAAATGTATTACACATTTCACTAAGTTTACAAATTAATTACAAATTACTGCACAAAGATTACAATGACAGTAGACAATAGAGTGGTAGTACAATATTCAATGGCAATATATAATATGATGCCAGCGGTCAGTATCAAATACAAAAATACAGTGGTGATAGCACAGGCAGTGATAATAATACTAGTATATGTTCACGAAGCGGCGACAGTGGTCAAACTTCCGAGATGGGCTAATCAGGAAATCATGGATGATGAGCCATCCTCACATGAAAGCTGGTTCCAAAGCGATGAAATGCGTGAGAGATACAAACACGTTGTTGTTCCCTTATACATAACCTAAGAAGCTACTGGTAGTGTTGATTCTGTGCCATCACCAGTCTAGCAGCATCAGAACATTACAAAACTTTCCATATATTTCTAGAATATCGTCCGTGGTATACCGGACCGGAATTTTATACACTACATCTAAATATAGTAACTTACTGACGACTGATCACTGTCCAAACAAAATGCAATGAGCGTCTACCGAATCCCAACAGAAACAATGCAACACGGTTAAAATCATATAACACTTCATATGGTCTTTAAACCATGTCTGTGATAAACCACTTCCTGACTCGTTGCCATTGTTCTATTTCGTTTATGCCAGCTGAAGTAACGATCTATCACCCATTGCCACTTTAAAGCACAGGGTTCACACTAAGACACCGATCCTGCACATATGTTGTAAAGTTGGTATTTTTTTTTAATAATTAAATAAAAGTCAAAAGCACTTTTCAGCCTCGGAAATGAACGCCGAATCTTCCTATTGTAAAGCTAATGACATCACCAGTACCAGAACGGAGTACAAAAGAATCAGAAACAATATTTGGGAACATTTTATGTCCGCTTCATTTACTTTTGACAGCTGTCTACTTTTGAATCGGAAAGTTATGGCTGCGTAAAGGATTGTTTGTTTGTTGTTGAACGCCTTACTCGGCAATATTCCAGCCATATGACGGCGGCTTGTAAAGAATCGAGTCTGGACCAGACAATTCAGTGGTTGATACCAAGAGCATCGATCTACGTATTTGGGATACGATGACATGCATCAACCAAGTCCGCGGACACCTAATTGTACTACCTGATCGCCCGATCCTGTTTGTCTCCTCTGATGACAAGCATAGTCGGCTCTTATGACAAGTATGGGTTGCTGAAGACCTATTCTCTAACTGGATCTTCACGAGTCGGTATAAGTTAGTTGTATACATTCTCCACTCTGTGAGTCGCCACTAATAGTCTGGGTATAACTCTGGGTATAAATACTATGTATTACACAGTATGGTCAGTAAGTGACTTTTCGTATCTCGATGTTCCAAATATCCTGTTTGGTAGCCCAAAGACGTAGATCTATATGCGTCTTTGGGTAGCCTTGTTATTAAAGCGTTCGTTTATCAAGCCGAAGCCCGAGATGGTATTGCATACATGTATTGTAGAATGTGTGTAACAGCATTGTTTCATTAAGAGTCACTCATGGTCTGTTTGTTTGTTTGTTGTTTAACGCCGCACTCCAGCTATATGACGGCGGTCTAAATAATCGAGTCTGGACCAGACAATCCAATGATTAATATCATGAGCATCGATCCACGCAATTGGGATCGATGACATGCATTAACTAAGTCAGCGAGCCTGACCACCCGATCCCGTTAGTCGCCTTTTACGACAAGCATAGTCACGGCAAGTATGGGTTGCTGAAGATCTATTCTACCCCTGCGTCTTCACGGGCCCACTTATGTACTGAAACGTATTGATGGAACTATCAAATGACGTTGGATCTCAACAATGGCCCTGATAATGTCGCACACCTTTCATTATGATGAGCAATTCTAAATATATCGCCAAAACAAATTTATATCAAGGGAGGTAAACTTTCTTCTATTTTTCGAAAATGAACCAAGGCAAGTAACGTAATCTTTTTTAGCCTTTCGAGAAGTTTATTCTATCAATTCTATCATTTTTCCTGGTATATTCTGTACACAGTGAAACCTCGTTAATCCGAACTCCTTTAGTCTGCAAGCCCCGTATTCTACCGTAAACGTAAATATCAGTTAAATGAACCTGACAACGTTCACGTGACCGTTAATCCGGAAATGATTTAATCGTTTCCATTTCACGGATAGATATACCGTCCGGAGTTTCACTATAACTGAAAGACCCGTGAAGATCCGGGTTAAAATGGGACTTCAGTAACCCATGTTGGCCATTACATGCAGGCGACTATGCTTGTCGTAAGAGGCGAAAAACGGGATCGGGTGATCAGGCTCGCTGACTTGGTTGATGCATGTCATCGTATTCCAATTTGCATAGATTGATGTTCATTATGTAAATCACTGGATTGTCTGGTCCAGAGATTGTTTACAGACCGCCGTCATATAGCTGGAATATTGCTGAGTGCGGTTTTAAACAACAACAAAACAAACAAACTATAACTGATAAGCCTTCATCTTAATGTGAATGTAGGTCGATGAGCCGAAGTGGCACCAGCATGACAGGGGGCAGCCAGCGACGGGAGAGCCTGCCAGGAACCGGGCCCCCCCGGCTGCCACTGGGTGCAGGGAGACAGAGAGCTATGTCCCTGGCGGCGGGACAAGAGGAGATGCTAGCCAGGAAAAGCGTTACATTCGGTGAGAGAGAGAGAGAGAGAGAGAGAGAGAGAGAGAGAGAGAGAGAGAGAGAGAGAGAGAGAGCAAGCTATGACATGACCGAACCACTGCACACACTGGCGCTACACCGAAAAGTCTGGTTCAGGGTGCATTCTCATTAAAACCAGACCCCGATGCGATACGTGTCCAACGTCTCCGTTGGAGGTCGCAATCTTAGCAATTTTTCGCCAATCCTCTGTGTGCGTGTGTGTGTGTGTGTGTGTGTGTGTGAGAGAGAGAGAGAGAGAGAGAGAGAGAGAGAGAGAGAGAGTTGTGTTCAGCGCTGCTTTTAACAGTATTACAGTTATATCGCGGCATGTCAGCTTAATGTGGGGAGAAAGCCTAAAGTAATGCAGGTCTCAGACGTTTACCACTTCGGTGAAACCCACGAGCACGGGTATGGTGCTGACAAACCTAGTAACATAATCGGGGCGAACCGGGAGAGAGAGAGTGATTCCTGAAACAGCTGTCGTTTTCACAGAGAAATATTGTATAAATGCTTCTACAATTAATCTTCCGACAGTTGGCTCTTGTAAGAAACCTCTGGTGGAGAAAATTAGTGACGAGGCACCAAGTATCGTCGTAACCGACCACGACCCTAAAGACGACGTGCCTCACAAAGTTGGCGCACACGATCCCAAACACCAAGCGGGGTAAGGGCTGCCGTTTCGTTGGGGGGTTGTATATTCTCCAGGGAGTTGAAAATGCATATTAATGATTGTACACTGATTGTTCGCCCTAACCGTGGATAGTGTACATGCTAAGGTCATACCTTGTGTAGAATTTGCGATTTTATTTGTTTGTTTGTTGTTTAACGCCGCACTCAGCAATATTCCAGCTATATACGGCGGTCTGTAAATAATCGAGTCTAGACCAGACAATCCAGTGATCGACAACCCGAGCATCGATCCACGCAATAAGCGTACGATGTCATGCATCAACCAAGTCAGCGAGCCTGACCACCCAATCGCGTTAGTCGCCTCTTACGACAAGCATAGTCGTCTTTTAGGGCAAGCTTGGGTTGAATTGGCGATGTACAGGTGTACATAATACAGTAGTAGTAGTAGTAGTAGTAGTAGTAGAAGTAGTAGTAGTAGTAGTAGTAGTAGTAGTAGTAGTATGATGTTTGTAACCCGTAACCCAATGTTGATCTTTACACTGGTGATTGTACCGACATCTATCCAAATTTGTTATCTTCACTCAAATGTGTACATTTCAAAATGACAAACTGTTATCTTCTGGCATTTTACAAAGTTGTTTCTTTGACCACATAAAACTTCCTAATATATTTAATTTGAATACACACCCTTCAACTTCGCAGGACGTCAGTTTCTAGCACCACCGGGGCACACGAGAACATCCATGATCTATTCGATATGGCGATCCAGACAGTGGCGTCCAGTAATGATAGCGAGTTCAGGACATCGTCTGGCATTCTCGAGGGCAAAAAACAGAAACCACATTCACATGTAGGTCGTGATCTAAAAAAAGATTAATGTTGGTTGGTTTGTTTGTCGTTTAACGCCGCACTCAGCAATATTCCAGCTATATGACGGCCAAAATGGCTATTACTGATGGTACATGGTCTCATATTTGGTCAGTAACAACCATCTTGAATTTTTACTGACGGTATACGGGCTCATATGGGGTCAGTAGTTCTGCTCTCTGATTGGTCAATCTCACTTTGAGGCATAATAAAGAAATCTGTGTTCCTAAGTTTTCAAATATTCAAGTTTCAGATTCCAGTCTGTAGTTGAACTTTGTACCTCGTGAGTGTATAGTTATATTTTGAGCCATCTTACCGTTGCAGTCTGATATAAGCAATCGACGTCAATCTCACGGATCACATCCGCACGTAGCTGCACCCACAAGCAAAGCAACACTGGATCTAAAGGCATTGAAGGAACTGGAGGAGATCTTAAAAGATTCTCGACTATACTCTACCAAGTGAGTGTTCATATCCCCGCTTACACAGTAGACGAGTGTATATGTCCTAGTTTGTACCCCACAAGGGGCGGTGGGGTAGCCCAGTGGTTAAAGTGTTCGCTCGTCACGCCGAAGACCCGGGTACGGTTCCCCACATGGGTACAATGTGTGCAGCCCATTTCTGGTGTCCCCCGTCATGATATTGCTGGAATATTTTGCTAAAAGCGGCGTAAAACAATACTCACTCACTCATTATACACCACGAAGTGAGTGGTCATATACCCGCTTATTTACCACCAACTGAGTTCCCACATTACCCATTTATACACCAAGTGAGTTTTCACGTTGTTGTTGTTTTGTGTGTTTTTTACTATTATTAATTTTTTTTTTTTTTTTTTTTAATATCATTATTTTTATTTTTATTATTATTATTATTATTATTATTCCAGGAAGTGTCGTCAGCTTGACGGAAGTCACGACAGTTCCATCATGAGGCAACAGAAGAAGCGCATGCTGCAGCTAGAGCAGCTGCTCAGCTCCCTGAAGATCGGCCAGAAGAAGGAGGCCCCCCCCGTGAAGTTCGACCCCATGGAGGTCCTCAACTGCACCTACCTCCGGCTCTCCAGGAGCAACGTCGAATCCCTGGAGAGGATGGTGAGAGAGTCAGGGAGGGACCCCGGCATCCACGCGCACAGTGACGTCACCGATTTCAAACTGTTTGATGACAAGGCCGAAGATGCTGATCCTGTGGGGCCATAGTATACTGTGCTGTTGGTGTTCTTAAGGGGAATACACATGACCAATTCATCATTTGGAAATGTGATTGGTTGTCTAACATACTTTGAATTAATTAAATATTGTTTTCGTTGTCTATATTTTAGTTAAATAGCTAGCATGTAACATGTGTTGAGGAATATATTGAATTATGTCTTTTTACATAGGCTATTAATTCATCAGTAGTCTTTGGTTTGTCTGCGTATCATGGCTGCTGTCTTTCATTGTGTGCTAAGAATGGTAAATGTTGCTTCTATGTGAAGAATATCCTTGGCCCGTCAAATATGGGTAATCAATTTATTTATTTATTTTAATTTTTTTTTTTTTTTTTTTTTTTTATTATTTTCTTTTTTAATCAATTATGTATAGACCCTGCAGTTTAGTGTGTAGAGAACACTTGTATTAAACGTGCTAGTAATAAACTTTAATACGTCTTTTGAATCATGTTTTGTGTTGTGACGAGGCGAAGTGCCAATAATGGTGTGGGGTACCACCATGGTGCTTGTCTAGGGGTGCTGGTGGACTGCATTACAAGTTACATTTAGCGTCTTGGGATACATCCAAAATTATGAAATATATATGACAGGGTTACCATCTTTACAGCAGGATCCACTTTATCCATTCTGCTTTGCAGCGGATGGCTTTGTGTCCGCTTTACAGTGGATGGTCAGCTTGGCAACAATAGTTGCCCTCGCTCAATATTTGGCAATAGTACTTGCCTGGCAGCGCTAGCTGCATAGCAACATGGGTTGCTTGGCAACGGTAGTTGCGGGACAGCGGTTGCTGAATTAGTAAGCAACATGTGTGGATTGGCAACGGGGCCGCCTCCGTGGTCTAGTGGTAGAGCGTCCGCCCGGAGAGCGGAATGTCCGGGGTTCGATCCCCGACGTTAAAAGATGGTACTTGTTGTTACCCTGTCTGGCGCTCGGCATTAAGGGGCTAAAACAAGGACCGGTCGGTTCGGAGTCAGTATACTGTGTCTGAGTGGGGTATTCATGTTAAACTGCGGCATGGTATCTCAGGGAGTTAGCACTATAAATCGGCATCAGTCCGGACTAGTACAAGCAGCCACACAAACACACACACGTACATGCACGTCGCTTTATAAGTGCAATAATCTTGGACGCGACGTTTAACCCCATTTCACCTCACCTCACCTTGGCAACGGTTGTTGCAGGACAGGGTTGCTGTATTGGGTTCCCTTTTAAAGTAGTTAAGCTCATTTTCGGCAGTCCACCAGTACCTCCACATCCTTATATAATTGGTTTAATGCCCCAAACAGCAATATTCCAACTACATGTATATAGGGCCGACCTGTAAGCAATGGAGCCTCAGGCAAAGCGGTGACAGAAAGTGTGAGCAGCGATCCAAGCACGGTGACACGTTTCTGCCTAATCATCGAGTTGGACCAACCGACAACAAGCATGGGATTCTGGGAGTTTTGAATATTTGGATTAATAAGAAATACCTTTCCATATATTTACTTCTTAAAACTGATCAAATAGATACTTTAAAAAACGCCTTTAGCGTTATTTACACAGACAAATACGTCAATTTTATGTCATACTTAGTTCATGAGCTTTTAATTAAAAGTGGTCGTTATATAAAACTGAAAGAAAAGACTGATTTTTTTAGTGTTTTTAACTTGAATAATAATTGAAGATGATTTCAGCTGTTTTCTTGAGTAGATCTGTACAAAATATTCAGCTTTAAGAAAAACAACTATTTCAAGTATCTAATTACAAATCATCAATTAACAGTAAAAGATACATATCATTATTTCATGACTGGCAAAAGCTATATATTCTCCTTTAAGATTATTTTTGCGAAGCAGTCAACGTATACATGAGATAGATCTACATGTATCGATCTGCAGAGAGGGCTTTGGGTTCCACTAATTTCCCACAGCGCGTTTGTGATAAGAGATATAAGAAAGGTATCGCCACGTCAGTGTTTGGAGCTTGTACCACAACTGTGTGATGTCTATCAATTTTGGGGGAGTTAAAATCTAATCCATAGTCAAATAAAATTTAAAAGACTGATCTAAATAACACTATTGTTGGGATATCGAATCTAATTGGGAAGGTGACACGTCCTTCCTGCAAACGTGCCCATTTGTAAAAATCCTACAATAATCGGTCCCCACTCTTCAGCCGCGAAGTTACGAAAATTCAACTCAAAATATTTGCAGGCGAAATCGACGGATAATTTGTGAAATGAGTCGATCGGGGGCGGAAATACGTGCGAGGTAAAGTATTTCGACTGGAATCGCATTCTTTACGTGTTTATTGTTTACCCTCGGGTTTAGGATCTCTTAATTATTTCGGAAACATGTACAAGTCCGAGTCTTTCAGGTTGACAGCGATGGGTTGTCAAGCTACGACTTGTTTTGTTTCATGATCACATCGGCCAATTATTCGCTTCATTGAATCAGCTAATACATGAGTGGGAAATTTTAAACCAGCTTATATGTTGAATCTGTGACATAGACATTGCAATCAATGAGTCCGTCAAGTTCTTATTAGTCCTAGAACTTACTCATTGAACAGCTGATGAATAGCTGCCAATATTAGGCCTATGGGAATGTTGAAAATGACACATTTAGAGCCTAGTCTATATCGTCAGGATACACTATTACAAATTCATTTCTAACAATGCTACTTTGTTAAACGAACAAGTGCTATGTTCTATTTTTTTTTTTAAATGCCCTAAAACAAGCGTGATATGAGCGCTCACCAAACACACAATCAGTCGAATAACTAGCAGTTTGGGGCCAAGTCAGTTTTCAAGTCATTAGAGAGCCTGTCCAAAAATTTGATGGTGGATAAAAAATTTGGCGAAACCGCATTATCGTTGGTTCAAGAAGGGAGCTAACTCCACCTGCCTAATTGAAAGTTTGAGGTGGGTCCACATTTGAAACTAAACGCACTTGTTGTAGAGAATATGTACTACGTCACAAATCTGTATTACGAACTTCTATTTTAGGCCGTGGGGCCAATGATATTCTTGAGTTATTCCTTTTATGGAACAAATTCCCGGAAATTGTTTGAGGTCATTTAGGCTTGTATCATGACCGAGTTCAATTCAAGTTATAGACATAATTTTCAGGTTTTTATCGCCACCGACATTTATGATTAGATTGATGTGTTATACTGGAAAACGTGGATTGTATGGTTTTCTCTGAAATTTAATTTGAATTACGTTTCATGCATTGTAACTATTTTTGCAAAACCCATTTTGGAATGAGAGTGATCAGCTGATGACATTATTAAAACTTCATAGACTTTTTGTACCTATCGTGGAGGTAATGTTACACTAAATAATTTATAAAGACATTTCCCATCAATATAACAACATGAGAATAATATATATTGCTACATATCCATACAAAATAATTACAAATGTGAGCCCACTAAATCAGTTAGTTAACCACACAAATGGGGGCACATTTTAGAAAAAATTGCTACCAGCACTAAACCAACCAAAGAAGATGTACATATTACACTCAACATATTACAACTATCGAGTTTCTAAAATGTGGGGCCACCTGCAGTCATCTCTGTTATGAAAATATAAAGGGCCCACATTTATTGAAAACAAATTTTTACGAGTTATTAATTCCATTGGCAAGTACCGTTTTTTAATTTCTCCAAGTTACGAATGGGAAGAAAAAGAAATAGTGTCTTCAAACATTTAATTAAGAATACGGTTTATCTTATGATTGGATGGCCAATTAATAATTGGACAATGTTCAGCGTGACTGACGCCATTTTTCGCAAAAACGAAATCAACGGAGATAGCTCCCGATTGAAATTAGAGTGACCTCACTTTCCCAATATGAAACACTAATAATGCAGATTCGCCAAAATCTCAATTCCTTAATTGGAAAGAATGCATTACACCAGATACCTTCCACCGTTTTCTAATGTGCTCACAAAATGTGCATGAATTACTTCCTTAGCAACCAAGGCATCTCAACTATTGCGGCCATTTTACTGCTGCTACAAGGATCATTAACTGTTCACATTGACTTGACTTCTTTAGCCCTTGGATCCCCGTTTTATTATCTTCTTTAGGGTCAGTTTAGTGTAAGTATACCTTAATTAAAATTACTTACCTTATATAGTTGAAAGTCGTCTAAACTGTCATTCATGTGGTCTTGAACAACAGCTAGAGGCCTCCGGCGAATGATGATGTCTTCGTCTTTAGCGTGTGGATTGTAAATATACTGAATAAGTTCAAGAAAACCTTCAAATTTATCCTGTCTTTGATCTAAATACTCTCGTCTTGCCACAATCTTCCCTTCTCCAGTGATCACTTCACTGTGCTTGTCTGCCACGCACACACATATCTCCCGACAAGAGTTATACCAGTCAACAGAAGTATGGGTTGAAATTTATATTTAGTTCTCTTCTGGGAAATCCTGGGGTTCCTTGAACACCCAAGAATAGGTAAGTAAGGTTATACACGTAAGGCTGAGTTTGCTGCCCTCAAACCAGAAATTGTGTCTTATCGAAAAAAAATTTCCACAAGATATCCGGTTGCATTTCCAACACAACTCATTAGTACTGTAAGATTTGTCTTTGCACAAATAAAAGGATCCTACCCGGCACTTGGCGCAAATTGTTCACACGTAAATACCTAAAAAATTCGTAAACTCTGAGCTTTACCAAATAAGGCAGTTATCATGAACTGACGTCAGAACAGAATTGATCAATCAGGAACCACTTACCTTCAGAATTTTCTCTCGGTCCCATGTTCAGCATCCCATAATTCAACAGTCATAAAAACATTCAAAGTCATTACATGTTTCTTTTTTATTCCATTTTGATTACGCCATGTACACAGTCCAGTTCTTCTAGACCGGAAGTGGTGCATAGAGCTCAAGTTTAGTTTTAATTTTTTCCTAGTTTTCTCTGTTTTTGTTTCATTTTTTTGCATGTGATTATCCTAGTCTAATATGAATATCACATGATCTAATCCAATATGATTCAGTGTAATGCATGTGTACCCCTCAATTTTTGGGCTGGGGTGTTAATGACCCTGCAAGTTTTCCATTCGACAAATTCAGCTTATCTGATTAGTAATCCGTGATTACCTGATTACCCAATGTTTTATTTAGTAACTGAACTAAACCGACCATATTTTCATTCATATGCCGTTTGGAGTTGTCATTCAATACATGCAGCCTTTCCACAAGGTAGGGTTTTATCATCACCTGCAATAGTCCATTTAGTGCAGTGTGTGATATATGATGACAGATTTGATCCTACAAATGATTGGCAGCACCCACTGAATAAGTTTTAAATTATTCCTCATTCAATAAATTTTCTGAAAAAACAGGGCCGAACACTAGAAAGTAGAATGCATGACAGAAAAGGCCACTAAACTGGAAAATTCAACATTTTCAGAATTAAGTCTTTTTGGTGGTAGTGGGTATGTCTTAAAAGGAAATTGTGGCAGTCGGGTAGCCTAGTGGTTAAAGCGTTCACTCGTCACGCCGAAGACCCGGGTTCGATTCCTGACATTGGTACAATGTGTGAAGCCCATTTCTGGTGTCCCCCATCGTGATATTGCTGGAATATTGCTAAAAGCGGCGTAAAACAATACTCACTCACTTAAAAGGAATTAATTCTTAAAAGAAGTAAGATTTTTATTCGACATTGAACTTTTGGACTGGCCCTCTGGCTCACTGAAATTTATGACAAGAATGTTTGTTGAAAATGAAATGTGGCCCAGATCGAGGTCACTGATCATGCTGAGAACTTTTTCCATGTTAATGTCCAATTTTCAATGTTTGTGAATTGGTTTCACTTTAAATATTGAGGTCCAATCATATTAAACCATACCAGTACAAGCAGAGACATCTTGCTGCTTATTTTGAATTTTATTGACCTGTTTTACAAAATGTGATGATGTTGCCTGCGGATATATCAGTATTGTCAAACAAACATGGCAGCTTGGGGTCTGGTTAAATGCATATGTATTGTGAATATCAACATAATTGATATAGCACTAGTCGTAGTTGATTACCGGTAATAATTATCGTAATTACCATGATAACATTAAACATGCTAAAACATGTCTCTGGTCAATATGTTGCATTAGTTACATTTACATTGTCTGGACCTAGATTGGAAATTGAGACCTTTAGATTCTTGATTTGGACATAGTTCAACTCAAAACTATCAGTTGGTATAGATTGTGTTCAATTAGTATGCCCAACTTGCCAGACCCGTGAAAATAAAGTGCCGGGCAAGTGGGAAAATCTAATTTAGTTGCCCACGGGAAGTATGAAAATCGGCAGTATTCACTTTGAAATTTAGAAGATGCATCATCTGATCATGTGGTTTGTCAGCTGCAGATAAAGTACTTGACGAGTCATTTTTATCCCCCTTGTAATATAATGCTCGGGGTTATAGATTTTTCAACCAAACTTGGTGTAGCGGTAGGAGAAAGCAGTGTAACATTATATTCTTAGTGGTGTGCATAGACCATGTTTTTAATCTTGTTTATTAAATTGTCTCCCTTAGTAAGCAAAAACATTTTCGTTGATAATTTGTTGTGATGAATGCACTTGATGAAGAATGGGGAGATGTTTTGATTTGGTTGTTGTTTAACGCCGCACTCAGCAATATTCCAGCTATATGACGGTGGTCTGTAAATAATCGAGGCTGGACCAGACAATCCAGTGATTGAAATCATGAGCATCGATCCACACAATTGGGATCGATGACATGCATCAACCAAGTCAGCGAGCCTGACCACCCGATCCCATTAGTCACCTTTTACAGCAAGCATGGATTGCTGAAGACCTATTCTACCCCGGAACCTTCACGGGTTGGAGAGGTTTTGATGTAAATGAGGAAGAAACAATGGTGTTCACGGAGTCTACGATGTGTGTTTGAGTAACTATGTATGTTGTGTGATGTGCAATGGCTCCCATATTTGACATTCTTGTGAATAGACACTTTAAGTTTGAATTTTGTGTTTACCGCAAGTTGCACGTGCGAATGCATCCCAAACGGGGTACTGCTATACTTGGTACATGTTCTAACAAGGGGCTGAAGTACTGCCTTTCGCTGTTGTTGGGGCAGGGGGGATTTATCATCTTCTGATGACTTTCATTCTATCCTACACATCTCCCATTAGGTGTTAGCTTCAGTTAATAAAATTTGGCTGTCAAAAGTTTTCTTCTTTTCCTGATTTAGCAGGGCAAGTTGAAAATCAGGATGGGAAAGTAGAATTTTTAAGTTTACTTGTCCTTGGGCAGGTAGGACATTTTGGTATTTGAACACCCCTGTGTCATCCCAAATTGTGTTATCAGTCATATGCATGATGATCATGATCACGTAACATTCAACCAGGTCGGGGGACATGGGTGGACCACTCGCTGTGCAGAGTTGCGTCCCTTGGACATACCAGAAACCTATGATTGTGGGTTCGAATCCTGGTTCGCCCAGATTATGTTTCTTGGTTTGTCAGCACCATACCCGTGCTCGTGGGTTTCACCGAAGTGGTAAACGTCTGAGACCTGCATCACTTCAAGCTTTCCTTCCACATTAAGCTGACACACCGTGATATAACTGGAATATTATTAAAAGCGGTGTTAAACCCAACTCACTCCACTCAATCATCCAGGTTGTCTGATTCCATCGATTCAACCCTAACTACTTGGAGTCTGGTACTACTGTTCAAACAAGTTTACACATTGATGTTAATTTTGTTGATGTTCGTGTTACAGTGAAATGCAGTCTAAGCTGATACAGGACCGTATCACCGCCACGGAGAAACACCTGGGACAGCTGTGTGACACCCTCTCCTCCTACACCAGGAAGTCAGCACATGTCAGAGACAAAGGTACAAAAGCCTATGTGTTCGGGACTATTGGGAGCTTTGTAATATATATTAGGAAGTTTTATGTAGTCAAAGAAACAACTTTGTAAAATGCTAGGAGATAACAGTTTGTCATTTTGAAATGTACACATTTGAGTGAAGATAACAAATTTGGATAGATGTCGGTACAATCACCAGTGTAAAGATCAACGTTGGGTTACGGGTTACAAACATCGTACTACTACTACTACTACTACTACTACTACTACTACTACTACTACTACTACTACTGTATTATGTACACCTGTACATTGCCAATTCAACCCAAGCTTGCCGTAAAAGACGACTATGCTTGTCGTTAAAGGCGACTAACAGGATCGTGTGGTCAGGCTCGCTGACTTGGTTGATGTATGTCATCGATCCCAATTGCGTGGATCGTTGCTCATGATATTAATCACTAGATTGTCTGGTCCAGACTCGATTATTTACAGTCCACCGTCATATAGCTGGAATATTGCTGAGTGTGGCATAAAACAACAAACCAACCAACAACCAACCAACTTTACCTTTCAGCATGCCCTTCAAACTTTTTACTGTCCACAGGCCAGCAGTTAAACCGACACTTGCTATTGTTATACCTCTTAAAAGAATCTTGCAATTCCACTGATTAATCAACAACACAAGTTTGAATACAAATAGCCAGCTGTGCTTAGCATTACCATTATTAGATATCATGACATGCACTAATCATGCTAGTCGGCATGATTAGCAGTGTTAGTAGTGTATGTATCAGTGTATGGAAAAGTCTCAAATTCTTCTGGCCAGTGCCCACTTGCACAAAGCGATCTTAGCGCTAAGATGATTGTAACTCCCATACTTTATCATAGGCTTACAAAAGTCGTAGCACTAAGATCGCTTTGTGCAAGTGGGCCCTGGTGGGGTAGCTAGCCTTAAAATTTATTACTAGTTTCAAATTTCTCCAGCTTAATCATACAACAGTTTATTTTCCCGGAAATTTTATTGTGCAGAAGTATCAAGCAAACCCAAATTGCAATCATGAATAAAATCTTATGAAGGGTTAAACCCGTCTGATCTCACAACTTCGATTTGTTATGGATATATTAAATTTTTTACTTTGGATGGTCGTATTGATATATAGAAATTGGAGAACTTTTTGATATTTTGATGAACTAGGACATTTGTAGGAGGTGTATCTTGAAAATGAAAATAATCAGGTTATTCCAAATGCAATATAATGAACCCGCGCTGTTATATTGTTGTGGTAATTTGGTACTGCCTGTTGTTGTTTGTGCATCAAGGGTGTTCTATCAAGTTTACTCATCGACAAAAGAAGCACGAATACCATACATGTTGGTTAATATATGAAGAAATACTCATATTCAAGAGATATTAGATTGGTTCGATGCACAAACGAACATACTGTTTAAAGTGTTATGTTGTGTGAACCAACGCTCTTGAACGCATCACATGTGACGTCATAGATCCATGACTCGAGATGCACCATTTGTCTCGTGCAGGATTAGCGTGTAAAGTTTGGAAATCACATGCAGCATATTGTGATATGAATAAAGGCACGCTGTGGTAACACTTGACTGATTGTTAGTTTTGTCATTAAGTGGTATACATTGGAAACATCTCTTCTTAATGTACATACTTCTCTATATGCTTCTATGGTCCGCATTTCTTTTGGCAGTGAATGTACCGGTATATATGTTTATGTTATGTGGCTGTTTTTTCTTTGCTGAAATAAAAAATAAAGAAATGAAGCCGAATCAGTTTAGAAAACTGGCATCCGAAGATCCAGGGTAGAATAGGTCTTCAGCAACCCATGCTTGCCGTAAAAGGCGGTTATGCTTGTCGTAAGAGGCGACTAACGAGATTAGGTGGTCAGACTCGCTGACTTGTTTTGGATCATGTCATCGATCCCAAATGTGTGGATTGATGCTCAATCACAGGATCATCTGGTCCAGACCCGATTATTTATGGACCGCCGTCATAAAGCTGGAATATTGCTGAGTGCGGCGTTAAACAAACAAAAACATCATGTAGATTAGATGGTCAGATTTCACGTGTCACAGCCTTCTAGTGTCAAAGCCTTCTAGTGTCACAGCCTTCTAGTGTCAAAGCCTTCACGTGTCACAGCCTTCTAGTGTCACAGCCTTCTAGTGTCACAGCCTTCTATGGAGGTGTTGTCAGATCTTGAAGCAGATAGGTCTCGGATTGATAGCTGATTTATATGAGATTGTGTATTTGTCGACTGACCAGCCATGTAATTATTGATGTATTGAATGTTTCAGGGGACCAAATGGCTAAAGATTTAGTGAATTATGCTGAGTATGAAACAATGAGCCTGACACTCAAGAAGGGATTTACACATTTTGCAGAGAACCTGTCCACTATACAAGACTACAGAGAGGCACAGGTAGTTAGACTGTGTACAGGGGACGTAACTCACTCCCTTCAATCCCTGTGGGGATTCTGGCTAGAATAGGTCCCCAGAAACCCATGCTGGTTTGCGGGAGGCGACTATTGGGATCGGGTAATACTGCTTGGTTGATAGCATGTCCTTGTACCTTCAACCATTGATGTGCACAATATCATTCCCTGTATTGTCTGGTCCAGTCTCGATTATTTACAGGCTGCTGTCCTATAGCTGGAATATTGCTGAGTGCTGCTGTCCTATAGCTGGAATATTGCTGAGTGCTGCTGTCCTATAGCTGGAATATTGCTGAGTGCTGCTGTCCTATAGCTGGAATAATGCGGAGTGCTGCTGTCCTATAGCTGGAATATTGCTGAGTGTTGCTGTCCTATAGCTGGAATATTGCTGAGTGCTGCTGTCCTATATAGCTGGAATATTGCTGAGTGCTGCTGTGCTATTGCTGGAATATTGCTGAGTGCTGCTGTCCTATAGCTGGAATATTGCTGAGTGCTGCTGTCCTATAGCTTGAATATTGCTGAGTGCTGCTGTCCTATAGCTGGAATATTGCTGAGTGCTCCTGTCCTATATAGCTGGAATATTGCTGAGTGCTGCTGTCCTATAGCTGGAATATTGCGGAGTGCTGCTGTCCTATTGCTGGAATATTGCTGAGTGCTGCTGTCCTATAGCTGGAATATTGCGGAGTGCTGCTGTCCTATTGCTGGAATATTGCTGAGTGCTGCTGTCCTATAGCTGGAATATTGCTGAGTGCTGCTGTCCTATAGCTGGAATATTGCTGAGTGCTGCTGTCCTATATAGCTGGAATATTGCTGAGTGCTGCTGTGCTATTGCTGGAATATTGCTGAGTGCTGCTGTCCTATAGCTGGAATATTGCTGAGTGCTGCTGTCCTATATAGCTGGAATAATGCTGAGTGCTGCTGTCCTATAGCTGGAATAATGCTGAGTGCTGCTGTCCTATAGCTGGAATATTGCTGAGTGCTGCTGTCCTATAGCTGGAATATTGCTGAGTGCTGCTGTCCTATAGCTGGAATAATGCTGAGTGCTGCTGTCCTATATAGCTGGAATATTGCTGAGTGCTGCTGTCCTATAGCTGGAATAATGCTGAGTGCTGCTGTCCTATAGCTGGAATATTGCGGAGTGCTGCTGTCCTATAGCTGGAATATTGCTGAGTGCTGCTGTCCTATAGCTGGAATATTGCTGAGTGCTGCTGTCCTATAGCTGGAATATTGCTGAGTGCTGCTATTCTATAGCTGGAATATTGCTGAGTGCTCCTGTCCTATATAGCTGGAATATTGCTGAGTGCTGCTGTCCTATAGCTGGAATATTGCTGAGTGCTGCTGTCATATAGCTGGAATATTGCTGAGTGAGGAATTAAACATCAAACAAAGAACACTGACTTTCAAGCGTGGACTGATGTATTGTTTTCTGATTCCATGATTTTCGTTATTTCTTTTCAGATGAACAAACGCTTTAGTACCCCTGAATATGTTGTGGTTGTAATTGTAACAATGTGTTTCCACATTGGTGTATTTCAGGTGAGTCGCCTGGAGAGCAAAGTGGTGGCACCCCTCAGTAACTACGGCCTCATGTGTAAGCAGACAAAGGTAGGTTCTGTGCCAGACATTTAACAGTCTTGTGTGTTGTATATCACAGTGGTCCTGCTGGTTTTGAAACTGCAAGTCTTGTTGGACTGGCAACTCTAAAAATTACCAGTCCCCCCTAATTTTTGTCAGTCCCAACCTTTAACAAATAAAAAAATGTATGTAAATTACCTGGTTTTATTTCTTTCAACATCATGTTCAATCAATGACATTATCTCTGAAGTAACATAGTTGCATCTACACGTAATTCACACAATGTTCAGTCACAAGTTTTTCATTTCTTTTTTTTTAATATATATTTCAAGACTAAACCACTATTAATATATATTTAACCTAAAAGCAAGGCAAAATGTTATTTCCTTGCACTAAGATGGACAAGGAGAAACCCTGATAGTAAAAGACAAGCTGACTTCGTTCGAAAAATGTACTTATATGAATATTGTTGATGTTTTGTTCAACAACAAAGATTTATGAGGTTCTTTATTTGGTAATGATCGGTAAACGGGAACGCTGTATCATTAGCCCAGTATTGCATATTGCTTGAATTTTACTTGTAGATTTTCATCACATACATGTACTTGTTATTAAATGTATTAAAGGTAATTATCAATAGGTACTATACAGCTTCCAAAGGCAAGGGAGTAAACTGACTATGAAAGTTCAGTTTCCACCCTTGCCGAACAAGGCTGGAATTCCGTAGTTACATTTTGGCTGGACTAACGAGACTATGCATGGTCCAATCAAAATCACACAACGAACAACTATTCAGGTTATAAACATGTCTTTCAATGTGCAGATTTTACTCGATTGCAGGATACTAAAGCAATTGGGCATCAACAGATATTTTGTAAATCTTTTCATGTTTTCAATCAAGGTGCTCAAGTGTAGATCTTGATTATTGATCAGATCATCTTGGCAGGGCACCGCCATTTTGTTTAAAGCAAATGCAAGTGATATGAGAGATGGAATCTGGTCTGTCAATGGGAGGGGCATAGAAGGGACAAAACTCATAATAGCCACTGGTGGCACTACGATCGAGCCTTAAAATTCAAGCCTTAGTCGGCAAGGGTGTAAAATGAACTTTTATGGTCAGTTACCTCCCTTGCCTCAGGAAGATGGGTTCTGTTCATCTTCAAGACTTTAGGATCACGTGCCGTAAATGTGTTATAGTGAAATTCCCTTTTTGAACACAATTCCTAAAGTTGATAACTACGTAAAGTAGAATCAAAAGAATCTGTTGATTCTGAAAGTAAAATCAACGAAACTGCAGATTTTACTTTCAAATCAACAGATTCAAGTGATTTCCTGACTCAAACCATCTTATTGTTGATTATAATTTCTCTATAATGTTCCTTGATGACCTATAATTGCATAAGTTTTACGTGTTTAAGATGCATGTTCAGAATGGCCACTGAATCCCTTGGTCAGAATCAACTGCAACAAAAATAGCAGGACATCGTCATAATGCTTAGCTGGTAACATGTGTGTAACCATGGTAATCAATACCAGTTGCTTTCCAAGTCCGATGCCTCTCGCTTAAGTTTGCACAAAAACATGTCTCAAAATCACACCGTTCTACATTTAAATTACTAAAGAACATGGATGTGGCTATTTTTTTCAGTTTATGGTAACATAACACAAAGTGAATTGCACAGTTAACCAATCAAATGCCAAGGAATCACAACTTCCTTATTGTAGAATGAACTCAAGGCAGCATTTTCTGCTCGGGACAAGGAACAGCAGCAGAGGAGGAAGCTGGACAAAGTGAAGCAGAAGAACCCTGGAGACCGCAGGCAGATTGTATCCTTGTGTGCGTCTATAAGGGCTGGGGTGTCCTAGTGGTTAAAGCGTCAGCTCGTCAAAATGAAGGCCCCGGTTTCGATTCCCCACATGGGTATAATGACCATATTTCCGAAATAACAAATCATGGTTTAGAGTTATGTCCCTTTAATTATACAGTAACCTATGTTTATTACGAACACTCTTATTACGAGTGAGTGAGTGAGTTGGGTTTAACGACGCTTTTAACATTATTCCAGTTATATCATGGTGTGTCAGCTTAATGTGGGAGGAAAGCCCGAAGGGATGCAGGTCTAAGACGTTTTTACCACTTCGGTGAAACCCACGAGCACGGGTATGGTGCTGACAAACCTAGAAACATAATCGGGGCGAACCGGGATTCGAACCCACAATCATAGGTTTCTGGCGTGCCCAAGGGACGCAACTCTGCACAGCGAATCGCGGCGCCTTAGACGACTTGGCCACCCGTGCCCCCTCTTATTACGAACTGATATAACAGACTTATTTTTTAGTCCTGGCTATTTGATGTATATATGCTGTATATATGCCTAAAACGAACTACAGTTCTTACGAACTGAACTAAGTGCTCCCTTTGAGTTCGTGATAACCAAACATTACTGTATTTATACTACGGTACTTTATATTACTGTAATGGATTTGTAATGTACAAATAATGGTGTCAGTTTTCGTGACTTTATTAATTAACATAACTCCTGGATTACAAATATTTTGTCGTTCTTTGTCTCAAAATGTGAGTATGAATGGATACATTTGTAGTCAGATATGTGAAATATGTTATAATTTGAGATGATTATGAGATAGCCTCCATAACGTGCCTTCCATAAACTGTCTGTGCATAACTGTCACTTGTATGTATTGTATATCTTCCTTGACAAAGGCCCAGACACAGGTAATGCAGCAGTTATTGTGCAGGCAGTAGTCATGGTTACCAAGCAGAGGGCACTGACAGGACTGCATTGTGTTCATAATGTATCACTCATTATTGCCGTAGTACATCATGGCACCTCTACAGCTCCTGGAGATCTCTGTCATGTCTTAGAATGTGGCAGACAATATTTAGAGAGTCGAAGCTTATGGAAAGACCAGATCACAGACTGTTGTATCCTTGTGTTTGGGGATTCGAAGTATTTCTCATTACGCGTCTAATAACAATCCCAATACACTCAAATTAAGTCTTACCAGTGAGAACAATTATTTCTTGGATGGTCAAATGACCATGACCTGTTAACTGTATAGCAATAATGCCTTGTCGAGTGCGACAAGTCGATCAGGCTCCATTTTGTTACCGTCACATGATTTTGAGCCCCTCAATGACAGTCAAGTTAACAATAGATGCACAACATGGTCAGTCACATGACATTTCAGACAGGAAGTTTATAAACATCAGCCGATACATAATCGGTACATACGATTGTTCTGATGCCAAATTATCATCAGATCAAGTTTGTTTAAATGGTGCATAAGTGAAAAAGTAAGTTTTGAGGTATGTTTTCATCAATTATTGAATATCTTACTTCCTGTAGCTTAATTCGCAACATAAATTCAGCGACAAGTTGCCAACTCTTTGATGTTTCAATGAGCTTTGAAGCATTTTCATTGATGCGTTAAGAGCGTGGTCACATATTGTTAAGGGGCTAAAACAATGTGAGGTTCGAAAACATGGTGTGGGCATACATATATTTTTATGGAAACATAGCTAAGATTAATTATCTTTTTATGAGTGAAACAAATATACATTACAGACAATGCATTGCTTTATTTTTGTAACCATGGTAACTACCCCAAAAAATATTAAAGTGTTAAAGATTATTCTCAATGTTATTTAGGCAGAAACAAATCTACAGAAGGCCAGTGTGGATGCCTCACGGAGTTCAAAGGCCCTTGAACAACAGATGGACACATTTGAGACCAAGAAGGTGCAAGATCTCAAGGTAGGCATGAAGGAAAATATTGCAACCAGAATTGCAAACTGTGTAGCGATGATTATGTTGCCAGAATAATGTGTCCTATCATTTTGTAATGATGTTGCAAGTCACCCCTGAACATGTATGTTGTATGCTTTACCATGTGTGTGCCCTGTGTGTGCTATTTGTATCCAGTATTGGGGCCTAGGTGGCCCTGTTGTCTGAAAAAGGCACTGCATTTCGTGATGTAGAGTTATGTCCCTTGGGCACACAAGAAACCTTTGATTGTAGGTTCGAATACGGTTCGATTAACGTTTCTAGGTTTGTCAGCATTATAGACCTGTAAAGGTAGAATAGGTCAGCAGCAACCCCTGCTAGCAGTAAAAGTCGACTAAGCTTGTAAGAGGCGACTTAAAGGATTGGGTGATCAGGCTCACTGACATTGTTGGTGCATGTCATCATATCCCAATTGCATGGATCGTTGCTCATGATGTCAATCACTGGATTGTCTGGTCCAGACTCGATTATTTACAGACCGCCGTCATATAGCTGGACTATTGCTGAGTGCAGCATTAAACAACAAATCAACCAACCAACATATCAAAACTTCTATCAAAACTTAAACGGCATGCGACTGTCAAATAGTACTGGTTTGAATCTTGCTGAGAGCAGCATTAAACAACAAACAAACAAACAAACTATTCCTGTGCTCATCAGTTTCACCGAAGTGATCAACATCTAAGACATGCATCACTTCGGGTTTTCATCCCACATGAGGATTACATGCCATGATATAACACGAATACGGATCAAACACAACTAAAACTACTCAATTTCTCACTGAAAATGTGGAAGCGAATTCAGACTTATTTCTAGTGAATTAGTGAGGCGATGCTGATAGAATTCAGTGTAAGATTGACAACCATTATCACACTGGAATTATATATAAGGGAAGCGTGAACAATGTGGTATTGGTCATGTTGATAAATCAGTCAAAAGGAATAAGATTAAGTTTCCATGTATTTTCTGAATTTTAACAAATAAAATTATTGTAGAGTTTGTTGTGCATGCAAAGTTTGTTTAGTTTAGTTTTTTACACGGTGACAAACACCTCCAGTGCCGTAGCCAGTTGGGGGGCAGGGAGGGCAGTTGCCCCCCCCCCCCTAGATTTTTTATAGGAAACAGTTTTATTTGAATCAAGTTGGGGACAAGTGATACTTGTACAAATATTTGCCCCCAAAAAATTAACTACGGCCTTGACCTCTGAGGTCATATCAATCTGTAAAGTGTACACAGATTCTTCTCTGAGCTGTGTGCATCCATGTCTCTACCCTCCCGACAGGATGATGTCACCATGGTAACATGCTGCATGTTACATGTATGTTCTAGTATATCATTGTAATAGGTCCGTCTGATGAATATTGCAGAAAATGCTCTCCGAGTTTGTAAACATTGAGATGATGTTCCACGCCAAGGCCCTCGAGATGTACACCAAGTGTTTCCAGACTCTGGCCATCATAGACCCGGAGGAGGACCTCGAGGTGAGCAGAGATCACCAGTTACTGAGGGGTATGAGAACTGGAGTTACCATGGTTACCTTAAGTGGTTGTTGACAATGGCTGCCTAGTAGGAATTCTACTTACATGGCTTAGATGACCATGTTGAATGTGAGACTTGAGTAGCTACTTTGAAGCTGACGTTAAGTAAAAAGACAGTTTGGTCTGATAAGATCAGCTATTTATAGTCCATATGTAACGACTAAAATACACTGAAAATGGTGCTGGAAGATATTTTGGCCTAGGGGATGTTTGATATAAAGAAAAGTGGATCCAGAAGCAAGGGGTTTTTCATGGGGTTCAAAACCCCCAGCAAGACAACAAGCAAACAAATTAACTGCTTGGTTGGGAATTGAAGATTCTTTATCCTTTCAATTTTTTGTCATGTTAAATATTTGTAGGTCTGAACAGTGTTGGATGCTGAATCACATTTGTCAATTTTTCTAGAAGCATGTTAGGTTTACTGCAAGTATGGCGATTATTTGTGTGTTTTTCAGGAAGAAGTGGTTCATTATGAATTTGTTAATCATTGTAAAATTGTTTTCATGTGTAGAATGATTTTTTTTACAGGAATTTAGAAAACAAACAAGGCCGTCAAGCGGTTCATCAACTTCCCGCTACAGCCTAGCAAGGTCAGCATCGGATGCCTCACTCAACTCTAGTCGTGCTCCACCATCCGTAGACGTGACCCCCACCAGCCAACGCCGTCTCCCCAACTCAGCCAAGTCTTCCCCTGCACACAACAATACCAGACAGACCACCCCTACTTCACAGCAGGGGCCCAGAACAGTCACACAGGTGGTGGTAGGTATACATCTGATGGCCTTGACCTTTCAGCAGGTGCCCCGAACCGTCACACATATGGTGATAGGTATACACCTGACCTTGACCTTACAGCAGGTGTCCCAAACAGGCAGAATGGTGACAGTAGGTATACATCTGAATGACCTTCACCTTACAGCAGGTGCTGGTGGCCAGAACACCTGATGACCTTCACCTTATAATGGGTCATACAGGTGGTGGTAAACCAGCGCTGTATTCTTGGAGAAAGCTGCTTTGTGATTGGCTAACTTTTTGTTAGTCGTTTCATAGGTCTATCAAAGTTCACAAAAGGTAGTACTGATGTGACCTGTAATCCTCAGTTGTTTGTTTAGCAGTAGCAAGAACTAAAATCTGATTTTAATGAGTATGAATTATACCCATACTCTCCTCTGTGAATCAGCCAAAAAACCTTCCGTATCATTCTTTCATTCATGACTGAAATACTTGTTGATAACAGCTTTTGACATCTCATCATAATGATGATGGGATAGAAATTAGCTTCAGACTTGCTTGATTCACACGTTTTTGTGCTTCTCATGTTCTGTCATTTCATTCACAGCGCAAACCTAACAGTGTTGATGAATATGAAGATGATGATGATGATGAAGATGATGAAGACGACGACGAAGACGATGATGATAGTTACGAAGATGAGACAACAGAAGCCGACACAGCAAGAACTAGCGGCTCCAAGAGAAGATAATCACAGTGAATACTCATGACTCTCTACGGGTTGGACATCAGTTGTCTACACTACAATGTCCAAAACACCTAAGGGACTGGTCATTTATAATAGGGAGGGGTGGGCCGGTGGGATTAGGGGAGGATGGGGGCATTTAAAAATGACAGTTCTATTTGAACATGAAAAAATGTTGCATAAAATAGGGCAGGTGCTGGTCAGCAAAATATGATACAGTCCTAAAACCAGTCCCACTGGGCCAACCTCCTATAAAAATGGCCGGCCCCTAATTCCAAACAGTCCTGATATGCTTCGACATGACTTCATTTGGTTCTGTTTAAGCCAGTTAAAGTTAATGTGACTTTCTAGTAGTAATGGACTTCTGTGTCAAATACTTACAGTAATCATTAAGGGAATACACAGGTGGTCTGGTGGTTATGACAGCACATGTTCATTCATAATGGGTTTGAATCCAGATGATGCTTGATGTGCTAGTACCAAACCCTTGTTTGTGGGTTTCACCAGCTGCATTAACACTTCAAGCTTTTCTCTCACATTATTCAAGGTAAAAAAGGACTTTATGATTTATATTGCTTAGTATTATGAAGATCAGTACAGACCGTAAGACTCGGTAATCAGATATTACTTGATTTATTATTATAAAAAATAATTTTTAACAGATTAGTCAAAAGTTGTTTGTACCTTTTTATGCCATGTATACCATATGATATCACTTTTTGGTGCACAGCGAGATGCACATGCATTCCCTTGCATACGGAATAAACAGGTTGAATAACAATATCAATGTCATCCTCATCTGGAATCTGTGCATGATTTCCAGACTATTAGACATTATGCATGTGCAAGAGATGTTATATTTTGTCTATGTTGCACTGGAGTTGTTAGTGAAGGGGAGGTCAATATTTCTCTCACTTGGATAAAGTCTTACCGTCCCAATAATGAAAGACTTGTCCCTTCAAGTCCCCCAGATGTCCCCCGGAGATTGTCAGATCACACATCCGTCCATGCCCTCATTGCCTGTGATATACTGGTCACACATAAGTGCCAATCTGTTATGGTCTTGTAAATAGCTCATATATACCAGTACTCACCCAAAAGAAACGTGAACCATAGAAGGTGAGGTGAAATTGGGTTTAACATCGCGTCCAAGATTATTGCGACGTGCATGCATGTGTGTGTGTGTGTGGCTGCTTGTACTAGTCCGGACTGATGCCGATTTATAGTGCTAGCTCACTGAGATACCATGCCGCAGTTTAACATGAATACCCCACTCAGACACAGTATACTGACTCCGAGCCGACCAGTCCTTGTTTTAGCCCCTTAATGCCGAGCGCCAGACAGGGTAACAACAAGTACCATCTTTTAACGTCTTTGGTATGACGCGGACGGGGATCGAACCCCGGACCTTCCGCTCTCCGGGCGGACGCTCTACCACTAGACCACGGAGGCGGCGTGAACCATAGAAACATACAGAGAAGTATGTACGTTAAGAAGAGATGTTTCCAATGTGTACCACTTAATGACAAAACTAACAATCAGTCAAGTGTTACCACAGAGTGTCTTTGTTCTTATCACAATATGCTGCAGTTGATGTCCAAACTTTACATGCTATGGGATTAAATCCTATGGTGCCTCTCGGTCCTGGATCTATGACGTCACATGTGATGCGTTCATGAGTCATTGGTCCACACAACATACCAGTATGTTCATTTGTGCATCAAACGAATTTCTCATATTTCTTGAATACGAGTAAGTCTTCATAGAGTAACCAACATGTATGGTATTCACGTTTCTTTTGGAGGTGAGTATATATCATCATCCCATGTATATAACATTCTATGATGTTTGTCATTATGAAATTACATGTTGCATGTATTCAGTTGCAAAAATGTCTACTTTGTTTTATTGATTGAGAATGTGTGGCCATCAGAGTTTGATACTGATGACAAAGTGTGATTCATCATGAGTATGAAAGCACAACCGTATATTGTATCTCCTGTACCAGTGTCTGGAGCCAGGGACCATACCGCATGGTCTGTAAGATGACCTGCATGCATCTCTGGTTGTGTCTTTAACACAGCTGTCATTTTATTGATTTTAATTCAGATTGTTATATTGTTGTCTACTATCTCTGTAGTGAACTCATGTATTCTGTGAACGTGTACACAAGTCCATTTAAATGAAGCCCCTTGACGCCATGTTGGTTTGTTGGGTACCCGTAATGGCAGTCAGTTATGTTATAAAGTATAGGGTAATGATTATCAATTATCGAACTCTCACCCCATTTGTTTGCCTTCTAAACCTCTCAGCTTGCTACCAAATTACTTTTTTACCAAATGTTACAGCCACAATACACTGTAGCTCACCTGCATTTTTCTGGAGTTTTTGCAATAATAGATCACAATCTCATCATAATCAGATCTTAGTTCTCGCTACCGCTAAACACAGATTTGAGGACATCCCATTAGGGGTGACGTCAGAACCACCTTTCATCCAACCAATCAGAGCGTCGCTTACCAGATCATGAAAGTGACAGTTGGAATGTGATTTCTAATCATGCAACCTCCAAACATTTTAACACAGGGTATTCCAAACGTTATTTACGTACATAATTCATACAATCTAGACCATCTATTAGCCATTCCAGAATGTTCTTTTGTTCAGGTTTCAAATTTTTAATCGAGAATTTGTCAAAATATGTTTTGAAGCGTAGTCACCAATTTGAAATTAGTGCCAGAAAGCAAGAGAAAACTGCCTTCTGATTGGCTAATGTCGACTTCTTGTCAGTCATTCCATTGTCAGATGAAGTTTGTGCAAGGTCGGTCTGACATGACCTGTAAATGGGGTGTCCTCAGATCTTTGTTTAGTGGTAATGAGAAATAAGATCTGATTTTAATGAGATTGTAATAGATCATTGACTATGGGCACAGGCTCACATGAACTTTCAGGTGATCGTACTTGAGATCACAATGGCTTCATTTAACAATCACTGTGATCAAAATGGCCTCACTTAACAATCACTAGGATCACAATGACCCCAGTTAACAATCACTATGATCACAATGGCCTCATTTAACAATTCTTTTTAATCACAATGGCCCCAGTTAACAATTCCTAGGATCGCCATGGCTTAATTTAACCACCACTGGGATCACAATGCTTTTAACAATCACTAGGATCGCCATGGCCTCAGTTAACAATCACTGGGATCACAATGACCTCATTTAACAATCACTGGGATCACAATGGCCCCAGTTAACAATAACTAGGATCGCCATGGCCTCATTTAACAATCACTGGGATCACAATGGCCTCAGTTAACAATCACTAGGATCGCCATGGCCTCATTTAACAATCACTGGGATCACAATGGCCTCATTTAACAATCACTGGGATCACAATGACCTCATTTAACAATCACTGGGATCACAATGGCCTCAGTTAACAATCACTAGGATCGCCATGGCCTCATTTAACAATCACTGGGATCACAATGGCCTCAGTTAACAATCACTAGCATCGCCATGGCCTCATTTAACAATCACTGGGATCACAATGACCTCATTTAACAATCACTGGGATCACCATGGCCTCAGTTAACAATCACTTGGATCACCATGGCCTCAGTTAACAATCACTTGGATCGCCATGGCCTCATTTAACAATCACTGGGATCACAATGGCCTCATTTAACAATCACTAGGATCACAATGGCTTAGTTAACAATCACTTGGGTTACAAAAGCCTTATTTAACCGTCACTTGGATCACAGTGGCCTCATTTAGCTCCTAAATAGCTCCTAGTAGTAAGAATCTGTAGTTTGGTTGATTGCATGTCAACGATCGATCACTCATGCTTCCAGTCCATGGTTTGTCCAGACTCCGTTATTTACAAGCTGCTGTGACTGCGGTATAAAGAACACTTATTTCCCCTTTTACTGGAGGGACAGTGGAGAAGACTCATAGCTACTGTGTTATCACACCATATATTCAACTCCCAACATGGGTATAACGTGTGAAGTCCATTCCTGGCATCCCCGGCCATGATATGGGGGGAATATTGCTAAAAGCAGCATAAACCCAACTTCATCACTGCCCCAAACCTGCACAGGATACTTCATTATGGCTGTTGACTGATCTGTCCCGAGCCTTTTGGGTCCACTGTTAGAGTACACGTTAGCCAGGGTATGCTGGTTGTAAGTGCCCCTGTACCTCGAGGCTCCTTGTTATTTATGTTGGCAATGTGTTGCTACTTGTTGATTAATCATTGTGCCTCATCATATCAGTTGTACTATATCATAAAATACAAACTGAAAATACTGTTTTGTTTTTATTACTGCCATGGATATAGTTTTTGATACCCTTGCTCATGGGTTTCAGCAGAATGCTACAATGTGCATATTTTTCAGCTCTTCTTACCTATCAAGTTGGCATGCAGCGAAATATCATTAATACTTTGAAAGCAGTTTTAATCCAAAGCCTCCATACTTTGGAGGTGGCTCAGCTGTCCAAGGCACTTTAATTTGCTATAAAGGGTTGTGTCCCTTAGCTGGGCCAGGATCTGCTTGTGTCACTGTGCTCGAGGGTTTCAGCCAAGTAGGAAACATCTGATGACCTGCATCACATTTTGGTTTTCCCAATATTGATATGATATACAGCTCAAAGCAGCATTAATCCTGAATTCAGTCACACCATTATGATAAAGGTATAAATTAACAAACATTTGACAGATCTCCAGATCAGCAGCTCCATGTGCTGCAAGTGCTGTTTGTATAAATACATCTCTCACATTAATCTCTTTTATTAATACCTCCATGGGGGGTTGGAATTAGTCCCAAGCAGCGGCTCATAAGAGACAACCAAATGGATCAGGTAGTCAGGCTCCGTAACCTGGTTTATTGAGTGTCATCGTACCCTGACAGCTTGGGTTGTTGCTCATGATATCAGTCACTGGATTGTCTGGTCTGACTATTATTTACAGACCACCATCGGATAACTGCCACACCATTATAATAAAGGTATAAAATAACAAACATTTGACTGATCTTCAGATCTGCAGCTCCATATGCTGCAACTGCTGTTTGTGAAAATATATCGCTCCATCATTGACTTCCATAAAGACCCCTGGGATTTCGGGTTGGAATTGGTCCCCAGCTGCCACGCTGATTGTAAGAGGCAAAAAAATGGATCGGGTGGTCAAACATAGTGACCTGATTGAGTGTCATCGTACCCCAACAGCATGGGTTGTTGCTCATATCAATCACTGGATTGTGCAGCATTGATCCGGGGTGGAATAGGTCTTCAGCAACCCATCTTTGCCTCAATTTGCGATTATGCTTGGCGTAAGAGGCAACTAACGGAATCGGGTGGTCAGGATCGCTGACTTAGTTGGTGCATGTCATCGTATCCCAATTGTGAGGGTCGATGCTCATGATGTCAGTCACTGGATTGTCTGGTCCAGACTGGATTATTTTTCAGACCGCCATCATATAGCTGGGTTATTGTCGAGTGCGGAGTTAAACAACAAACAAACAACAACAAACAAACTTCAATAAATAAGAAAGACAGAACTTTTCTCAGATCTTTACTAGTTTTTCTTGCAATCATGATCATGAACAGTTTGAGATGACATGATGAGATATCAGGAGCTCACATGGTAAACAGTTTACAGTAAGTCACTGGACATCATGCAGAACAATGGGAGAAAGACAGCTGAGCACTCCAAAACATATCAGTTGCCGGGATCTTACAGAAAGAACCATGTACATTCTCTGCAAACCACCAGGGTCAATTACATCAGACTTCACGGGGCCGTCCTAAGTAATTAAATTTAGGCTCTTTGGTTAATGGTTTAGCCAAATGCATTGCCACAAACATCCTACACTCAAAAACCATAAGGCCACCTTTTGACAACTTGGTCAAATTACTAATTCCTTTCTTGTTCACTTATGAATGTATATGACTCAGATATTGTTTAGGGGTGGTGATAGTTGTATAAAGCCTCCTGATCAAAATGAAAAACTGCGAAAGTCTTTGATACAAATCTATAACAATAATCTTGACATTTTATAACTCTAGTCGAGGGGTTTGTCATTTCAAGAAAGCCCCCACCCCAAATCAAGTACCTTAATTTTAACAACAAAAATTCTTCAGTTTGTAATGGACTAATAAACCCTGTGTCCAAGACAGATGATCTAATCCATGATTGTACCAATACCAGCACCGGCACTATAAGTTGGCACAGGCAGATGAAGTTCAAAAGTGTTTTGTGAAAAATCAGGGGAGATAATCATGTATGGTTAAGCAGAGACATCCACAGCACTAAACATCGTTTGATGTGTTGGACACAAATAGACGTTTTGTTTGGTCCAAGTCGCCTGTAAGCTGTCCCACCACCATCACCAACATCACCACCATCACCACCATCACCACCGGAGAGACATCACTGCCCTTCAGTTCATATGTTACATAAAAGAATGGTACATGCATATTTCTCATGATATCAATTACCATAATTTAACCCATTGACTGCAATTGTTCATTTGTGTACAAAGCAAAACAGCAAAATCAAGAAATGTGGCTAATCTTTGAGCACTCTTTTTTATAGTTTTATAAAACCATGTACCACTACTATCAATATGTGAAAAGGGTTCATACATTTTCATAACAATATGATGCACAGATAAAATAGTAAGATAAAATACTTTTTATTTTCTCGCATTACTGCAAGAAGTATGCCAGTATTTGTGAAGACCATGTTTGACTGTCATCTATGAGGTAAGACAAGTCCTATATATCACAGCTGATGCAATAACTTATAACACATATATACATGGACGGATCAGCTTTACATTTTCCCCACTCCTGAATTTACATTAATGTCAAATATTTAATCCTGCATAACAATGATGCAACATAACTTATTTCCTTAAGTGAAGGCTGGGTGCCGAAATGAACACAACTTTCTGCATGTCTTTGATAAAGTCTTTGCTAGGCATTCAGAGTGAGTGAGTATGGTTTTAAGCCGCTTTTAGCAATATTCCAGCAATATCACGGCAGGGGACACCAGAAATGGGCTTCACACATTGTACCCATGTCAAGAATCGAACCCGGGTCTTTGGCGTGATAAGCGAACGCTTTAACCACTAGGCTACCCGACCGCCCCTGCTATAGGCATTCAGAAGTTGGAAGGGCATGAACTTATGGACAACCACTTCATTATTGTTCGTAATGTTTCAGGTCTTTACTGAGTAATCTTAGGAGTTAACCTTACACGCCGATATGTTGGCACAAGGTGGAATTAATGTACAAAGATAACAAAGAAGCCAATACCAAGTTTCATGTCTTCAAGTACTTTCTGCAGTTTGAATAATGGTTGCACTTTTTTTTTCAAGGTCAGTTTGCAATTTGTTTAATTTGCAACATTATGTCTGCCTAAAGAACTAAGTGAAAACTTTCAATTTGCTTCTGCAGTTTTGTGTAATGATGGAAGCTAGGCTAAAGAAAGGTTTATCTGGTTTAGTTTCATCTTCCAGAGGCAAGGGAGTTAACTGACTGTAAAAGTCCAGTTTTAACCCTTGCTGAACTTGCCTGGAATTTCAAGGCTCTGTCGTAGCGCTACCAGTGGCTATTACAAGTTATGTCCCTTCGATGACCCCACTATTGACCAATCAGATTCCACCTCGCATATCACTTGTATTTGCTTCAAACAAAGTGGCGGTGCCCAGTCAAGACAATCTTATCGACAATAAAGATCTAAATTGTGATAAAACGGGTCTTACTTCGTGAAGTGCATCAAATCATGGTAGCACCTTGATTAATATCATGAAAATATTTGGAAAATATCTGTTGATGCCGAGACCTGCAATCGATAAAAATCTGCACTGCAGTTTACGAACGGGATGTCAATTTCGTTTCACAATTTTGATTGGACTATGCATAGACTCGATAGTCCAGCCAGAATATAACTCCATTATACCAGCCTAGTTCAGCAAGGGTGGAAAATGGATTTTTATAGTCAGTTAACTCCCTTCCCTCAGGAAGATGGTTTAGTTTGTACTTTGATATTAGATGATGAAACAAAGTCATCAAATATAAACGCTCAGTACTTCAGCCTGCAGTATCAGTGAGGTTATGTATTGCTGTAACAGAGCTCCAGATAACTGCATATTTGTGTAAAATACACAAAATAAATCACCATAACCCAGTTAAGTTTTAGTTGCTTGCGTACAAATATGCATGAAAAAAAAACAACAGCATTACAACACTGCATGACTCTCCTGCAGTGAATAATTGCTCAACAGTGCTTGGTCTCACATATTGTAACTTAAGCAGATATCTCTGTTAGGGCTGGGACGGGTAACTCTGTTACTCGGGTCAGGTGGGTACTGAGTTGGACCCGGGTACCCACAGGACTACCCGGAACCGTGGTTAGTCATGTGATATATTTTTTATGACATTAACTATACAATTTCATGGTTACACTTTATAAGTACAAGTCGCTAATGTTCGCATTTCTTTCTGACTGTGCACACATTCCTTCTGATTTTTATATGTTTTAGTAAAGACAAAGCTTCAGTCAGATCAGATCGTTTTATACTATATATAAATACTTTTTGCCAGAAAAAACTTCCCATTTGAACATTTTGTACCTAACTTGAGACAAAGAGTGGGTACCCAATTAGGGTCGGGTAATAGGGGGTCGGGTACCCGGGTAGTAAATTTAGACTCATCCCAGCCTTAATCGCTGTCGTAAGCTTTTGTGACACACTTGAAGCCGCACATGAACAGATACAAATTCTAAAACACCTGAAACAGCAGTTATTTTTCAAAAAGGTCTATTCAGTTAAAAAAATACCCAATAGACTGGACCACAGAGAGTATCAATACCCAATGTGACTGACAAGTAAGTAAATTCTCAGTGGCCCAAGGAACTATCTATCTGGAGCCCTGGTGCAATAGTGACAAAATAAGTGACCCTGTTCAACCTTCTTGAAAAGTTGCAGTTATTTGTGATGAGGTGATCATAATCTTGTATATGTCAGAACAATGAAAGTGAGTCTGCGTGTCGAGGTTTGGAAGATCCAGTGTTCTAAGCGTAGTGGACTCGTGGTGCACGTGATGTGGTAGGTGGGTCGTCATCTTCATCGTCGTCATCCTCTTCATCATCTTCCTCCTCCTCCTCATCTTCATCACCGTACATAGACTACAACAGAAAGAAAGTAAATCAGAGTTGACTAATATGTGAAAACAAAGATTTCAAGACTTTCAAACAAATCTAAATAATGACTGGTCCCTGTTTCAAAGAGCAGTCCCAGCTCCTACATATCCAGTGTTACAAATTCAGAAAAATTCCAGAGAGGTTAATATTATAATGCTAGTCCGGTCAAAAAAAGTGCCAGTCACGATTATCAGGTCATTTCTACATGCCACTCATGATAAAAATTAATATCCCTGATTATGAACTAAATCTACTAAAAATATCATCCAGACCATTATCTGTCATGGTCATGTTTCTTTTCATTCCATGAAAATCGCCATATTACCGAATCTACCCACATGACCCAGAATGGTTTGTTTCTTAAAATGCTAGAATTAAACTGATTAACAAGAGCTATATCTTGAAAACTTTAGGGATTACAGTCAAGCAACATTGTGTTGAACTTTGACATGTCAAACTGTTGTATTGAAGTAAAAGCTTCCCTGCATATTCCTTCTTTATTTATCATTTTTCGGATGTGTCGAACTTCAGATAAGTCAAAGTATTTACCTAGGTCCCTTAATCTTCGACACAATGATGTCTGACTGTACTTTTTTTTTATCTGACATAGAAATTTTGAACTGGTCCCTTACACCTAAGAATCTTTTCTTACAAATCATCAGAAGAAGATGACCTCCTTGATAAAATATTCGCATCTGGTCATCTTCATGGAAGTGAAGGGTCATTTTGTATTTACAGCATTTGTGACATTTGCCGATTAGAATAAATATGAGATGAAGTCAGTATGTTTGTCACATGTCCATCTAGTCTAGCAAAACATGACATATACTATTCAAAAGAAGTTAAGGATCAACCGATTCTTTCATATTGGTAATGTTAATCTGTCATGGCATGGTGATCCTTAACTTCTTTTGAGTAGTATATCTTTCTAGCAACGCCAAGCAGGTAAATGTTCTTGTAGCAACATCATTTGATCATATACTACTCAAAAAAGGTTGAGGACCCATAATATATTCTTTCATAATACCATAATTAATCTGTCACGGCAGGACCACTCGAGTCTTTCATATTACCATCATTAATCTGACATGTCATTACAGGACAGATTAACTATAGTAATATGAAAGAATCGAGTGGTCCTTAACTTTTTTTTAGTAGTATACAATACAAGTGATGTGATAATGTGATAATATTTTCCTAGCAACTAGCCCCATCAAGGCCACAGCTCTGCTGTTCTGTAAGTAAAGGAACAGAGCCCCAGATTCAGCACCAGAAGGTAATCATAGCTTGGAATAATATAACTTATGCAGTGTATGAATCAATGACCTCATCGCAGTGCTAATATTTTATTTCTGGGATTTACTGATTCGATCACCTAGATTACCAACGTACAATCAGAAAATTGAATAAAACAGTTTAAATTTATTCTTATTTTGTTCCATTTTTCATGGCTAGAAAATGTAAATATACAATAAAAATTATCCAAAGTTATGTATCTGTTAACCTTCAAATTATAATTGGTCAAATAGTCTCTGTCCACGGCAGCCTCCATACAGAGCACCAAGCTTCCTCTGGGCACATACATACATGTTGGTGTACAACTACTTTACACTCTGCACGTTAAATACCAATAACATTAATGTTTTGCTACTTAAATGATTGACCCAAACATCCTTACAGCAAAAACAATTTATACATATATATATATTTTGAAAAAAATGCAAGATAATTGATTAGCAGTTATCTATAAACCATATAATAGAAAAAGTTGAATGTTTTATGGACTTTGCAAGACTTGGGTGAGCAACAGACTGCTTCACACCTAGCCTCGTGTCTAGCCTCGTGTCTAGCCTATGTACTCACTCCCCGGCTAGATGTAGAAGGACTCCACATCATCAACCATGTCCGCCTCCTGTTTTGTCAGTACAGTGTTGTATTGATTAGCCTTTATAATTTCTCGTTTATAATATTATTTTCAAAGTATTGAAATAAAAATAAACTTGTGAAACATGACTCTTTTTTTAAAGTAATCTTTGAAAAAATGATAACACATTAATATCGAAAGTGTCAGTGGAAGCATTTCTTTGAATGACAAGGCTAAGAGTTACTTCCCTTCCCATACTGATCAACTTCCAATACTGAGAACCATTGGGTTTTGTTAGAGACAGGATGTTTTAGGGGTCACTGCATTTTTCCATATTTCCCAGACCAAATGGTTTGTTTTAATAAAATCACAGTCACCCAGGCCTCCCCAGAGAATATCCAGTGATCAGACCCTTTTCATACCAAACAGTTTCCCATAACAATCAACTAAGCATTGTCATCATCTAATCTTAACGACCACCTAACCATTGTCATCAACTAACCTTAATGACCAACTAACCATTGTCATCAACTAACCTTAACAATCAACTAACCATTGTCATCAACTAACCTTAACGATCAACTAACCATTGTCATCAACTAACCTCAACGACCAACTAACCATCGTCATCAACTAACTTTAACGATCAACTAACCACTGTCATCAACTAACCTTAACGATCAACTAACCATTGTCATCAACTAACCTTAATGATCAACTGACAATAGTCATCAACTAACCTTAATGATAAGCTAACCATTGTCATCAACTAACCTTAACGATCAACTAACCTTTGTCATCAACTAAACTTAATGATCAACTAACCATTGTCATTAATTAACCTTTACGACCAACTGTCCATTAAAATCAACTTTTCATAACAATCAACTTACCATTACAATCAACTTTCCATAATGATCAACTTAAATAACGATCAACAGACAATACAAGACATTGTTATTACAAAAACATAATACCTAGTTAAAATAAAACTCTACATGAATATGTATAAATCAATATGAAACTGAAATGAATAGACATGCAGAATTGTGTCCCTTAGCTGTCCCAAGATCTGCTGATCATGGAATTTGCATTCAAGGTTAACTCTGTGATCCTTGATTAATAAGCAAGCTTCTTAGTTACAATAAAAAAATTGTCAAGATTAATTATATTCCATTTGACATGCCTTCATTAACTGAAATGATGTTTTAAGTGCCACATATTCACTCACTTGCAGTTCCCACTCACTCACTCATCTAATCACCCACTCACTCACTCACCCAACAACCCGATAGCCCGCCCTCCCCCACCTTTTTTTCAAACCCCTATTTTGAGTACTGTGCACCCCCCACTGTTCAAAACATGATTGGGCCACTTACACTTGCCATCCGTACAGACTGTTGTCTGTCCGAGTATGTCGTTCCCATGGACGGCAGGGTAGCACTACCAAATGTATCTGAGGCACCGAGAGAGCTCATCGTTCCTAGCTGTCGATTTGACCCTATTGTATCCATCAGTGCTGATCGAAACTCCTGCAATATGGTTAGGAATAGATTACACATTGCAAGTTTTTTATGAGAGAATACAAATTCCTGAAATTGATATAAACATGATATACTATCGGCTGTTTGCGAAAATATCAGGCATTAGTAGCTTGTAATAGCTCAAGGTCTCTGTAGCTCACCTGATACGAAGTGAAGTGAAATGAGGTTTAACGTCGCGTCCAAGATTATTGTACTTAAATAGCGATGTGAATGCATGTGTGTGTGGCTGCTTGTACTAGTCAGGACTGAGCCGATTTTATAGCTAGCCCACTGAGATACCATGCCGCAGTGTAACATGAAAACCCAACTCAGACACAGTATACTGACTCCGAGCTGACTAGTCCATGTTTTAGCCCCTTAATGCCGAGCGCCAGTCAGGGTAAGAACAAGTACCATCTTTTAACGTCTTTTGGTATGACGCGTACGGGGATCGAACCCAGTCCTTCCGCTTTCCAGACAGATGCTCTGTCCACAAGACCATGAAGGCGGTCTCACCTGATACGACTATGAAAATGTTAAAAATTTACAGTCACAAAGGCCAGGTTTGAGCCAAATCAGACCCTTTACATGTGAAATATGTAGAATTTTACTTACAGCCCCATCTGTAACACAAGAAGTTCTATTTTGACGCCTCAAGAAATCTCAAAATACTTAGGATCATCAGCAGCTTACTTTTGGTTTCGGAGATAAAAGGTAAGGTGAGCTAACGCACCAGAACACAAGATCTTCCTCATGTAAATCTGATCCTGCTCCTTTAACCATCAAGATTATTTAAGTCATGCACAAGGTATTTCACAACTGAGAACTTCAACCAAATTCTCCCAAAAGCATTTCCTAACATTAAGATGGAATAATTCCAACATATTTCTAAAGTGTTTCTGTAGTACATGTGCTTACCTCAACATCAGAAAACTCATCTATCATGGCAACATTTTCAAAACACTTTGCAAGATTCTCCAAGGCACGTGCATGAAATGTCATCTCGATGTTCAGGAAATCTGTCAACACTTTCTAAAAATAAAAGAAATAAAAAGAATTTATGCCAAGACAATTTTTACATTAGTTTTCAGATAAGCCTATATTATCATTTTTCTCTTAAATACATAATACAAACCGTCACAGAACAGAATTTGTGACCAATGTTTAAGCAATACAGCAGGCCCAGCCAATTTATTCCCTTGCTTCGCATGGCCAGGTGATTTTGAAAAACACTTGATAAAACCAAATAGGTCCATGCTGTGATAGCTATCAGTACTGCTCTCTATCAATGATTTTCATATTGACATGTAGCTACTCAGAGCTATGGACTGTTCCTTAGATTCCAGATTCAATAAATATATAAATGGGGAGAGCTACTGAAATCATTCAAGCTTATTTGGAATTTACAAGGACACATAGAATCAGACGAGGGTCCTCCCCCAAAGCAGAGCAGGTTCATGGAATAGTGGCCGACTTCATATAGTTCTTTTATTGCACGTACGACTGAAGGACCTACCTTTAAATCAGTGACCTTCTCCTTTTCAAATCTGTCCATCTCGTCTTCAAGGGCGCGGCTGTAGATGGAGGCATCCTGACTCGCTCGCTGCACCTCGGTCTCGGCCTGGGGGACAACAGAGTGGTGTGTTTAACAGGGGGAGGGCAACCAGAGTAGCTCACACCGCTCAAGTCTCCATAATGATATAACATTTATACTATGTTTTCATATAATAATTAGATCCACAGTAAGGGCTTTTCTAAATGTTACACAATGACAACTTATAAAAGCCCTTGCTGTGGATCTAATTATTATATGAAAACTTAATATAAATGTTATATAATGATACCTCATTAAACTTTGCTAGTATATTTGATGAAACATTTACAGATGTTAAGCAAGTTAAGACATCATTTTTCAAAAGTGACAATTTTTAACAGTTCCAATTTCCTTTGAAAGGACACCAGACCCCGCATTTCACCAGGTGTCATTCCAGACACCTGGGCCCACTTGCACAAAGCGATCTTAGCGCTAAGATGATCTTAACTCCCATACTTTAACATAGGCTTACAATAGTCGTAGCGCTAAGATCGCTTTGTGCAAGTGGGCCCTGGTCCTGTTCCCCACAGGTGTCTGTCCAGACACCAAGCCTTCTACCTCCACAGGTGTTCAAGACCCCTAGCTATGCGCCCTACAGGTGTCTGTCCGGACACCCAGCCTGCATCTGCGCAGGTGTTGTTCAAGACACCTAGCTATGCGCCCTACAGGTGTCTGTCCAGACACCCAGCCTGCATCTCCACTGGTGTTGGTCAAGACACCTAGCTATGCTCCCTACAGGTGTCAGTCCAGACACCACCCTGCATCTCCACAGGTGTTGGTCAAGACACCTAGCTATGCTCCCTACAGGTGTCTGTCCAGACACCCAGCCTGCATCTCCACTGGTGTTGGTCAAGACACCTAGCTATGCACCCTACAGGTGTCAGTCCAGACTCCACCCTTGCACTTCCAGACCTCCAGCAGGTGCTTGTATACTGTGCAACTCACCCTTGTCTTGAGAGGGTTAAGGAAGGCAACTGACATATCAAACATTTTTTTTCAGTAGAGACTGAGAGTTATGTTGTTTACATGTTTTGTCATTTATTCTTAACCCATGTAAATATAATCGGATCTTGTCACCCTATATGCAACTTGAGTGATGAACAAGCACGGTGTGATTTCTCAACGTTAAGACTGCCCTGACATCAGTTTGTAAGCAGTCGTGTAGTCAGTAAAATATTCCACAAACAGACTAATTAACATCACTTTGGGCTTTCTTCCCCCGTGGGGATTCCTGGTTAGAATAGGTCCCCAACAATCATGTTGGTTGAAGGAGGTGAGTAAGTGGATTGGCAGGTCAGACTCAGGGACTTATTGTGGATCATTTGCTTACAATATCAATCACTGGATTGTCTGGCCTAATTATTTACAACTTGCCATCATGTAACTGGGATATTGCTGAGTGCGGCAGTAAACAACAAACACAAAAAAAACACAAACGACATTTAAACTCACTCACTCACTCACTCTAAAGTTTAAATAACTTGATAAACCCTCTAAAATTATAACAATGGCGATTTCCCTTTCCTGATAACACAACTCTAATAGGGACAACTTCCAAACTATTTCCATGAAGGATACAATCTGGTGCCGATCTCCAGGGTTCTTCTGTCGCACTTTGTCTAGCTTCTGTCTCGTCTGCCTCTCCTTCTTTAAGGCCGAAATCTCCCGCTTGACAGTTGCCTAGCAACAGAAAATAGATGGCTGACTGAATACTGTTTTCATCTGTTTGAAGTATTTCAATAACAGTATGAGGATGTCTCACAAATGAATTTCACAAACCACTGATACACTGTTAGTGTTAACATCAGATTTCCTGCTAAAGTCGGCCTGATGTACGTCCTCTATATTTCCCATGGCTTGTTTCACAAAGTATAAGTGAATGTCAAGGTATGGCGTCTCAGCACGGAGATACTGGGACTTCTGGGTAATCCCGGTGATGCCTACCTTCATCTGTTTACACCGGCCGCCATATTGCATCATGGGTTGTAGCACCTTCGCCTCCATTCTGTGGACCTACAACACGAGTACGACTGTTTACTAGACATTCTGCATTCCTGCTGGAGTGTGTCGGTTGCTTGTTTGTTTAATGATGCACTCAACAACATTCCAGCCGAATGACGGTGGTCTGTAAATAACCGAGTCTGGACCAGACAATCCAGTGACTGACATCATGAGTATTGATTTATGCATCTGGGATACAATGAGATGCATCAACGAAGTCAGCAAATCTGACCATCCTATCCTGTTACCCGCCTCTTTCAACAAGCGTGGGTTGCTAAAGACCAATTCTAACCTGGACCTTCACAGAGGGGCCCTGCTGGAGATGTGATATGGGTCACGATATGATTGTGTGTGTGTGTGTGGTGGGGGGTTGCTCACAACATTATACATGTCACATGAACAATAGTGTTGATTTCACGGGGGGGGGTTTGCTCACAACATTATACATGTCACATGAACAAAAGTGTTGATTTACTCCGGGGAGAACCAAGTCAATCATCTTCACTATCTTCAAAACTTCAATTTTCAAGTTTCTCAAGACCTTGACAGAATTAAGGTGAAATGGGGTCCAACGTTGTGTCCAAGATTATTGCATTATATAGCCACATGCATGCATGTATGTGTGTGGCTGCCAATTTATAGTGCTAGCACACTGAGATACCATGCAACAGTTTAACATGAATACCCCACTCAGACACAGTATACCGACTCCGAGCCAACCATTCCTTGTTTTAGCCCCTTAATGCTGAGCTCCAGACAGGGTAACAACAAGTACCATCTTTTAATGTCTTTTGGTATGACACAGCCGGGGATCGAATCCCGGACCTTCCGCTCTTTGGGCGGACACTCTACCATTAGGCCACGGACCAAGTCCTTGTAACCATGGTTACCTCAGAGTTCTTGTAGTCTTGTATAGTGGAGAAGTTTTCAGCAAAGTGAGTGAGGGCTTTCTTGGATGAACTGTTGAGTCGTTCTCCATCTGCGTAGTTTTTTATGTGACCAGCCAGGACGTCACCTGTAGAACAGACACCACTGGATCTTCATCATCTGAGTTGAACCTGACAGATGAACTGGTAACAGATTACACTGTACCAGGAACTTTCACACACAAACACACACAAACACACACACTCACACACACACACACACACACACACACACACACACACACACACACACACACACACAATATCTGCTCATCATTCAACATTCAGCAAGTCACAGTCTCTTTCTAAATTATGGTTTCATAATTAAACAGTTATCTGCATAAGTGACATTCACACACACACAATATCTGCTCATCATTTTACACACATTTACTCACCGAAAGGTTAAGCTTCAAGGTCAAGATCAATTAAGTATAATAAATTTGTCTTCATAATCAATAAATATTTCTATACAAATGTTTCCCAATCTAAAGTTTCATACACACACCCTTGAAAAATACATACATTGTTATCATTCCTCCATGTGAGAACGATGAGATCTTATTGGTCCATGTTATCTTCATAAAATACTAAGTATCCTGCCTTTGAGGGAAATAAATTTCTCAGCGGGGTAATAAATGTCTTATACCCTGCCACGAGCAAGTCAAGCTGCACATGGATTTCTGAGCGGCAGAATAAATCCCTTATACCCGCTTCGTAGGGAAACAGCGACGCTTTTTTCGAGTCAATGGAAGTCATGTGACATAGCACAAGTTAACCTCAGCACAATCGAACAGTTCTTTTCAACTATTTTTTAATTTGTTTTAATTCTTTTACAATGTCATATTATCACATGTTGGTTGGATAAATTTGTTGTAGCAGGATCACGAGGGGTACATGGGGTTTTATGCATCCCTCGTTAGGTTTCATAAAACTAACACAGGACACATAACACCTTTTAATGTTTGCAACTAAAATGCTAATTTTACACACAGCAAAATGTCAATTTGAACAATTTCCTACATCTTATTATTTACCTACATTAAATCAGTTGAGATTTGATGCATTAAATCTACATGAATCTTGGCCCTGTGAGTAAGAATAGAATGCTGGTCAAAAGAGGAGACTTAATGATCGGTGAGATTCACTGATTGAAGTTATTTGTACATTGATGACAGGGACCAACCATTGCTCATAATCACAATCACTGGATCATCTGGTCCAGACTAACTCATTTATAGGACACCATCATGTATATATAGCTAGAATATTGCTGAGTGCTGAGTCAAACAAACAAACATAAATGACTGTCTAGTTACCCCACCTTTGTTCCTCAGTCGAGCGTTTTTTCGTGTGATTGACCCGATGGTTTCGCAGATGAGCCCGAAGTTCTTCTCCACACTTCCCACGCGGGCCAGACAGAACTTGGACTGCTTCTCACTGAAAGGTCAAGGTCAGACAGGTCATTGAAGGTCATGGTTGTCAGATCTTTGATAAGCTCAATCTTAACAACTTATTCACTTTCAACACTGTTCTTTTGTAAAAATTTCTTGATATTTTACTGTTTAGTCAATCCTTCTTAATAATCTGTACTTACAAGCCAATAAATATTGTCATATAATACTCAAAATAAGTTAAGGATCACCCAATTCTTTCATATCCACTAGTTAATCTGTCATGGCAGATTATATTTACATAAAACTACAGTTACTCTGCCACTTCTTTAGTGTAGTATAGATAGTGTTACATTGTAGGCCTCTGACGGTAATAGAAAAAATGGACTCAAGTACTCATGTCTAAAATCCGACCAGGACTTAAATACCCGATTTCAATAGAAATATGCTACACAATCAACATTTTGTCTTGTTTTTCAGCATTATCTCAAAATGCATTGAGACACAGCTTTCTAACATGTCTGCAACATGTGTATTGAGAGGAGTGAAGATGGGAGTTATCTCCTCTGGCCAGGGACTCGAACCCCTCCATACCTTCCCCATGCTAGAGTACTTAGGTCACATATACAAGGTTGGGGATGAGGAGTCAGCTTCTATGTTACAGACATTTTACTGAATCCATTAAGTCTAGAACAACCTATACAACACTGAAACTGACAACAATATTAAATACATTGAGAACATTTGACATAAAAAGATAAAGATACGTAACAGTATGAAAATGAACGGACAATGTGAAACACCTGGTCTACAATGTAGTCTTTGATGGGCATTTAGAAGTTTGAAGAACATGAATACATGACACCTTTTATGGATAGCAACTTCTTTTAATTCTTTGTCACAAGCTTTCACAACCACTTCTTGCTCCTTCTTTAGGTGAATACTGACAGTGAACCCCTGAAGAAGGAGCAGGGCGTAGCTCTGAATGTATTCACCTGGTTAGACTAACATTTAGTTTCTGAAATCTTACATTACACAATATTCTTGACTCTAAAATTTTATTTTTTTTCCCTATGCTGATTTCAGAGCTAGCTTGAGCTGGCTAGACTTGCTTTTGTATGCGTTTCTAGATTGATTTTTTTCATAAAATAAATATATTCCACGGTCATTGTGCGGGACTATCGCCTGGTCAAAACAAATACCAGAAATCTAAACACAATGCCTCTTATCTGGGAGACAGTACACTAAAATTTCCTCTCAGTTTTATTTCAGTTACATAAAATAACGAAATGGTCAGTTGGCAAAGATAAGCCCTCTTTTAATTTATTTCAACTGATTGAAAATATTTAACAATAATATTAGCAGAATATTATTTTGTTCTATATTTTTATAAATTTTTCATTGTTATATCATCCAAGAAATGTTTGGTTATTGGAAAATAAACCTGTACACAAGTAACAAAAATTATCAATTGACAGCATCCAATCTGCAAGTTCTGAAATAGAGTTCATTTGGAATCCAGTCGATCTTTGACAAGACATAACACGATAATGGCTTGAATTTCTTTCACCAGTTGAGCTAATGTTAATGTGTCAGATTTGCAAATAAAAACTGTACAGAACAAAGTAGTGATGTACATTACATTGTTATACAAATATTTCTACATCATAAATCATCTATCCCCTCAAACCGACAATGAGTTCATGCAAGACAGTGTGTCATATGTGTATGGTTCTTTCAAATTTGTCAACAGCATACACTACTGAAAAACGTTAGGACCACCAGTTCTTTCATGTCATGACAGATTGACTAAGATATATGAAGGAATTGGGTGATCCTTAACTCTTTTGAGTAGTATATAATTTGACATTTTTCCATGGGTACACATACACCGACAGGATCCTCTCTGTTAGCAAGTATATGTACAAGGGCGGACCCAGCATTTTTAAAAGAGAGGGGTCAAATAACAAAATCCTCCCTCAGTGGGGTGGGGGATGGTGGGTTGAGAGGTCGAATAACAAAATCCTCCTTCAGTGGGGTGGGGGATGTGGGGAGGGGGATGTTGGGTGGAGAGGTCGAATAACAAAATCCTCCCTCAGTGGGGTGGGGGATGGTGGGTGGAGGGGTCGAATAACAAAATCCTCCCTCAGTGGGGTGGGGGATGTTGGGTGGAGAGGTCGAATAACAAAATCCTCCCTCAGTGGGGTGGGGGATGGTGGGTGGAGGGGTCGAATAGCAAAATCCTCTCTCAGTGGGGTTGGTGAGGTAGGTTTGTCCACAACAGACTACATTTGGTTTTCAAAAAGGATCCGGACCCCCTGGACCCCTTCTCTGGATCCGCCTATGGTTAGTAAAGGGACACACAGGTTGTTGCAGGGTGTACACAAAGAGATAAAAATCACAAAAAGCCACACAGTTTCTCTGGATTACTGATTAACGGTTCCACAAATATGGAACATGAAACAAAATACTTTCTTTTTTAAGTTATAACTTTACCCAAAATTGCAATAAATGTAAAGTGATAAAAATTATTTGAATGGATCGTGGAAAATGCTGGATGGTAGACAGTCGCAGACATATCGTGTACGAGACGGCACCACCATGATCAATGGCGGGAAAAATGCTAGATGGTAGACAGTCTCAGACATACGTGTACGAGACGGCACCACCATGATCAATGGCGGGAAAAATGCTAGATGGTAGACAGTCTCAGACATACGTGTACAAGACGGAGGAAAGTGATCAATGGAGGAAAGTACAACATCCAGCAAGGGCCATTACAGTTTGAAACAAATCCAAAATAGCTAGTTGATGGTTGTGTTTGATTTCAGTCAAGCGATGTCAAGTAAACAAATCAATGAGCCATGAGAAACACAACTGTGGCGTACAACATGGAGGGTCGAAGGCAGCTTGAGGTACAGCTCCATGCAGGGTTAGTTGACATCAGTTAGGCAGGGAATACTGGTTACCATAGATACCACTGTACAGGGGGGGATCTGGGTGGAGGGAGTTCTATGCATCTGAAGGCATTATCAACCTGGATGCAGGTCTGGGATGTTTCCTTTGGTGAAACCCACCAGCGCCGGTATGATGCTGACAAACCTAGCAATGTTTCTTGGATGCCAAAGGGACATAACTCTACATGGCAAATTGTAGTGCATTAGACAAAAGGGCCACCAGTGCCCCCTTAATTTCACAAGTAAAAGAGCAGCTTTCTCACAAAGTCTGCGAACCATATATGTTGCGTTAACAACCTACATCATCACTAGAATATTGATTAGGTGGAAACAGTGTGTCATCATGAACTGTTTGTTGACTTTTAACTCACACTCAGCAATATTCCAGCTATATGACGGTGGTCTGTAAATAATCAAATCTGGACAGACAATCCAGTGATTGATATCATGAGCATCGATCTACGCAATTGGGATAGGATGACATGCATCAACCAAGTCAGCGAGCCTGACCATCCGATCCCGTTAGGCGCCTCTTACGACAAGCATAGTCACCTTTTACAACAAGCATGGGTTGCTGGAGACCTATTCTACCCCGGATCTTCACGAGTGCATCATGAACTGACAGCTGCATGCTGTCAACAACGTGTGGTCCAGGCTTGATAGTTGGACTATTGCTGGGTGGCGTAAAACAACATTCACTCACTCACACTGTAAATGCACCGTAACATCCTTTTATATCTTCAGTGAGTACTATGATTTTTACGCCGCTTTTAGCAATATTCTCGCAATATGACAGCAGGGGGCACCATAAATGGGCTTCACACATTGTACCCATGTGGTGAATCAAACCCGGGTTTTCCACACGATGAGCGAACGCTTTAACCAATAGTCTATCCCACTGGAGTAGTTGCATCGGATGTTTTAGATCTATGCCACATTCTCATCAAAAACATGTAAAACTTTCAACATTTCTTTGGGAGAACTCACTCTTTTCCCTTCTCCGAGTTAACAGAAATATAACAGCTATTCATTTCTTCAAAAAGAACCTTTAAACTTATACAGCTGAAAATCATATTTCTTTCAATTTCATATCAATGTTAAGGCAGAAATTCTGCAAAATAAAAGACCCTGAAACAAAGAAATTTAACAAAAATATCTGTTATCATGATTATCATTATTGACCATGCTGCAATATTTCATCATCAGCTGATTCATTACTCATACTCGAAAAAATTGTTTAAGGAAAATTTCACACTATTGAGAAATGTGTATCCAGACAAAATTGAAATAAAATGATCATGTGATTGGTTGGCCTCTACAGTTTTGATACATAGCACCCAAAACTAATTCAAAAGGCTCCATTAAAATCATAATCAATTCATATTTCCAACCTTTTTTCAAAAAGAAATGATTTGGGGAGGCACCGGATAAGTTTAATAGATCAGTTCCCATGTGCACAAAGCAACCTTAGCGTTACAATATGTCTTAGTCAGTGTTTAAGTATGGGAGTTAAGATTGCTAAGACTGCTTTGCGTGGGTCTTGATTTTAACGAGACTGAGCCCTCTGATCTGACAAGAACTTATTGCAACATGGTATAGTGAGACAATATCCATTAAAGTGCATCGTACAACACTGACATTAGACGTGCCCTTAACCAGGTATAGTGTACACAATAATGCATACTCACAGCATCTGTCTGCAAACCACAAAGTGAATGTAGGACCATTAGTGGAACATGAATCGTATTGTGAGAACATATTGATAAAGAAAAACAGAACTTTCACTGAACCATGTACAATATCACACGGATATGTCAGTAATGTAATGTTATTGAAAACATATCTATCCAAAACAAGCATACATGAAAACTACAGATAGGACAGGATCAAGCTAAATAATGAAAAAGTCTCACGCCATTACCACCATATATGGAGTATTCGAGCCCTTACCAAGTTGTTGGCAAGGTAAAATGAGATCTAACGTCGCATTCAAGTGTGTGCACAATCCAAATTATGTATACATAGTAATTATTAAAACCCACTACATTGTCAATAGGGGGCACAGGGGGGCCCAGTCGTCTAAGGCGCCGCAATTTCGCTGTGCAGAGTTGCGTACCTTGGCCATGCCAGAAACCTATGATTGTGGGTTCGAATCCCGGTTCGCCCCGATTATGTTTCTAGGCTTGTCAGCACCATACCCGTGCTCGTGGGTTTCACCGAAGTGGTAAACGTCTGAGACCTGCATCACTTTCCTCCAACATTAAGCTGACACACTGCCATATAACTGGAATACTGTTAAAAGCGGTGTTAAACCCAACTCACTCACCCGCTACATTGTCAATGGAGACTGCAACAAACCAGGTGCATGTGCACTCGAATTGTTGTGGTCTGTGTGATGATTTTGTGTGTTTGCTTCCACTGAAAATGTGTCAGGTTTTAATCATTACGATGGACACTTTATAGGAATTGTGTCTTGTTTGTTTTTGGTTTGTTGTTTAACGCCGCACTCAGGAATATTCCAGCTATATGACGGCGGTCCGCAAATAACCGAGTCTGGACCAGACAATCCAATGATTTATATCATGAGCATCGATCCACACAGTTGGGATCGATGACATGCTTCAACCAAGTCAGCGAGCCTGACCACCCGATCCCGTAAGTCGCCTTTTACGACAAGCAGAGTCACCTTTTACGGCAAGCATGGGTTGCTGAAGACCTATTCTACCCTGAAATCTTCACGGTCTTGTTTGTAACTGGTGTGGCTATTTCTATGTAAAGTGTGTGCATATTCCATAGTTTGAGTGCTCTGCTCGCTTTCTTTGGTAGGGAGGGGGTGAAAGTGAAAATCAGGTTTCTTTTATTTATTTACATTGCAGTCAAGGCACAATGTAAATTAAAAAGTAGATTTGTAAGCCCCACAAAGCTCTCATGAAGACCTAGAACACTATCCCTCTTTGTATAGAATTTTACATTGTATTTGTTTCTCATCCTGTTGCAATGTAGCAATTCCAGAAACAGTTTCTCTATATATGTAGTAACATGTTGCAACAGTGTAACCACACACATTTGTTATCCCCTACTCGTTGAGTTGTATGACTTGATATTCCCCTCCTACATCACAAATACATATATGTCCTATACTACTATCATTGTAATGTATTCAAAGGACTAATTACCACATTTGTTATCACCTACTCGTTGAGTTGTATGACTTGATATTCCCCTCCTACATCACAAATACATATATGTCCTATACTACTATCATTGTAATGTATTCAAAGGACTAATTACCACATCTGTAAAATATTCACATAATTATTTCTTTCTACATAACTCAAATAAACATCACAACCACCACTGGATGCCGTGTCGAATTTCAATCTGATTTTTGACAGCTTAGTTCGGACAAACAACATGTTTCTACATGCGATTTGAACACCGGTCATCAGCTGGTACATAACTGATATAGTTTACATTAGTTACCAGCCGGAACCACCTTCCGTATCTTGATAAAACAACACGATACGACGTAATCCTAAAAATAAACTTACCTGGCACTAACTTCGTTCGCATTACGGCTCATTATGTCCTAACGGGTGAATTAATACCGCGATCAAGTCCAAGTCCCCCTGTCTGTCAAATGCGAATTCCTGACACAACATATAAGACTCCTTAAACAAGAAACATTTAGAGTTACCTCCCTTTGGTGGTCTAGCAACGCGGCTCGTTTTTCAGTGTGGCTACGCCCATTTTGTACACATGATTCAAACATATTGGGTACAGAACCCGAGAAACATCTAGAAAAGTATTCCTTACGCAAGGTACATACTGTAAAAAATGGAGACAACGGTTTTTTCAGCACAGTTTCTGCATTTCTAATCCATAAATTTCTAAAACTGACATAGGACTTATCATATTTTTCTGACATCCTCGCCACTTTTTTTCATCCCCAAAATACATGTGACATGCTTTTATAGAACACACGCTTTATAAATTACCAGTCCTTAAAACGTTCAAATTAGTAACAAATATATTTGAAAAGACATGAAAACGGTCATTTCTTTCTCATCTTCCCAAGGCAAGAGAGTTAACTGACTTTAAAAGTCCAGTTCCCGTCAGTTAACTCTCTTGCCTCGGGAAGATGTTTCTTTCTTAGCGCTAAGTTTGCAAACGTGAGGCTGTATGACATCCCGTGCTGAAGCCATTACGCGATATGATGTCAAAAACGCGAGAGTTGGATTTCTTTTCCTAACTCTGACACAATTTGTTAGAGCCGATCTTTTGACCGATTTCCATAATCGTTAAATGTCATTTCTAAACATGAACGATAACGAAACTACCGCTCACTTCCACCACATTGTAACCTACCTGCCACGTACATGGCTACGTGTTTATACTCGATGTGTAAGAGATGTATTTAATTAATCCTACGTAAATTCATACAGCATAACACATTTTTAAGGTGGCCCATAAGGGACATGGAGTCTGTTTTTCAATATTTTGATGTTTCACATACTTTTATCGTAACCTTTTGCAAATAAACACGATTTGTCTTACAAATATGTGATAAATCATGTATAAAAACAACCGAAAACATGGAAATGTCAAAAACTAAAACGAAAAGGTCAAAAACTAAAATGAAACCACAGAAAACTATTTCCACCGCGGTGGAAATAGTTTTCTGTATTTTCATTTTAGTTTTTGACATTTTCGCTTTTGTTTTTGACATTTTCATTTTAGTTTTTGACATTTTCGTTTCACTTTTCAGCGATTCAATATCTTCTTTACACATGATTTATCACATATTTGTAAGACAAATCGTGTTAATTTGCAAAAGGTTACGATAACAGTAAGTGAAATATCAAAATATGGAAAAACAGACTCCATGTCCCTTATGGGCCACCGTACATTTTGGATAAACAATATGACCAGTTTTCCCTCAACTACCAAAAAGTGAATCCATCAAAAGAAAGAATCTTAAGACGCATGCCTCGACAGTTTATGTGAATAATCCTCAAACGTTTCTTGATAGCGTCAATTTTCTTTGTATATAGAATATCAAGGGATGACAGTTCTTAAACACGGGTAGAAATAACGGTTGTTACTCCATGTACTATAAACGACACTAAATATAAATTCACAGTGCACTACAGATATCGATTCAATCTTATCATACTAACATACCTTACACCCTTATTTTATAGTTTATTTGTTATTTCTAATGAGATATTTGCAGTACATTCACTGGCATTAACACTTTGTTGAATGAAGTTTTGAAAAACAGCTTAATTCTTAGGTTTCATTCAAAGAATTGTTTTCCGTGCGACATGTCATTAATTGGCTGATATTGTCAATTTTGATGTCTCTGTAGTGTCGTGTATTTCAGATTCCACAAGCGACTCTATCACAGCCTAAGGATATATCAGGTATATCTTGTCCCATCAGTAAAATACGTGCCTATGACGCCTGAATCCGTATGGCATCATGTGTTCGCCTCTTGGTTATTGTTGTAGGACAAATATAGGTGATACAAGTAAAGAAAGAATGAAGACTTTGAAAGATACGATCGCATCCGGCAAATGTCATTTTTTTTCTAAAAAACGAACTGATTTATATACGTTCTAATTTAGTTGACAGTGAGATGTTCAATATTACGTAAAATCAAGTTTATATCAATTATAAAATTGATATTGGAAAGCTATTTCAAAAAGGCACTTCTATATTTATCATGTTAATAAATAAGTCATGAAATTAATGTTCACACGGTTCGCAACGGTGACAACTACGATTGTTTTTCATATCTGCATTTTATGTCTCATAAAGATTGATGTTTCCTGATCATGTGCCCTGGGGATTTTGGGTTACATGAAGTCCCAAGTTACCCATGGCGGTCGTAGAGGGGACTAAATAGACTTGATTGTACAGGTTCGATGACTTGGTTGAGTGCTTGTTATAGTGCCGTGATGTCAGTCACTGGTTTGTCTGGTCCAAACTCAATTATAACAGGTCGCCGTCGTGGAATATGTTGTTTCTTGTAGCAAATGTGTCTCGTATTTAGTTGATAATAGAGATGGTTTATAAAGGACTATATACATTGTTTCATGCTCGTAAAACAAACCCTCGTTGTCTTTTATTAGCGTTATAGTTCTTAGTCTACGGGCACATTACTTCTATGTTTGCCCGGAAGATATTTAAATACAGTTTGTACATTATTGTTCTGTGGATATGTTTATTAACCCTTAAACTGTTAATAAAGTATGTTAACCTTTTAACCAACTGAACTTTACTGGAGGACTTTAGTGTGATATTCTCCAATACATGTGCCCTATTATTATCTAAAGGAACAAAATCGGAATAGATTTTTAAATGTTTTTTTTCGGAGATGTGGAAGTACGCCGTAAATTCGACAGCGTACATAGTCTTTTCTTAAGGGGCGATCCTAGCCCACAGGATTGACTTATAGAAAAACCGATATTAAACGGGGAACGGGTAAGGGATATGGTAAGCGTAGCTACCCAAAGCCTAACAGCTGTGATATAACAATGGTATGTCATCGTATGTCTGTAAACTCGTTCCAAACATTTAATTGGGGCGGTGGGGTAGTCTAGTGGTTAAGGCGTTCGTTCGTCACGCCAAAGACCCGGGTTCGACTCCCCACATGGGTACAATGTGTGAAGCCCACTTCTGGTGTCTCCCGCCGTGATATTGCTGGAATATTGCTTAAAGCGGCGCAGAACTACACTCACTCATAAACCCAAACATTTAATCGGGAGGTGAGTCTCCCTTTCTGAGTGAATCTGATAATTGCTCCCCTTAAGCATGTAAAAACACCAATGTAGTCACTAAACACCAGATTTAAAAATAACCGCAACTCTTGTATTAGTATGAATATGCCATTTCTAAAATGCAACCAGTTTCTTAAATACTTTTATTCGGGTTAATTACACGAGTACTGATTCGTTTAATCATTCGGAGGTATTGCATTGAAGCAAGAAAACACAGGACAAATATACGGTAGGTTTCACCTCAGAACACGAAGAAAATATCAACGTGAACAGATATCTCATTTTTCTTGTTTATATCCCCAACCACAGTGTCTTAAACTGTTCAGAGGCCTTGATTATACACAAATTTTAGGCTCTGCTTCCCAAAGACTTATTTATCTCATCGCAAGAAATCACTGATATTATTACTTGTGACAGTGTCACTCATTAAATTATCAATTGTGTCACGCCCCTCGATGAGATACAAATGTTATTGGACTAGGACATACAAATATCTTCAACACATATACATTTTGTTAATGAAGACAGTTTCACTGATAACAGTACCGTACGGAATATGAAGGTTACACTTAGCCTTTGACGCCATCAAGGTTCAGCGGGAAAGGGGTTAAATCAGATATACTGTATAACGTTCAGTGCGTGACTATCCTGGTTGTATCTACATCTTTGGGCTGTACACTTCGACATGAGCAGGTACGTGTCACTAGCTTAATCGAGACTATTTTTCCAATTTACAGATGCTGATGAAGTTACAGAACATTCATAAAAGTAGAAATTATGAAAATGGTTTGTCATTTCTATGGATTGTTATGATGCATGGTAAATAGTCAATGGGTCTCTGCGTTCCCTCACACACCTATTAATGGAAGTGAAATACATGTGTCACACTAACGCAAGACAAGTCACAATCAATAATAATAATGATGATGATGATAATAATTTGGAGAGTACCTGCGTTTGCTACCTTCTGACAATCTGGGTAATGCAGAAGGCTGCAGTGTTGGGGAGTCTTCACATTCTCCGAAAAGTTCTGGCTGGGTTTGACTAGGCAGCGCTTCCTGGGAGAAGTCCCATTCGCTGTCTGGGCTGCGTGTAGAGGGGGCAAGGGCCCTGAGCTGATGATGAGCCTAACCAGCCTGACTGTGCCAGGATCACACAAACCCTCTTTGCTGCATTATAATTTTAATCTGTAAATAATGATAATAATAATAAAACAGGAAGTTGTTACTTGGGTCGCAATGGGGTGGCCTTGTGGTTAAAACGTTCGCTCGTCTTGGATACAATGTGTGATTTCCATTGCTGGTATTGTTGGAATATTGCTAAAAGCAATGTAAATACATACCTTACAACAGAGATCTAAGGCGCTGCAATTTGCAGTGCAGAGTTGCGTCCCTTATCTATGCAAGGACCTGCTGATAATGGATTCGATTATGCTTCTTGGTCTGCTAAGTTCATGGACGTGGTGTCACCAAAGTAGTAACGTCAGCATGAGGCCTTTTCGTTGCATAAAGTTGGCACGCACCTCGATATAACTGACATTTGTTCAAAATCTCCACACCTGCAGGGACAGTGGGGTGGCCTTGTGTTTAAAGCGTTCGCTCGTCACGCTGAAGGACCAAGTTCGATTCCCCACATGGGTACAATGTGTGAAGCCCATTTACGGTGTCCCCCGCAAAGATATTGCTGGAATATTGCTAAAAGCGGCGTAAAACCATACTCACTCACTCATTTACTCACTCACTTACTCATTTACTCACGCACTCATGCACTCACTCACTCACTCACTCACTCACTCAATACCTTCAGTGTGGCCGTGACGACGTTGTCCCTGCTGGTGGCTTGTGTGTTGACAAAGACGTCATGCCAAGTCCCAACACGTTACTGTCTTCCCAACGGTGACGTCGTCCCTGACGTTGATGCTTTAAACGCAAGTTACAAGTGTGCGGAGCTGAACCCAAGGGACTATATTCTTCCGCGGATTGACCCAGGACAGGTAAGAGCTCGTTCAGTTTTCAGCTGGCCATGCCTCTGATTGCAATGTGAAACAAAAGTGCATGAAACAATGTGGCTTGGATTGTATGCGCGAAAAATATTCAGGTAGTTTTAAGACAATATTCAACGTGATGTCCTGAGATAGATCTGCCGCCAGATATATACCACATTAGGCACTGTTAATGTTGTTGATAGCATTTAGATATTGATTGTACAGGCGACTAAAATATGAAACGATTTGTAAAATATCTGTCGACGCCGAGCTGACAGTACACCGGGTTTACAAATCTTGCAGTCGACCGAAATCTGCACTTTGAAATCCATGTTGTTAACGAACCGGATGTATAGTTTTTTGCGCCATTTTGATTTGACTATGCATAGACTCGTTAGTTCAGCCAAAATGTAACTCCGGAATTCCGGCATAGTTCGGCAAGGGTGGAAACTGGACTAATACAGTCAGTTAACTCCCTTGCCTCGGGAAGATGAGTGTAAAGCATTAATTAACTGCTCTTTTCACGTAATCATAAATTGTATAATCATATATTGGTATCTTAGTCCAAACATATTAGCTTAAGACATTATATACTGGATTCTTTGAATATTAATGGTTTTCGTTTTGCTTCCGAATTGATTATTACACCTGCAGGTAAGAGTGAGCGTAAGCGAAACGCTGTCCTATTATAATGCGTCTGTTAGTATTTTTGTCTTCTACGTTATAACGTTATCACAATACTACGTTAAATTACAGATAGTCTGAACACATCTAGATTATGAACCTGTTTATATCATAAACATGAATAGATTTTGCACTCAATTCTAAAAAAAACCATATGATACGCATTTATATATATTATTAGATAAGAAACGTGTTTAGCTTTGTGTTTAGGACAAAACACATATTCTGCAGTGTACTCTTTTCAAGTTTCATAAAAATGCGCTGAAGGAAAGACAATTGAAGAAGGTTGTATAACATGGCGTACCTGTTTGAGGATCCCAGGGTAATAAAGGTGGGTTAGATTCTCGGAGGATCAACTGTTCATTGACTTAATTGTATATTTGCGATATTTACAACATTTAAGGTTGGAGACACAACAGAAATACGTCTAGTTCCGGGACGGACGCACAGGAGGATCACCACTGGTGTCCTTCCGCCGCTCTTCCGTAAGTACGTGAATCAGTGACTGGGTAGGTGGGTAGGGAGCTGGATGGGTGGGGCGGGTGGATTCTTGAGTGGGTGGGTGAGTGAGAAAAGTAGGTGAATGAGGTGGGTGGGTGGGTGGATTGTTGGGTAGGTGAGTGAGTGTGAGTGGGTAGGTGGGTGGGTGAGAGTGAGTTTGAGTGAGTGAGTAAGGTGGGCAGGTGGGTGAGAGTTATCTCCCCGAGGCAAGGGCGTTAACTAATGATAAAAGTCCAGTTTCCACTCTTGTCGAACCACGCTGGAATTTCGTGGCTCGATCGTAGCGCCACCAGTAGCTATTACGAGTTATGTCCCTTATATGTCCCTCCTATTGACCAATCAGATTCCACCTCTAATATCAGTCACGCCAAGACGATCTGATCGATAATCATGCAAAGTCCATGTTGTAATAAAACGGGTCTTACCTCGTGAAGTGCACAAAATCATTTAAGCACCTTGATAAGAAACATGAAAAGATTTGGAAAATATCTGTCGACGCCAGTACAGTCAGACAGTACACATGCTTTGCTAATCCCGCAGTCGACGGAAATCTGCACGTTGAAATCCATGTTGTTTACGAACTGGATAGCTAGTTCGTTGCGCGATTTTGTTGGACTATGCATAGGCTTGTTAGTCCGCCAAAAAGTTACTCCGGAATTCCAGCCTAGTACGGCAAGGGGTTGAAAATGGACTTTGACAGTCAGTTAACTCCCTTGCCTCGGGGAGATGGGTCGGAGGCAGTGAGTAAGGTGGGTGGGTCGTTGTTTGAGTGGGTGAGAGTGAGTGAGCAGACTCACGCCTAAGATCCGGGTTTGATTCTCTAAACGGGTACTATGTGTGAATTTCATTTAAGCCACACGGCGTGTGTGCTAAATCTGGCAGGAGGGCCTGAAGCTGTGCAGGTCTTAGACGTTTACCACTTTGGTGAAACGACCACTGGTGCTGACAAACCTTGAAACATAATCAGGATGAACCTGGGATTCAAACCCAGAGTCACAGGTTTCTGACCAGCCTGAGGGACATGCACGTTGAATTAAGGCGTCTCAGCCGGCAGGACCACTCGTGACACCTCACGTAAGTGAGAAGGGAATATGATGTGACCTTGACCTTTACCTTCGTCCATAGCGTGAATGAGAATAAATTGTGGACGCTTTAAATAATGACATTATTGGAGATACTATTAAAAGATTATTTTTGCGTGTTTCCGTGTCGCAAGTTTGTTTGTTTGTTGTTTAACGCCGCACTCAGCAATATTCCAGCTTTATGACGGCGGTCTGTAAATAATCGAGTCTGAACCAGACAATCCAGTGATTGACATCATGAGCATCGATCCACGCAATTGGGATACATGACATGAATCAACCAAGTCAGCAAGCCTTACCATCTGATCCCGTTAGTCGCCTCTTGCGATAAGCAAGTACCCTTTATTTTGAATAAATAGTATTATTAGGCTATCCAAACGTAAATAAAATACAATGCCCATTCCTGATATATAGTTCTGAGACAGCTAAAAATCTTTCTCTTCTCATTTCAATACCCAGAGGTTCCTGAGTTTCTGACGCCCGAAGAGTGTGCCTACCTCATTGATCTAGCTAAAAGACACGGCGTCGCCCCCGCCACCATGACTGGGAAGAACGGGACAATTATCAAAAAGACAGGCGGACGCACACGGACTGGTTACACCTCCTTTATCCGGGCAGACTCGGATCCCGTATTATATAACATTCAACAGAGGTAGGTACCAGTGGTTGGTCCGGAGGGGCTCTGGAAGAATTGGTCCACGGCACCCTAATCTCGTTAAGTCTGCTCGCATGTGTCGGGACACGTGAAGATACGGGTTAGAATAGGTCTTCAGCAACCGATTCTTGCCGTAAAAGGTGACTGTGCTTGTCATAAGAGGCGACTAACAGGATCGGGTGGTCAGGCTCGCTGACTTCACGGATGCATGTCATCGTATCCCAATTGCGTGGATCGATGCTCATGATGTCAATCACTGGATTGTCAGTCCAGACTCGATTATTTACAGACCGCCGTCATATAGCTGGAATATTGCTGAGTGCGGCGTTAAACAACAAACAAACAAACACACAAACAAATGTCATTGCAGGCAATTGGACTAGCAAGCTAGTGACTTGGTGTATGAGCAACGAGCCATGATGGCGTTGCACCATGACACACAATTAAAGCTTGTACACAAGTCACCGATTTTCGGTTCTCACAAGCATATGGTACTGGTGACCCTCTCTGGCCACGCTGATACCGCAATGGGATGCTTTGAGTTTTTAAGGGTCGTTTTGTTCACTTTATATATAAATACATACAACATGTATAGCGTCCGTGGTACAATAACGGTGAACTCTAACCAAACTTGATCACCAAAAGAAATTCGGTAATCAGGTCACTGTGTGTTAAAAGTCATTCTTTTTGCAGGATATCCATGTTGACGGAGATGCCGTTTGACCTTCTCGAAGAAAGTGAATCGTTTCAGGTTTGATTAAATTATTACTACAAAGTTGGTAATACAATAGGAATAAATACAAGGGAATTCTTTTTCGCATACAAGGATTCTAGTAACCATGGTTACGATGGGACACGCGAGAAGACCATATACGACTCGTAAACTGCTGAATTCTTTAATCGCGAGCAATATTTACATATCATGCAATATAATCCTTGATCATTTAGTTGATTAGTTTATTGTACATGCCATTTAGTATTGGTTGTTGTTTGTTGTTTAACGCCGCACCCAAGTCAGCGAGCTTAACCCCCCGATCCCGTGGGTTAGCCGCCTTATCTACATCTTCCCGAGGCAAGAGAGTTAACTGACTATAAAAGTCCAGTTTCCACCCTTGCCGAACTAGGCTTGTGTTATGGAGTTACATTTTGGCTGGACTAACGAGTCTATGCACAGTCCAATCAAAATCGCGCATCGAAATCGAAATCCGGTTCGCAGATTTCGGTCCAATGCAGGATTTGCAAAACGGGTGTCCGCCAACTCGTTGTCAGCAGATATTTGCCAAATCTTTTCATGTTTTTAATCAAGGTGCTCACGTGATTTGATGCATTTCGCGATGTAAGACCCGTTTTATCACAATATAGATCTTGATTATCGATCAGATCGTCCTGACTGGGCGCCACCATTTTGTGTGAAGCAAACGCAAGTGATACGAGAGGTGGAATCTGATTGGTCCATAGGGGAGGCTTAGAAGGGACATAACTGGCGATAGCCACTGGTGGCGCTACGATCGAGCCCAGTAATTCCAGCCTGGTTCGGCAAGGGTGGAAACTGGACTTTTAAAGTCAGTTAACTCACTTGCCTCGGGAAGATGCCTCATCTACAAAGGGGCGGGTCTCTTATTGTTGTGGGAATGTTCTTATTTCTTCATGAGAATATTTCACATTTCCTCGGTAAAACATTATTTTGTATGCTTGCTAGTATCTTCCCGGAGCAAGGGAGTTAACTGAGTATAATACAAGTCCAATTTCCACCCTGGTCGAACGAGGCTTGAATTTTCGTGGCACGCTCGTAGCGCTACCAGGGGTTATAACGAGTTATGTCTCGTCCGTATGATTGTCCCTCCTATATCACGTGCATTTAATTTGAACAATACACTTGCTTTGCAAATCCCGCAATCGACCGCAACCTGCTCGAGTGTCGCCATGTTTTTTACGAACCGATTTTGACAGGACTATGCATGGACTCGTTAGCCCAGGCAAAATATAAGTCAGAAACTCCAGCCTAGTACGGCATGGGTGGAAACGTGTTTGTGGTGGTGTTATTGTTTTTAAGGGCGACGTGGGCCTACAGAAGACCTATTGCCAGGCAGGGTAACAACAAGTACCATCTTTAAACGTCTTTTGGTTTGACGCGGCAGGGGATCGAACCCCGGACCTTTTCTCCGGGCGTCTCTCCGGGCGGACGCTCTACTAGACCACGGAGACGGTCTCTTAACTTAAAAAGAATCACAAAGTGTTATATTGCAAAACCAACACAAAATCGTTTAGATGACATAAAGGAAACCTCAGCATAAATAAATATTATTCATTTGGATACAATAATATCTCGAGGATGGAAATTAATAATGAGGAAAAACAGACAGAAGAACTACCTCAAATTTTAAAATGAATTAAAATCACAGTACTAAATCTGTTTTGGCCGAAACTGGACTTTTATGTTTAGTTAACTCCCTTGCTCCGAGAAGACGACTTGGCGATAAACTGAAACTACAAAAGGCATCGTGTTACAACTTCCTCCTTGATTTTAGTTCGGTATGTATCCCACCGGAGGGCATTACCATTCTCACTACGACAGCTCGGACGGGCAACCCGAGGACCTCGAGAAGAAACCATGTTGTCATCAAATACACCTTCCACATACACCAAACCGTTGTGTACTCTGCAGGTGAGATGTGTGTGTGTGTAGTCTGCAGGTGAGATATGGATATGTGTACTCTGCAGGTGAGATGAGGGTGTGTGTAGACTGCAGGTGAGATGTGGGTGTGTGTAGTCTGCAGATGAGTTGTGTACGTGTGTGTGTGCTCTGCAGGTGAGATGTGGGTGTGTGTGCTCTGCAGGTGAGATGTGGGTATGTGTAGTCTGCAGGTGAGATGTGGGTGTGTGTAGTCTGCAGGTGAGATGTGGGTGTGTGTAGTCTGCAGGTGAGATGTGGGTGTGTGTAGTCTGCAGGTGAAATGTACGTGTGTGTAGTCTGTAGGTGAGATGTGGGTGTGTGTGGTCTGCAGGTGAGATGTGGGTGTGTGTGGTCTGCAGGTGAGATGTGGGTATGTGTGCTCTGCAGGTGAGATGTGGGTGTGTGTAGTCTGCAGGTGAGATGTGGGTGTGTGTGGTCTGCAGGTGAGAAGTGGGTATGTGTGCTCTGCAGGTGAGATGTGGGTGTGTGTAGTCTGCAGGTGAGATGTAGGTGTGTGTGGTCTGCAGGTGAGATGTGGGTGTGTGTACTCTGCAGGTGACATGTGGGTGTGTGTAGACTGCAGGTGAGATGTGGGTGTGTGTAGACTGCAGGTGAGATGTGGGTGTGTGTAGTCGGCAGGTGACATGTTGCTGTGTGTAGACTGCAGGTGAGATGTGGGTGTGTGTACTCTGCAGGTGAGATGTAGGTATGTGTAGACTGCAGGTGAGATGTGGGTGTGCGTAGTCTGCAGGTGAGATGTGGGTGTGTGTAGTCTGCAGGTGAGATATGGATATGTGTACTCTGCAGGTGAGATGAGGGTGTGTGTAGACTGCAGGTGAGATGTGGGTGTGTGTAGTCTGCAGGTGAGATGTACGTGTGTGTAGTCTGTAGGTGAGATGTGGGTGTGTGTGGTCTGCAGGTGAGATGTGTGTGTGTGTAGTCTGCAGGTGAGATGTGGGTGTGTGTAGTCTGCAGGTGAGATGTGGGTGTGTTTAGTCTGCAGGTGAGATGTGGGTGTGTGTGGTCTGCAGGTGAGATGTGTGTGTGTGTGTAGTCTGCAGGTGAGATGTGGGTGTGCGTAGTCTACAGGTGAGATGTGGGTGTGTGTAGTCTGCAGGCGAGATGTGGGTATGTGTAGTCTGCAGGTGAGATGTAGGTGTGTGTAGTCTGCAGGTGTGATGTACGTGTGTGTAGTCTGCAGGTGAGATGTGGGTATGGGTGTTCTGCAGGTGTGATGTACGTGTGTGTAGTCTGCAGGTGAGATGTGGGTGTGCGTAGTCTACAGGTGAGATGTGCGTGTGTGTAGTCTGCAGGTGAGATGTGGCTATGTGTAGTCTGCAGATGTGATGTACGTGTGTGTAGTCTGCAGGTGAGATGTGGGTGTGTGTAGTCTGCAGGTGAGATGTGTGTGTGTGTGTGTGGTCTGCAGGTGAGATGTGTGTGTGTGGTCTGCAGGTGAGATGTGTGTGTTTGTGGTCTGCAGGTGAGATGTGGGTGTGTGTAGTCTGCAGGTGAGATGTTCGTGTGTGTGGTCTGCAGGTGAGATGTGGGTGTGTGTAGTCTGCAGGTGAGATGTGCGTGTGTGTGGTCTGCAGGTGAGATGTGGGTGTGTGTAGTCTGCAGGTGAGATGTTCGTGTGTGTGGTCTGCAGGTGAGATGTGGGTGTGTGTAGTCTGCAGGTGAGATGTGCGTGTGTGTGGTCTGCAGGTGAGATGTGGGTGTGTGTAGTCTGCAGGTGAGATGTGGGTGTGTGTAGTCTGCAGGTGAGATGTGGGTGGGTGTAGTCTGCAGGTGAGATGTGCGTGTGTGTGGTCTGCAGGTGAGATGTGGGTGTGTGTAGTCTGCAGGTGAGATGTGTGTGTGTAGTCTGCAGCTGAGATGTGCGTGTGTGTGGTCTGCAGGTGAAATGTGGGTGTGTGTAGTCTGCAGGTGAGATGTGCGTGTGTGTGGTCTGCAGGTGAGATGTGGGTGTGTGTAGTCTGCAGGTGAGATGTGTGTGTGGTCTGCAGGTGAGATGTACGTGTGTGTAGTCTGCAGGTGAGATGTGGGTGTATGTGTACTCTGCAGAGGAGATGTGCGTGTGTGTAGTCTGCAGGTGTTTACGGTGGTTCCTGTACTGTGTATTAGTAGCATGCGGATGTGTAGTGTGCACGTGCGTAGTCTGTAGGTGGGTAATGTGTACGTGCGTAGTCTGTTGATGGGTAGTGTGTACGTGCGTAGTCTGTGGGTGGGTAGTGTGTACGTGCGTAGTTTGTGGGTGGGTAATGTGTACGTGCGTAGTCTGTGGGTGGGTAGTGTGTACGAGCCTAGGCTGTAGGTGGGTAGTGTGTACGTGCGTAGTCTGTAGGTGGGTAGTGTGTACGAGCGTAGTAAGTAGGTGGGTAGTGTGTACGAGCGTAGTAAGTAGGTGGGTAGTGTGTACGTGCGTAGTCTGTAGGTGGGTAGTGTGTACGTGCGTAGTCTGTAGGTGGGTAGTGTGTACGAGCGTAGTCTGTAGGTGGGTAGTGTGTACGTGCGTAGTCTGTAGGTGGGTAGTGTGTACGTGCTTAGTCTGTGGGTGGGTAGTGTGTACGAGCGTAGTCTGTAGGTGGGTAGTGTGTACGTGCGTAGTCTGTAGGTGGGTAGTGTGTACGTGCGTAGTCTGTAGGTGGGTAGTGTGTACGAGCGTAGTAAGTAGGTGGGCAGTGTGTACGAGCGTAGTAAGTAGGTGGGTAGTGTGTACGTGCGTAGTCTGTAGGTGGGTAGTGTGTACGTGCGTAGTCTGTAGGTGGGTAGTGTGTACGAGCGTAGTAAGTAGGTGGGTAGTGTGTACGAGCGTAGTAAGTAGGTGGGTAGTGTGTACGTGCGTAGTCTGTAGGTGGGTAGTGTGTACGAGCGTAGTAAGTAGGTGGGAAGTGTGTACGAGCGTAGTAAGTAGGTGGGTAATGTGTACGAGCGTAGTCTGTAGGTGGGTAATGTGTACGTGCGTAGTCTGTTGGTGGGTAGTGTGTACGTGCGTAGTCTGTGGGGGGGGTAGTGTGTACGTGCGTAGTTTGTGGGTGGGTAATGTGTACGTGCGTAGTCTGTGGGTTGGTAGTGTGTACGAGCCTAGTCTGTAGGTGGGTAGTGTGTACGTGCGTAGTCTGTAGGTGGGTAGTGTGTACGTGCGTAGTCTGTAGGTGGGTAGTGTGTACGAGCGTAGTAAGTAGGTGGGTAGTGTGTACGAGCGTAGTAAGTAGGTGGGTAGTGTGTACGAGCGTAGTAAGTGGGTGGGTATTGGTACGTGCGTAGTCTGTAGGTGGGTAGTGTGAACGTGCGTAGTCTGTAGGTGGGTAGTGTGAACGTGCGTAGTCTGTAGGTGGGTAGTGTGTACGAGCGTAGTAAGTAGGTGGGTAGTGTGTACGAGCGTAGTAAGTAGGTGGGTAGTGTGTACGAGCGTAGTCTGTAGGTGGGTAGTGTGTACGTGCGTAGTCTGTAGGTGGGTAGTGTGTACGAGCGTAGTAAGTAGGTGGTTAGTGTGTACGTGCGTAATCTGTAGGTGGGTAGTGTGAACGTCCGAGTCTGTAGGTGTGTAGTGTGTACGTGCGTAGTCTGTAGGTGTGTAGTGTGAACGTGCGTAGTCTGTAGGTGTGTAGTGTGTACGAGCGTAGTCTGTAGGTGGGTAGTTTGTACGTGCGTAGTCTGTGGGTGGGTAGTGTGTACGTGCGCAGTCTGTAGGTGGGTAGTGTGTACGTGCGTAGTCTGAAGGTTGGTAGTGTGTACGTGCGTAGTCTGTAGGTGGGTAGTGTGTACGTGCGTAATCTGTAGGTGGTTAGTGTGAACGTGCGTAGTCTGTAGGTGGGTAGTGTGTACGTGCGTAGTCTGTAGGTGGGTAGTGTGTACGTGCGTAGTCTGTAGGTTGGTAGTTTGAACGTGCGTAGTCTGTTGGTGGCTAGTGTGTACGTGCTTAGTCTGTAGGTGGGTAGTGTGTACGTGCGTAGTCTGTGGTTTGGGTAGTATGTACGGTGTTGATATATGTCATGTTGCTGATATATATGACGGTATTGATGTTTATGACATTATTGATGTATACGCCGGTGTTGATATATAGGACGGTATTTATATATAGGACGGCATATGTTTTTGACGTTATTGATGTATATGATAGTATTGATGTATATGACGGTATTGATACACACGACGTACTGATGTCTATGACGGTGTCTTACTAATCTGTTGTATACAAACAACAGGTATATAACGGTGCTGATGTACTTAAATGACGTCGTGAAGGGCGGGGAGACAGCGTTCCCGTTAGCAGACCAGCTCGGCCAGTCACTATTGGTATGTACAATGCTTTTCCCAAGTCAGTGAGTGAGTGACACATCATATTTCAATATTGCTGTCAATTTTTTAATCCTTGTAAATTGTATATAAGGTAATCGAACATGTTCTTTATGAAGAGTAAGAGAGTGAGTATGGTTTTACGCCGCTTTTAGCAATATTCCAGCACTACCACGGCGGGGGACACCAGAAATGGGCTTCACACATTGTACGCATGTCGGGAATCGAACCCGGATCTTCGGCGTGACGAGCGAACGCTTCATCCACTAGGCTATGCGACCGCCCTCTTTAGGAAGAAGACGCATCGTTGAAACAACCAGTTGTGATTTGTGGATACATCAGCTCCCTGAGTGTCTTATTGGCACCGTGTCTGTCTTGTTTGTGCACCTCATGTTTGTGCACTTCTTTTGAACCACGAGGGTATCTACAAGACATCTCGCTATGTTTCCTGTTGGTCATGTGTGAGTCATGTTTGTACATGTAACACCTGGCATCATCACTATTTGATAATGATTCAATATTTGATAATGATTCACTATTTGATAAGGGGCGGTCGGGTAGCCTAGTGGTTATAGCGTTAGCTCGTCACGCCGAGGACCCGGGTTCGATTCCCGACATGGGTACAATGTGTGAAGCCCATTTCTGGTGTCTCCCGCCGTGATATTGCTGAAAAATTGCTAAAAGCGGCGTAAAAACATACTCACTAACTCACTATTTGCTAATGATTCACTATTTGCTAATGATTCACTATTTGCTAATGATTCACTATTTGCTAATGATTCACTATTTGATATGATATAGTCGGGGTCGTACGGTGGACTCTTGATTTCTTATGATTATGGAAATGTTTTTTTGTACAACGAGGGTATCTATAAGAAATCTCTCTCGTCAGTAACGTCCATCTTATGTTTTGCATGTGTGTTGTGTAATGAGCGTACCACTACATCATCAGGAGGAACACATTGATCTCAGCGCTTATTGCCAACAGTCGTCGGTCGTGGTGCGGCCGGAGAAGGGGAAGGCGATCATGTGGTACAACAACATCCGGGACCCTGAGGTAGGGGGTAGTTCACTGGGACCTGTAAAATAACAGTCTGTCCCTGTCAATCAGCTGCTGACAGAATGAGCAAAGATCCACGCCATCGACACGACGACATTCAATTTAAGCCAGGTTTCAACTGTGTCATCGTCGTCATTAGGTGGCACAGGTGACCTCGTGTCCAAGTATTTGGTGAGGTGAGGTGAGGTGAAATGGGGTTTTACGTCGCGTCCAAGATTATTTGACTTATATAGTGACGTGCATGTACGTGTGTGTGTGTGTGGCTGCTTGTACTAGTCCGGACTGATGCCGATTTATAGTGCTAGCTCACTGAGATACCATGCCGCAGTTTAACATGAATACCCCACTCAGACACAGTATACTGACTCCGAGCCGACCAGTCCTTGTTTTAGCCCCTTAATGCTGAGCGCCAGACAGGGTAACAAGAAGTACCAGCTATTGTCTATTGGTATGACGCGGTCGGGGATCGAACCCCGGACCTTCCGCTCTCCGGGCGGACGCTCTACCACTAGACCACGGAGGCGGTCTCCAAGTATTTGGTATTTAAAACTATGAGCACTTTTTTAAAAAGAATAGTACATTGCAACAATGTAATTTTGGTGGCAAGTAATGGAATGGGGATAAAGCCCCCCTTCTCAGAATGTCAATAATCGAGTCTGTCAAATTAGAAAGTCCCTCGCCGTCGACACGATCACACACAATACACCCTGCGTCATCGTCACACAATCAGCTTTCATCAGTGGCTGTAGTTCGAGGGAAGAGATGACAAGAACAGCATGCATCGTTAGAATAGATTACACTTCTACAACATGGATTTCATTCTATATTTTCAGACGGGATGGATCGGCCCGGTCGATCGGTATGCTCTCCATGGCGGATGTGACGTCATAGAGGGGCAAAAGTGGATCTCGAATGTCTGGATCAGTGCTCCACAGCACAACCGGAAATATGACAACAGTGTATATGCTGTACGATGGACATGATAATCCCACCCAAGTTGACATTGTAAGACTACTTCTCAGAGATCTGTCAAGCGAAATGTTGTCTCTCTCAATCTCTTTGAACCAGTTCAGGTCGAAGCAAGTTGATAATGTGTTTATCTTTATACAACCTTAACAAAAACTATTGATCACGGCGCCTAAGACGAATGTAGTGTGTATAAACTAGGGAAATACTAACGAGGTTCTGGGTACGGGAATGGGGCAATTATGCAACAATTCAACTCGAGGTAATATCTCTCAAGAGTTGGAGCCAGATTCAATGCATTATTATTAAATGCTGTTGTCCAAAGCTCTATAACAGCTGTGGTGCCTGGTGTTTCTCCAACAGACTCGTTCGAACTGCAAGGATCAAACAACAGGTACCAGCTGGCTTATTAAATCGTCTTTATTAAATGTACAAACCATAATTTGTTGGAAAATGTTTTTACCAATGGCCTCATTGTACATTTTTATGATGTCGATACCTGGTGGTTAATAATTCGATTAGTAACGTGTTTTTAGTGTGGGTAATTCCACTTTCAATGACTCCCAATATGGTTTTTTAAATATTTATAGAGGAAGTAATAAGTAGAAAATGGAAAAAAACCATATCAATAAAAGTATTAAAAATCAGAATGCCATATAATATGAAGTTAATTCTAGATTTTGATCAGCTGGCGTTCCTGCATATTGATCGAATCCTTTCATTAAACGATATCTCATGGGATCCACACACTTCACAATAATTAGATTCCAAAGTGTTGCAATATCCCGATGTTGTGGCTCATCTAACACGCACCTGTTGTTCCCTGGAGCTGATCAGGCCCCACAACTGTCTCGCCTCAACACAATCCGTTTTAACTGTCCAAATTAGACCTCCCGTATTCGACGTAATAAGCGCCCAGGGCGCTCTAAAAATTAGAAATAGGGGGCTCTTATTAGAATATTATTTTGGTGGAAAAAAACAGAGTTGAAAGATAAATTTCGTGGTTTATGGTGACAGACTGAAATGTTTATGTACGACAGATATATTTTCCCAGAATTTAATTGCCCATAATTAAGGGTGCATATAACACAAGAGTGTGTATTATACGCGAATATATAAGTCTTGTGTACATTGATCAATCGGAAGGGGTGCTTATTGGAAGGGGTTCACCAGCCAATATATCAGCAAATATCGCCGTGGGCGCTTATTACGTCGAATACGGTCATATCTTTTGACTGGTCTGACGATGTGTATCAAACGTACCTTCAGTGATCACATATTCCAACTATGTGACGGCGGTCTGTAAATAATCGAGTCTGGACCAAACAAGTGATTGACATCATGAGCATCGATCCACGCAATTGGGACACGATGACATGCTTCCTCCAAGTCATCGAGCCTGACCACCCGATCTCGTTGGTCGCCTCTTACGAAAAGCATCGGTTACTGAAGACCTATTGTGACCTGTGTCGAATGGGCCCCAGAGAATATCCTGAATAGACTTCTTGTGTTTTCTGGAATACTGCAGAACAGCAAAATGTCGCTGGTAAGGGGCGGGCATGTCGTTGCTGTCTTGCTGCTCTTGGTGCTAGCCTGTGGAATCGGGCAAGAGCATCACTTGGGCTTTTGTCACAAAACGTGGTGACCAGAGATATCGTTACATATCTATCTTCAGAGGTTCAGAAGATGACAAATTCCCCCGCCCCACACATATTCGAAAGAACAAATCATCCGACTGTCCCTGTAAGTCCAACTTGATGAGAGAATCTATCTAATCTGTTTGTCCGTATACAAGAATATATTGACCAATCAAAACTATACCATTAAATTGGGATTCGGAACTTTGTATTACTATGTCAAGTATTGAGTCAAAATCAAACTTATTGATAAAACTGAAAGCAAATGCAATCTGAAGTTTACTGAGAAAACGATATATGTGAAATTCTTCCTCATTGATAACGTCTATGCACAATTTGGGGATAAGAAATTGGGGGAAGTAGTAAGCATCCCCACGGGCACCAACTGTGCCCCCCTTCTTGCTGATCTGTTTCTTAGCGTCTGAATCGGAATTGCTCGGATTGGCAAACAAGGTAATTTGGCCAAGAAGTTTAACTTACGCTTCGGGTATATTGATGATCAGATATTGTTCAATACCAATCAAATAGCCAATTCCCTTCCACTGATTTACCCACCTGAACTAGAAATAAAGGAGACCAGTGAGACCGCCTCATCTGTTTCATATTTAGATCTATGCATAAAGATTCAGAGTGACAAAACACTCTCCACAAGGCTGTGTGACAAGAGGGATGACTCCAACTTTCCAAAAGTCAACTTTCATTTGACCTTGACCCTTGGTGTCTACATTTCACAACCTTTTAGCTATAATCGAACATGTTCTTTAAATGCCTAAGGGGCGACCAACGAGATCGGCTGGTCAGGCTCGCTGACTTGGTTGAGTTCGGCCTTAAACAACAAACACACAAACAAAAACAATGTTACACTTTCTAGTACACACTGGTCAAGGCTCGATTATTGCAGACCCTCTTTAATACTAATACACGATCAATACATCTTTTAATTCATATAATTAGCAGTTTAACCAAGCATGCTGTTTTTTAGCCAAATATCGATTTATGTTAGTTTTAGTTTGTCCAAATAGTGTGTCATGCTATCAATCACCACGTGACTGGCCGAGATTTTAATATGTACGGGCTTCTGTGACTAGCGGGAATTTTGCTGATCGAAACGTAAAATTATTTACAATATAAAGATTTACAAGAGAATAACCAGTCTCGATTATCCGACGAGACAGATTCCATTAGAGTGAGTATGGTTTTCGCCGCTTTTAGCAATATTCCAGCAATATCACGGCGGGGGACACCAGAAATGGGCTTCACACATTGTATCCATGTCGGGAATCGAACCCGGGTCTTCGGCGTGACGAGCGAACGCTTTAACCACTAGGCTACCCGACTGCCCCGATTCCATTAGATGTAAGGGGCAAATCACTTACACGAAAATAACATTGACTTACGTACTTTTAATATGTTAGATAATTGTAGCCTATTTTTGGTAAAGAGTCGGAGAATTGAGTTCTCAAACAACAAACGCATATTTATTTGGAACTATTCTGTTAATGAAATGTTTTCTTATAGTTGTTTGTGGTTTGTTGAAAGAAGACATCCATCCCTGACGTCATGTCCATCTGTCAGTGTAGAAGCTGTTGCCGAACTTCCTGTTGAACTGCGGAGCGCTGATCCAAGAATTAAATATCCATTTTTCTCCTTTGATGACGTCACATCCGCCATGGAGGGAAAACTTGTCGGCGATGCCGAGCCAACCAGTCTGGAAGGAAGCAAAGGGCTTTTAATTTTCTGTACGGTACCTGCACACGAGAAACACATAAGCATTCAGCTGCTAACCGCCTGTTCAGTAACTATACGCCAGGACACGATAAACACGTCAGAGATCGACATGCAACGTTCGAAGATCAGGGAGTATTTTAACACTATTTCGAGACATACAAAAAAAAATTCTCCGAAACCGGAGCCGAAAAAGTTCATTTAATTTCAGACGATCCAGCGAATTTTTGAGCCCGATGTTTTTCCCAGCTTTTTCTGGAACATAGATCTACCATTCTCGTCAAACAAAATCCCAGCTGTGTAGAAACGAACCCAGACTGATTCTTATGACAATACCGATAGCGTATAGCAGTGATAAACAACATATTGGGCTATACATGTAAAATTGTTCGGGGTTTTATCCCATCCCAAATAGAATACCTCTAAAAAATCCAGAGCTTCAAATTCGGAACAAGGGAACACATTCCCTATAACACTTTAAGTGGATGCCGTTCCCTTCTCCCCCCTACCTCAGGGTCCCGGATGTTGTTGTACCACATGACTGCCTTCCCCTTCTTCGGCCGCACCAACAACGCCGACTTTTGGCAATATCGACTCAGATCAATATCCTCTTCCTGAAGTGGAGAAAAGAAGGGTGTGTGATTCTGGTCACCGCTCTGGTAGTGAGTGAGTGAGTGAGTGAGTTGGGTTTAACGCCGCTTTTAACATTATTACAGTTATATCACGGCGTGTCAGCTTAATGTGGGAGGAAAACCCAAAGTGATGCAGGTCTCGGACGTTAACCACTTCGGTGAAACCCACGAGGACGGGTATGGTGCTGACAAACCTAGAAACATAATCGAGGCGAACCGGGATTCGAACCCACAATCATAGGTTTCTGGCGTGCCCAAGGGAAGCAACTCTGTACAGCGAATCGCGGCGCCTTAGACGACTGGGCCACCGCTCTGGTAGTGAGATCAACAGAGGGAGGAGACTCAGAGAAACTATTTCTAGCAAGATTGGTTCAAGCCGTTTCGGCACCAATTTGTTTGCCTACTGTCATATTTTATTATGTATATCAATTTAACAGTAAAGTATTATACATGTACTAATTACACTGATACAATGTCACGTATTACATATTACATCCTCGATGATCCAGTGTGTATTGTAACTCAACTCAATACCATTGGAGCTTCTGAGTACGATCTAAATGACTTGACGCTACAATTGGCCATCCTATCAAAATTACAATCTGGGTTGAGATATACCCAGTACAAAGTTAGCGATAGGATAGAGGGAGATGATGACGTCATTTCCGGTACCACCTTCATTGGCTAATTGGTCCAGGGCATGTAAATAGCGCTTATTACAACGTCTTGACCAGGACCCCGTTCCTCCACGCGATCTTAGCGCTACGATGATGGTAAGCCTAAGTTAAAGTATGGGACTTTCGATCACCTTAGCGCTAAGATCTCTTTGAGGGGACCGCCTCCGTGGTCTAGTGGTAGAGCGTCAGCCCGGAGTTCGATGCCCGGCCGCGTCATACATAAGACGTTAACAGATGGTACTTTTTGTTACCCTGCCTGGCGCTCGGCATTGAGGGGCTAAAACAAGGACTGGTCGGCTCGGAGTCAGCATACTGTGTCTGGTAAACTGCGGCATGGTATCTCAGTGGGCTAGCACTATAAATCGGCATCAGTTCGGTCTAGTACACACACACACACACACACACACACACACACACACACACGTACACGTGCATGCACGTCGCTACAAAGGTGCAATAATCTTGGACGCGACGTTAAACCCCATTTCACCTCACCTCATCTCACCTCACCTCACCTCACCTCTATGAGGAATGGGGCCCTGGGCAGGAAATGGGTGTCAGCGAATGGACCACAAAGGCGGATCCGCCATTTTGAAAAGGGAGGGGTCCAATATATCAACATCACACACCTATCGCCTACGGACCATTGTCTCCTCTTAATAACTGTCATGTACAGCGATCCCTATTCATGACGTTTAACAGTCTGGTGTTTGGGAAACAAAGCCCTCAAACTCACCTTGAGTTCTGTGGTTGAACGGTCGGCTAAAGGAAACGCTGTCTCCCCTCCCTTCTCGACATCATTCAGGTACACCATCACTGTTATATACCTGTTGACGAGCGAGAGATTGAGTGAATATTGTTTTACGCCGCTTTTAGCAATCTTCCAGCAATACCATTGCGGAGCCATCAGAAAAGGCCTCGAACATTGCGCCCATGTCGGAAATCGAACGCCAGCCTATCCCACCACCCAAACCTATTGACGAAACGGAGAGAGCAACATTACACATTTGAACAGACACTTATTTAATTCAAATGAGCAAAAATTCAACGATTTCATTAAGTTCCTTGAATAGTTTCAATTTATTTCTTAATGATTTTTTTGCATTGATAATGACATATTACTTCTCTTCCAAAACATTTGTTTGTAAAAATAGTATACTAAATTGTTTATTCAAATGGTGTGTAACAGCTTTAAAAAATATTGATGTTATAGTACAGTCGAGGGAGACAGCAGTTCCTTGTGACACTGGTTACTGTGTGTATCAGTGTAAGGTATATCACACGTAGGTAAGGTATATGGTGTAGGTATATCACACGTTGGACGCCAATGTGTATCACATTATAAGACTTAGAATTATTAAATTCAAACAGTCAATACCAGGGAATAACCAGTCTCGATTATCTGAAACCATAAGGCGTAAAAAGGCAAAATAGCTATGAAAATTATATGAATGGATCACTGGAAATCAGTGATGACACCAGGTGTTCGGGAAAAGGGTGAACACACCCTGGCCAAGCGGCAGTATCCACCATTCACACAACTTGCACAAATCGTAAGTGATCTTTGTTGCCCAACGTCAACCAGAAACAGAAGAACGCCGTGATACTAAATCTGGACCAGACAATCCAGTGACACAGCATGCCAACTTTGAACCACCCATGTAACTAGCAGAGCAGATGAAAATATCACTTACCTTGACATTTTTTTTCACGTTAGTTAATTTACGGATCCAAATTTCATGCCAAGCTTTATTACCTTTTTCTACACAAGCTTTATTACCTATTTCTACACAGGCTTTGTTACCTATTTCTACACAAGCTTTATTACCTATTTCTACACAAGCTTTATTACCTTTTTCAACACAAGGTTTATTACTTATTTCTACACAAGCTTTATTACCTTTTTCTACACAAGCTTTATTACCTTTTTCTACAGAAGCTTTATTACCTATTTCTACACAAGCTTTATTACCTATTTCTACACAAGCTTTATTACCTTTTTCTACACAAGCTTTATTACCTATTTCTACACATGCTTTATTACCTATTTCTACACAAGCTTTATTACCTTTTTCTACAAAGCTTTATTACCTATTTCAACACAAGGTTTATTACCTATTTCTACACAAGCTTTATTACCTTTTTCTACACACGCTTTATTACCTATTTCTAAACAAGCTTTATAACCTTTTTCTACACAAGCTTTATTACCTATTTCTACACAAGCTGTATTACCTATTTCTACACAAGCTTTATTACCTTTTTCTACACAAGCTTTATTACCTTTTTCTAAACAAGCTTTATTACCTATTTCTACACAAGCTTTATTACCTATTTCTACACAAGCTTTATTACCTATTTCTACACAAGCTTTATTACCTATTTCTACACAAGCATTATTACCTTTTTCTACACAAGCTTTATTACCTATTTCTACACAAGCATTATTACCTCTTTCTACACAAGCTTTATTACCTATTTCTACACAAGCATAATTACCTTTTTCTACACAGGCTTTATTACCTATTTCTACACAAGCTTTATTACCTATTTCTACACAAGCTTTATTACCTATTTCTACACAAGCATTATTACCTTTTTCTACACAGGCTTTATTACCTATTTCTACACAAGCATTATTACCTTTTTCTACACAAGCTTTATTACCTATTTCTACACAAGCATTATTACCTTTTTCTACACAAGCTTTATTACCTATTTCTACACAAGCATTATTACCTTTTTCTACACAAGCTTTATTACCTATTTCTACACAAGCATTATTACCTTTTTCTACACAGGCTTTATTACCTATTTCTACACAAGCTTTATTTCCTATTTCTACACAAGCTTTATTACCTATTTCTACACAAGCATTATTACCTTTTTCTACACAGGCTTTATTACCTATTTCTACACAAGCATTATTACCTTTTTCTACACAAGCTTTATTACCTATTTCTACACAAGCATTATTACCTTTTTCTACACAGGCTTTATTACCTATTTCTACACAAGCTTTATTACCTATTTCTACACCGCCGCTGCACTTCGCATATAGAAGTTAATCACCCATACCATCTTGCCATCAGGGACATGAATATATTGGTGGGTTACACTAGAAACAGTGATTTAAACATAACTTGTTATTACAATAATGATTATTTATCTCTGAAGACGATAATTTATCAATAATGAGTTCAAGGGCTTGGTGATCTTGGAATGATGTTTTCTAAACGCTTCTTTATGACTGTAAATGATATATGACCATAGAGGTGTAAGATGCTAATTCACCATGACGTAAGGAAATAGATCCAATTGTATTTCTTCAATGATATAAAACAACAAAATGCTTCATTCAAATTCGGTATGGCGTGTGATGCTTATTCAAATACATGTTCGATTGTAACTTCTAGGTTTGTACAGTTGATAAGATCCAAGTCGGTAGGGAGCGCCATTCGTTTTGAATTTCACATTTGTGTAAAAGTTCAGTCTGCTAAGATGAATTAACCGTTTTAGATTTCGCATTGATTAAACTGTTTATGATGGAATCGTATTAGTGCCACATTCTAAATTAAATATCTACGTAGATGATACTTACATCTGAAACACACCAACATGACATGCACGTGCAGCATCACTTGTTGGGCTATAAAAACATTGGGTTTTCATTTGCATGCCATCAAAATCTTACAGCAAGTGAACAGCGAAAACATGCAAAGACTGACGGAAGCCCAACGCAAGAACACCATCGGCAGACTGCAAACAAGAGAATAATCTTAACCTGTAGCCAGGTTTTTCGACGTAGCACCAAGCAGCGTTACAAGACTGTGGACACATGGGACAATACGTGACCTTCCCAGATCCGGTCGACCACGTTTCACTACTAGAGCACAGTACAGAGTCATACGGCTACGTCACTTAAGTCAAAAAGCCTCCACGGCCACCTCTACAACTACGGCAATATCAGGATACCGTAGGATAAAAGCCCAGACAGTGAGGAACCGTTTCGCGCTAGAAGACCAGTTCGAGTTGTCATTTTGACGGACCTGCCTCGTCGGCTGCGACGTCAATGGTGTCAAGGTCACAGAGTATGACCACAACTGCGATGGAGACAAGTTTTGGTGTAATGACGAGTCACGTGTGGGTGGTAGACGTCGTCGTTACAGGCAAACAGGGAACGCGAAACGAAACTGCACACCGAAAGTGGACAGATTTGCTGGTGGTAGTGTGTTGATGTGCGCAGCCATATCCTGCACTGGTACAAAAGACTTGGTGCAAGTTCAAGGGCATTTAACGGCCCAACGTTACATGGATGATATTCTTCGGCCACACGTCCTTCCCATTATGCAACAAGCGAACGTCATTTTCCAACAAGACAACGCCCGACCTCACACGGCAAGAATCACAACATCCAGGTCCTGCCGTGGCCCTCAAGGTCTCCAGATTTAAACCCAATCAAACATTTATTGGATGCACTGGATCAACGACTGCGACCACGTCAGCAACAACCACAGAACCTCCGACAGTTGGCACAAGCACTGCCGGGTGAACATTCCCCAGGCAACAATTCGGGATCTCACTGCTTCCATGGAACGACGATGCAAGTAAGTATTGGACTCAAATGGTGGCCACACAAGATATGGAGAACACATGACCTTACATTTGAAAATCGACTGTTCCATGTGAAAGTATACACTTGAAAATCCCGATTTAACTCGAAATATTGTTCGAATAACTATTTCTTGTTTGTTTCATTATTAACCACCGTCACAACATGGGTGTACAAATTCCTTTACCAGGCATTTTATATCAGTCAGGCAAAGGCACGTATCGAGTAGATATAATCGTAAGGGTGTATGAGAATATTGTATTTGAGTGAGTGAGTGAGTTGGGTTTAACGCCGCTTTTAACAGTATTCCAGTTATATCACAGCGTCAGTTTAATGTGGGAGGAAAGCCCGAAGTGATGCAGGTCTCAGGCGTTTACCACTTTGGTGAAACTTATGAGCACGGGTATGGTGCTCACAAACCTCGAAACATAATTTGAGGTAGCGGGATTCGAATCCACAATCATACGTTTCTGGCGTACAAGTTCAAGTAACGCAACCCTGCACATATTCACTCACTCTCTGTACTACATATTATGATAAGAGGTTTGAACCCATTACCTACACATGATGCAGGAGGTTTCGGTGTATGGAGGGCTTGACTGATAGCAGCAAGGTTTCTGCATCAGCGTTTCCCGCGAGGATAATGAACTGTCGTAGTGAGAGTGGTAATGGCCGCCAACACCATATCTACCAAACTGAAACAAAGAATGGGGGCGTGAATCAACAAATGTAAGCGATATAAGGTCGTGAAACGTTAGAAACACGTGTCTCATTATCATGTTAATCATTTAATTTTCCCTACTCACAACTGCATTTGTTGTGATCGTAATTAGCAGCAAATGACTGAACCGTCGTAAAACATTGAGGCTCAGATTGTAACAGGAAGTGTGTTCAGAGTTACCTCCCTTGGTTGTTAACACACAGTCAAACTTGAGAGTTGGAGAAGTTTCGTGATTTGATTTGACGCGAAGGTAATTCGAGGCATTTTACGACCAGACTGGCGCTAAGAACGGATTGGATTCTCGACTGAAGACACCGATTTTCTGCTATTTGGGATTCAAGAACGGGGCGCGGCATCTTTCAAGACACTGGACAGTCTAGACATTCGTGAGTGCAATGACATATATCACAGGGTATATATGTTACCTTAATAGGTCAATTTGGAAATCACCTCGTATCACATACAGTGTTAAGGAATTTTAGGGCGAGCAAATATATAAATGAATTCTGACTGATTAAAACATCTACTTTCAATATTAGTCGTATGAATGTGATTCGGATTTTACCGCAAGTACTGCATTGTTTAGGTATGTCGGTAGGTCGGAATGCTCTAGGATTGTCTGCATACTATCAAACGGCCTGGTGACATAGTTAATTTAAAATAAGCTTCTCATATAATCCAATCATATCATTTACATCATTTTTGTTTGTCTTTAACGCCCAATCAAATCTCTATCAGCAAATAGTCGAGGATGATTATTCTCTTTGGTTGAAGTTTTGTTATTCTAATGAGAGTTAACTTCATCTTCGACTATGTAGCCAATGTTATATGTTACCAACCTGATACCATTCGCTTTCTTCAATGAGGTCCAATGGGAGCTCCGTCAATAACGATATTCTGAAAGGCGAGCAGGAATATCGCCACTATTATTAATTCAGTTATTTGGTTACTAAAAGCAGTTATAGAATTGGAAATAATATATATATATATATATATAATATATTTTTATATATAATGGAGTTTAAATCAAGGAAAGTGTTGAAAGTGAGTGCATCATGAACTATCCACGCCATTGAGACGAGATGGTACGAATATCACCCTAGTAACAGGGTATAGTCACTTCCGGTCTAACTACATCACTTCCGGCTTTTGGAAAACACATGACCAATGCAGAACTTTGGTCGTATGCTTCTAGCTGTGTACCTTTAAAACAAAGTAAGAACTTATATCAGGTTGCAGATATGAAAATGACTTGAATATCAGTGTATTTCAAGAACATTCTAAAGGATCGATCCAGCATATCAACCAAATATGATGTCCTGCGGTCGAATTCAACGACATAATAGCGTATGGTACTCAATGTAAGAAGAACGAGTATTTACAGACCGTATTTACAGAAGCCGTCATATAGCGGGAATTTTGCTGAGTGCGGCGTTGAACAACAAACTGTGACCTTCTGATGTTCTATTGTCATCAGTTGTCATTCATTAGTATCCACAACATGCTTATATCAGTATTCATCTTCCCGGGGGCGGTCGGGTAGCCTAGTGGTTAAAGCGTTTGCTCGTCACTCTGAAGACCCGGGTTCGATTCTCGACATGGGTACATTGTGTGAAGCCCATTTCTGGTGTCCCCCGCCGTGATATTGCTGGAATATTGCTAAAAAGCGGCGTAAAACCATACTCACTCACTAACTCACTCACTCATCTTCCCGAGGCAAGGAGTTAATTGACTTTCATTGTCCAGTTTCCACCCTTGCCTAACTAGGCTGGAATTCCTGGGCTCGATCGTAGCGCCGCCAGTGGTTATTACGAGTTATGTCCCTTTTAAGCCTTTCCTATGGACCAATCAGATTCCACATCTCGTGTCACTTGCATTCGTTTCAAACAAAACGGCGGCGCCCAGTCAAGACGATCTTATCGATAATCAAGATCTATATTGTGATAAAACGGGGCTTACATCGTGAAGCGCATCAAATCAAGTGAGGACCTTGATTAGAAACATGAAAAGACTTGGAAATTATCTGTTGACAACGAGTTCGCGCACATGCTTTGCAAATCCTGCAGTCGATCGAAATCTGCACAACAGTTTACTCACCGGATTTCGATTTCGGTGCGCGATTATGATTGGACTATGCATAGACTCGTTAGTCCAGCCAAAATGTAACTCCATAATACCAGCCTAGTTCGGCAAGGGTGGAAACTGGACTTTTATAGTTGGTTAACTCCCTTGCCTCGGGAAGATGATCAGTCTTCAGAAAAGGGGTTTATTGTGAAAACAAAAATACTTCACGAATGACCTTCACATCACGTCGTATATATGTATTTCGTCGGTTAAACAAAAAAACAGGGGCGGTCGGGTAGCCTAGTGGTTAAAGTGTTTGATCGTCACGCCGAAGACCCGGGTTCGATTCCCGACATGTGTACATTGTGTGAAGCCCATTTCTGGTGTCCCCCGCCGTGATATTGCTGGAATATTGCTAAAAAGCGGCGTAAAACCATAGTCACTCACTAACTCACTCACTCATCTTCCCGAGGCAAGGAGTTAATTGACTTTCATTGTCCAGTTTCCACCCTTGCCTAACTAGGCTCTAATTCCTGGGCTCGATCGTAGCGCCGCCAGTGGTTATTACGAGTTATGTCCCTTTTAAGCCTTTCCTATGGACCAATCAGATTCCACATCTCGTGTCACTTGCATTCGTTTCAAACAATACGGCGGCGCCCAGTCAAGACGATCTTATCGATAATCAAGATCTATATTGTGATAAAACGGGTCTTACATCGTGAAGTGCATCAAATCAAGTGAGGACCTTGATTAGAAACATGAAAAGACTTGGAAATTATCTGTTGACAACGAGTTCGCGCACATGCTTTGCAAATCCTGCAGTCGATCGAAATCTGCATAACAGTTTACTCACCGGATTTCGATTTCGGTGCGCGATTATGATTGGACTATGCATAGACTCGTTAGTCCAGCCAAAATGTAACTCCATAATACCAGCCTAGTTCGGCAAGGGTGGAAACTGGACTTTTATAGTTGGTTAACTCCCTTGCCTCGGGAAGATTATCAGTCTTCAGAAAAGGGGTTTATTGTGAAAACAAAAATACTTCACGAATGACCTTCACATCACGTCGTATATATGTATTTCGTCGGTTAAACAAAAAAACAGGGGCGGTCGGGTAGCCTAGTGGTTAAAGTGTTCGATCGTAACGCCGAAGACCCGGGTTCGATTCCCGACATGGGTACAATGTGTGAAGCCCATTTCTGGTGTCCCCCGCCGTGATATTGCTGGAATATTGTTAAAAGCTGCGCAAAACCATACTCACTCACTCACTCACTCACTAAACCAAAAAACAGGGGCGGTCGGGTAGCCTAGTGGTTAAAGTGTTCGATCGTAACGCCGAAGACCCGGGTTCGATTCCCAACATGGGTACAATGTGTGAAGCCCATTTCTGGTGTCCCCCGCCGTGATATTGCTGGAATATTGTTAAAAGCTGCGCAAAACCATACTCACTCACTCACTCACTCACTCACTCACTCACTCACTCACTCACTAAACCAAAAAACAAAGTCATACCTTCGTTGAATGTTGAGTAATAAATTGTCCATGTCCGGTCGGAGGAAGGTGGTCTGTGATATCCGTGTCCGGTCGCCGGTTTGTTTAGTGATGCTCCCTTTCTGACCGATCATCTGAGCGACTGTGAGGCCATTGGCGGTGGCAAGGTCGATCAGTTTGTCAGTCTCGTCTGACGTAAGGAAGTCCGGGATCTCTGAATAAAAGAGTGAGTGAGTGAATGCTATTTACGTCTCATTATGTGTTATTCAAGGTACAGTAGACTACGGTTATATCGAACTCAAAGGGACCACTAATTTTAGTTCGCAATAACCGTAGTTCGTTATAAGCATATATACAACATATATACAACAAATGTCTGGGACTAAGAAATAAGTTCGTTATATCAGTCAGTTCGTTATAAGCGTGTTCGTTATAATGCAATGATCCACGCCTTCGGGATAGAGTCAGTTCGTTCCTCTTTTGTCGGCTCTATTTTCCGCGGAATAGCCACAAGTAAAACATTGATTGGCTGAGGTCAATTTGGTTGCCGAAGCAGTTTAACATTTGTTTTATTGTTTGTTTGTTTGTTTGTTGTTTAGTTCCATATATATGACGGCGGCCTGTAAATAATCGAGTCCGGACCAGGCAATCTGCTCTGACAGGCATCAACCAAGTCAACATCAACCAAAGGATGAGTGAGTGAGTGAGTTGGGTTTCACGCCGCTTTTAACAGTATTCCAGTTATATCGCGGCGTGTCAGCTTAATGTTGGAGGAAAGCTCTAAGTGATGCAGGTCTCAGACATTTACCACTTCGGTGAAACCCACGAGCACGGGTATGGTGATGACAAACCTAGAAACATAATCGGGACGAACCGGGACTCGAACCCACAATCATACATGTAGTTTTCTGGCGTGCCCAAGGGACGCAACTCTGCACAGCGAATCGCGGCGCCTTAGACGACTGGGCCACCCGTGTCCCCCCAAAAGATGAAGTTAGTCGCCTCTTACGTCAAACGTTGGTTCCTGAAGGCAAACTTTTACCCGGAACTTCCATGGGAGCAGATTAAAAGTAGCAGTACGAAAGCAACATCTCTATAAATACCGTGCAGGATATTGGCTAAGTATTAAGAGTTGGAAAAAGGTTGTATGTAAATATCCGAAGGGGTTTGCCGTTTACTCGTTAAACCGTGGGGATTCCGAGTTAGGATAGGTCCCCAGCAAACTATGCTGGTGGAACGACGCGACTTAATGGATCGGACCAGGCTCCATGACCTGGTTTATTGTGTCGTATCCCAAATGCGTAGACCGTTGCTTATGATGTCAATCACTGGATTCAATAAAATTAGGTAAGATAAATTCGTTGTCCAGTTGATGTAGCCTCCATGTTAGTTTATGTCTATGTTCTATGTTCTACATTCTATGTTCTATAAACTAACATACATACATCAACCCGTACTAATCATTCCTGCCATCGCATTCTTACCAAACAAAGGTGGGTTTCTTGCCATAGTGATTCTCCGATGTGATTGACAGGAAGTCAGATTCAATTCTGTGATGTCACCAACCTGGAACATAAAGATGCATTTAATGTATTTCACATGACCTGGCATTTCCTATGATTATAGAAAGGGTTTTGTCGCTTAACAATATGGTTGACATGGTGGCCATATTGAAAATCAATTCATGGACATATGTTTAGAAACTGAAATAAGATTTGGAGATACTTTGCCAGTGTTTCTGTTGACGGCTGTTTGTCAGCAACATACTCCTCGACCCGTGAAGATCCGGGTTAGAATAGGTCTTCAGCAACCCATGCTTCAGCCGCGATTCGCTGTGCAGAGTTGTGTCCCTTGGGCACGCCAGAAACCTATGATTGTGGGTTCGAAACTCCGGTTCGCCCCGATAATGTTTCTAGGTTTGTCAGCGCCATACCCGTGCTCGTGGGTTTCACCGAAGTGGTAAACGTCTGAGACGCCGCGATATAACTGGAATATTGTTAAAAGCGGCGTTAAAACCAACTCACTCACTCACCGTAAGAGGCGACTATGCTTGTCGTAGGAGGCGACTAACGGGATCGGGTGGTCAGGCTCGCTGACTTGGTTGATTCATGTCATCGCATCGCTGTTGCGTGGACCGATGATCGCGATGTCAATCACTGGATTGTCTGGTCCAAACTTGATCATTTACAGACCGCCATCATATAGCTTGAATATTGCTGAGTGCGGCGTTAAACAACAAACAAACCAATATACATCTCACCGGCAAGTAAATATCAATAGCCTAACTAATACCAGTGATGCATTTTTACAATAAACCATCGCATGCTAGGTTATAAATTGTCTCCTCTTTCAGGAAATTTCATCAGCCGCCATTTTACTTCTACCATGTAAAGGTAACACATTTCATGTAAGGATCCATTTCTGTCAGAATGTTGCATGATGGTCCATCCTGTTTATGTATCAGAAGGTTTACTTTGACATTCATACATATATTTGTTATTTATATACGTTTCGTAATTTATATTATTTCGTAATAACCGTAGTTATAAGCATATAAATGCCAATCAATATTCTGGACAAAAAGTATATGCAAAATAATTGAAAGGTCTTAATGTTCCCAAAGTTACAACTACCACGACAACAAATTTCAAATTAATTAAGTCTGTGTCCGCTTACGTTAATTATATCGATTCAAGCACACACACACACACACACACACACACACACACACACAAATATATAGTAGACAATGACATGGTTCAGCTCGGCGGAGGTGTAGTCGAGTGATTAAAGTGTACGCTCGTCACGCCAAAGGCCTGGGTTCGATTCTCCTCATGGGTACTTAGTGTGAAGCAAGCCCATTGCTGTTCCCCTCCGCGATATTGCTGGAATATTGCTTGAAGCGGGGGCAAAACATACTCGCTCATTTTCATCTTTTTTACAAAACAAAAATGGCGTGTTCTGTCAATAATATCGGGTGTGTTTTTATCACTGAGTCTAAATATAATACCCATCTGACACAATCATTTCGAAATATGAGGATTTGTAGTAAATCAGAGAATAAGCGTCGAGAATATGTATGCATATATATTGAATTTGAAATTGCGAAATTTTTGTAAATACCTGGGAGAGGGCATTCTAAGTTGGAAGAACTTGTCCCCCAATCCCGTTCACTCCTTGTGAATAAATATGTTTAAATCATAAGCGTCGACCAAGTCAGTTTGTCACGTACCATCAAACATGGGTGTATACTTTCTTTGGTCTGGCAATAGATAATAAGGTGAGGTAGTAAGGGTGAAATGCGGTATAAAGTCGCGTTAAAAATTATTGCACTTATATAGCAACGTGCATGCACGTGTGTGTGCGCGTGTGTGGTTGCCTATACTAGTCCGGACTAATGCTGATTTTATAGTGCTAGCCCACTGAGATACCATGCCGCAGTTTAACATGAATACAGACACAGTATACTGACTCAGAGCCGACCAGTCCTTGTTTTTGCTCCTTAATGCAGACAGGGTAACAACAAGTACCATCTTTTAACGTATCTTGGTATGACGGGGCCGGGGATCGAACCCCCGACCTTCGGCTCTCCGGGAGGACGCTTTACCACTAGACCACGGAGGCGGTAGTTTAGTCAGGACACAGATACACACATAAAATGGAATTTCTGTGTTTGGGTGTAAAGAGTGGATCGGTTTACAGGGAATTTAAAGTAGTTTTGAGGAAACGTGTCCAACTCGGCGTGAGACGTTTACCTGTCCGGGATCAATCCGCGGAAGAATATAATCCCTTAGTTTCAATACAGCGCACCTGGCACTGGTGTTTTGGACGTCAACGTCAGGTACTTCTAAACCGCGTGGAGGCGTCCCCAATGTTTGTATTCAATGGAATGGCTAGCCAATTTAATAAGCACTGTCAATACCGCTATACCGTCGAAACATAGCGACCTCGAGTATATGACATTCAATCTCAATTACAAGTATATGTGACCACAGACATTGATCACTGCAGGGAAACAGCTATAAAGTGAGCTATCCTCCACGACCTGGCGTTCATTTTACACGTTGTAAATTGTGATTAGTGACAAACATGTACTGATGGAAATCATCAACTAATAGATTGATATAAATCATAACATTTGAATTTACCAACAAAAAATAAGAAGAAGTTTATTCATGAATGAAGGCCACATGGCCCAGAGTTCATTTACAAGAATAATTTATACTATGCACATGCACAAATTTTCTTACAACAAATGTAACAAACGTTAATCTTTTTGGCACTTGTATTTATATAGGTAAATATATTTATAAATATATGGGCAGGTATTTAATAACACAATCATTTCTGGCAGAAAGAAGACTGATAAATTTTGGGACAGATGGTTGCACATGGTAACATTTTGGAATTAAATTTTCTCTACTACTTTTATAAAAAGGATAAATTAACAAAAAATGGTATTCATTTTCTATTTCATAGCGGTTACATTTCATACATAAATTAGACGATGACTGTGGTTGTATTAAATCGAGTTTTCTGTACATTTAGACTATGGCTTAAACAACGGAATTTACATAAAGCTCTAAGAAGATCTCTTTCACATGCTTAAGTAGACAGATATTTTTCTGGTTCGAGTAATGATTTAGAAGATGAATAAACATCAAGGAAAGAAGAATTGGTGATTTTGTAATGCCAGTTTTGGAATTCTATATCTTTACATCGTTGTTTGAATATAACCATGAAGCATTTCATATCGCCGCAATCCTGAGACAACCACACATATGAAAACCCAGTTTGAAACAATAATCGTCTTATAGAAGAAACCCAGTTAGTTTGACCATTTTCGTCAAATGCTTTTAACATCTGGTAACAGGCATATGGATATCTTGTTTCATGTAATCTAAGCAGTCGACACCAGTACTTAATACAACGACTGTAATAGTGTACGCGTAGTGATGCTCTTCCAAGCTCACCTAGAATTGCATTTGTTTACTGACAAAAAGTCATTTGCTGGAGTGCCAAATATATTCATCCATGCTCACAATGATTAAACAAACACATGGTAGACAATGAAATTTGTCAGCCAAACCAAACCTTTCATCAAACTTTAAAAAATCGAAATACCAGCAACTTGAGATTTCTCCAATCAAATTAGCTTCATATAGAGGTATTGAATACTTAATAAAACGACCAAACGAAGCGTCGGAGGGCGCAATGATACACGTCAACACTAAATGGAACAGCTAGTGACTAATGAGTAAACCAATCTACCAAGGTGCAATGGCAACTAGGTGAACCTTTTCAAACACATATTTTCAGTTTTAGTGAGGGGTGGTTGGTGTATGTGTATAAGTCTAATAGTACGTCAACAAAGTGATCTTCAGCCATGTAGGCGTTTTCTGATGTGTTGTTCTGGATAGTTAGCAACATAATATTGCTAAGTGCTGCGTTAAACATCAGTGAGTGAGTATGGTTTTACGCCGCTTTTAGCAATATTCCAGCAACATCCCGGCGGGGGACACCAGAAATGGGCTTCTCACATTGTACCCATGTCGGGAATCGAACCCGGGTCTTCAGCGTGACGAGCGAACGCTTTAACCACTAGGCTACCTGACCGCCCTCCGCGTTAAACATCAACCAAATGAGCAAAAATGAAAGAAACCTTTGACACACACACACACACACACACACACACACACACACACACACACACACACACACACACACACACACGCCTACCCAAGGGCCGCAACTCTGCACAGCGAATCGCGGCACCTTAGACGATTGGGCAACCCGTGCCCCCTACACCGATTGATAGGGCGATGGGGTAGCCTAGTGGGTAAAGCGTTCGCTCGTCAGGTCGATTTTTTTACATGGGTACAACCCTTGAAGCCCTTTTCTCCGACTTCTCCCTAACGCACAAAAGTAGCTTACCTGTCCAGGATCAAAGCGCGGAAGAATATAATCCCTTGGTTTCAAAGCCGCGCACGTGGCAGTGGCGTTGAGGACGTCGACGTCGGGTACTTCTAAACCGCTATGGAGACAGTAACGCGTGCTGGTTTGGCACAACATCTTCGTTGTCAACACACACATCACCACCAGCAACAACGTCGTCATGGCGAGTACCAGATGCAGTGGAAGTAAATATAACCAACCTGCGTTAAGAGAAAATAACCAATGATACAAAATTCAACAATAATCAATCACTCAATGTCAGTGGACGTCAGATGTGGTTGGGCTGACTCTGCCCAATGAAATGACGCTGAACTACAGTTCCTGAAGTTGAGATATGGACACACATATAACACGGATACACATAAGACACGATATATATATATATATATATATATATATATATATATATATATATATATATATATATATCCCGGTTAGACCGATACATTTGTGTCCATTTAACACCGACGGATGAAATTAAACCGTTTTATATATACACAGATGACAGTAATGTCTTATGTGGGTGTATTAAATGTTCACGAATGTATGAGCTGATTTGACTTCTCGCTTGTTATTGCCATTGATTCCCCGTTATGCTGTTAAAGTTGTACATTAGTCCCATCCTGTGTAAACATGTCTGTCTGAATATTTATAAAAATAAAATTAAAGCGACAAACCCCTTTCCACACTCATAAGAAATATCTGCCAATAGAAGAGTCGATTGTACCATTCCGACTATATCATGAGCATGTGTTTTTGAATCACTATCAAATAGTGATGATACCAGGTGTTCGCGAAAAGGTGAGTATGGTTTAACGCCACTTTTAGCAATAATCCAGCAATTTCACGGCGGGGGACACCAGAAATGGGCTTCACACATTGTACCCATGCCTTGAATCGAACCCGGGTCTTCGGCGTGACGAGAAAACGCTTTAACCACTAGGCTACCCGACTGCCCCCGCTAAAAGGTAAGCGTATCCTGCCCCACTGGTGGCACCCGTCACAAACACATGAGAAGGCAAGTCAATTGTTCACCTAAAAAACCCATGAACATGTGGTACAAGTCAAAATAAGGAAATGCATCGGACATCATTTTTGTCACTGGTGCGTCAAATTTGGAAATGTCTTCCACATGTCCATTGTAAACCATTTTGAATGCTTTACCGAGGCCTTGAATGTTGTAAGCTTGATAATACAGTTTCTGAGCATAAGTCGTATGACGCTTTTTGAAATCTTGGTAGAAAGAGCATGCTCGATTGTACCTCAAAAGTTGACACCAAGGGCTGGAGCAGGGGGAATATCGCTCGACATAAAGGGAAAGTGGACTATTGGCAATTTGAAGTCATCCTTCCTGTCATACAGTTTTTTGGAGAGTGATTTGTCACTCTAAATCTTTATGCATAGATCTAAATATGAAACAGATGAGGCGGTCTCACTGGTCTCCTTTATTTCTAGTTCAGGTGGGTAAATCAGTGGAAGGGAATTGGCTATTTGATTGGTATTGAACGATATCTGATCATCGATATACCCGAAGCGTAAGTTAAACTTCTTGGCCAAATTACTGGCCTCATTTATGTCTAGTTGGGTAAATCAGTGGAAGGGAATTGGCTATTTGATGAATTTGAACGAAACCAAGCTAACACTGATGGTTAGACTAAATCTTCCCAGTAACCTATGCTGGTCAAAAGAGCGACGACGTTGATCGGGTGGTCAGGCTCAGTGACTTGGTGGATTGTATGGCATCGTACCATTTATATAGATCGATGCGCATAATGTCAATCAATTATTTTACTAACCGCCGTCATATAGCTGGAAGGTGGCCGAGTGCGGCGTTCAACAACAAACAACCATTTGAGAAACGGGCTAGGAACATCCCAAAGACGTTGTTACATTGTGTGAGTAACATTACTGTGCGGAATCCTTGAAATATTTATGTACTATTTTCAGACGATATGACACCAATATATAGTACAGTAATCGGTCTAAAGAAGACTTAACAAATTTGCTTTGTATTATCATAAATGGCATCTCAAGGTCAACGTTGATAAAAAATAAGGTAATTTTGCTTTCGGAAAAACTGGCAGGCTAAGAAAACAGAGAAATAATTCAAAAAGCTAACAAATATCATCTTGCCCACTTTTCAAATAGCGGGTCATGTTACGTAACCAGGAAATATTTTCGGAGCAAGCGCTTAAAGTTATGAATATTGTTTGATCCTACCAAGCAAAATTTTCCAAAACATGTTTTACTGCAAATATTTGATATTATAATACTTCCAGTAATGAACTAAGTTGCAGAAGTCTGGGGATTTTATCCATCCTCCGACGTTTCACGTGTTTATGATAACTTTTATTAAATATATACTTCATCGTGGCAGAACTACACCTTATGTGGTTGCAAGGGTGAACTAGGCGGGTGCTCTCTTTGAGTCAGTGTATATATATAGTCCAGATATTCGTGCTAGTCAAAACTCCAACCCACTTTAGCAGAACGGGGTTCCGATTGTTGGGCAATGCGTGTTTTCGGCTGTCAATGGTTAACCAATGGTTTGAAAATATTAAACTTTTCCCTAAACTTGAATTGTATAAATTAATTAAGTTTGAAAATTGTTTTGAAGTGTACTTATCTGCAGTGACTATACCTGCGTGCAGAATAGCATTAGCTTAATTGCGATGTTCTGGCTGTTCTTATGATTGAAAAGGGCAGAAATTTTGGTGTACCAAGAAATGCGCGTCTTTGTCCATTATGTGTAAAACCAGTATTTGAAGCATCATCTTTGTCTCGTATGTCCATCTTATCATGACTTGAGATGTAACATTCTGCCAGCGTATTTCTGTAAGTTTCCTACTCTATCTAAATTCCAACAGTTGCTTTCGTCACTCAGTATATTTGTCATATAATGTTCAGCCAAATATGTTTTCTTTGGTTTGAAAAAATCGTTGTAAACTCTTGTTTCAAGATGCCTCTGTGCAATTGTACGGCGCTCCACACGTTGAGTGAGTATGGTTTTACGCCGCTTTTAGCAATATTGCAGCAACACACGGCGGGGGACACCAGAAATGGGCTTCACACATTGTACCCATGTCGGGAATCGAACCCGGGTCTTCGGCGTGACGAGCGAACGCTTTAACCACAAGGCTACCCGACCGCCCCTCCACACGTTGAATCTTATTATGCCATTGTAGTGTGGAATGGGCCGGTGGCCCTTTACTGAAATATTCTCATTCAGTTGTGCGAGTGGTGAGTGCTCCCGGTAGGGCACCACAAGCCTACTACCCTTTATCGAGCATCTGATGCCACGTATGTGCAGTGATCCTTTTATAGACTTTTCATCCCTATTTTGCCTTTTACTCCAAAAGGAGTCCATTTCGACAGACAACTGAAACTGTCTATGGTCTGGGCCCACTTGCACAAAGCGACCTTAGCGCTAATATGATCGTAATATAGGCTTACGGTAGTCCAAGCGCTAAGATCGCTTTGTGCAAGTGGGCCCAGGTGTTGACGTTTTATATTTACAAACATAAAGAATTCGTAATCCATAAAAGAGTCGTATCTCGATGTTTGTCAAGCTTCTTAGGACTTCAAATATAACACAGTGTCCAGTAAGAATAGATAGGTAAATCTGTATTCCACGATCTATTTATTTAAGAAATAAACGACGAGTGGTCGTTATTTATCGTACAGTAAAACACTGCCGGGAGAATAAACCATGAGGGGCGCGGCCCCGAGTGGTTTATTCTCCCTGAAGTGTTTTATTGTATTTTATTATGTGAGATATCAACATTATGTACAGCCTCTTTAAGGATGATGATTGACTCCCTCAATAGAATCCGACCTCGAGAATGTCGGACAAGTACATCTTATGCACAGTTGGATATTTCCCGCATATTCTGAAAATCCTAATGTCGGTTACCTGTACCTTTTCTCCCAATTCCGATTGTAAGATCTTTCCCGCTTTTGGATGCGATCGTTCGGCTATCGCGTTTATCTGCGTTGCCCAGCTACATATATGGGGAACAGCTTACTGAAAAAAACCAGTCCCCTCTTAAAGATAACGTCTTTCAATATACGATTTCATCAAGTTGCGAGTGCATGTTCGAATCTCCAGAAATGATGTCATGATAGAACAATGTTTTATCGTGAAATATCCCACACTTCTTCCTTCATTGTTCTTTGAGATTTATCGCGTAGATGTCTTATATTTAAGCATATGACACATTCACGCATGTGCCTCAACATGACAAATACACGAAACAAAATACGAATTTAAAAATTGATATTACGATAAGCTTCCTTCTTAGCAATTTGCTAAAAACAAATATCATAATAAAATGCCGCATGTTCAACACATACCCTTGCAGAGCACCTCTCCCTTGAGTTCTACACGTCTAAAACAAAACAAGTTTTACAACGATTTGATTGAGATCTCTTACTTACTGCTATATCCTTGTGAAATCAAAGCCAAACGCTGGAGGGCCGTATAATGTCCACCACGCAAGAAGGGTAAAGACGATACACTCAAAACCCCGTGTGCAGTTGCTTGTGGTATAATATTCACTGTGGCATATTGCTTTCAGTACTATTTCACCATCTGTTGTAAGGGAAAAGGTCAATATCATAGTGTTTATTATTAACATGAAGTGCACATTCTTACAGATTGATGTTCGAGTGTATGTGTGTGTGTGTGTGTGTGTGTGTGGGGGGGGGGGGGGGGGAGAGAGAAGTAGAGCTTTACACCGTAAGATCGCAGAATCGACAATAAGATGCCATAACAAGAAATGGATAGCTACCAAGAAGGGAAATATATTGGTTAATGCTTAAGCACGCAAGGTTGCATCTAGCTACCGATAGGGCAGGACAGGCTTATCCTTTTCGCCCAAATCTGGTGTTATCGCTGAATATAATTTTCACCGCAAGTTTTTTTCCTTTGCGCCCTATGTCGTGTGTTCCGATTGTTATATACTCTTCAAAAAAAGAAACTTGACACTGACTTTCAAAATGTAATTTAATGCGATTGTTTCAAAATAGGACACAGAAACCATAATTGAAACACTGTTTGAAGATCAATGTACACAATGTTCAAAACATTAATCGTGTCACCTAGACGGACACACGTACACGATACAGTTAATGTCACAGGGATACAGAAAATGTCAGTATCGGTTGTGCCCACCACGTGCATCTATCACCACTTGACACCGACGACCCATAGATGCAATCAAGTTGTCAATAACACGCTGTTGGATGTGCTGCCATTCATGCTGAAGTGCATCAAGAAGCGCCGGAAGTGTTTGGGGCGGTGTATTCCTTCTGCGAACGCGTCGATCCAACTCGTCCCACAGATGCTCAATCGGGGACAAATCTGGTGACCGGGCTGGCCAAGGTAATGTCTGGATGTTGTTGTGCTGTAAGAAGTCCTGACAAACAAGTGCAATATGCGGTCGAGCGTTGTCCTGATGGAACTGTCCGCCATGAACGTTGACGTGAGGAAGAACGTAAGGCTGTAGGATCATGTCACGGTAACGCACACCTGTCAATGCACCTGCCACATGCACGAGAGGCGTCCTACCACCGTGATGAATTCCGGCACATACCATGACACTCCCGCCGCCAAATGGAACAACCTGCAGCACACAGTTGGGGGCGTAACGTTCACCCCGACGTCTGTAGACACGTGCGCTCCCAAAGCAGACGGTCCGCCAGATGACGTGGGGTCAATACATGACGTCGAGCCTCCCTCCGTACCGTTTGATCTGATATTCTTCGTACCCCAGGGATCTGTGTGGTTGTAGACGTAGCTGTGGTAGTGCGGTCTCGGAGGTGTCGCAGCCGGATGTATCGATCTTGTGCTTGGGTTGTCACCTTTGGTCTTCCTGACCTTGGTCTGTCGTCAACTCTGTTAGTGTTGTTGTATCGGGTCCACAGTGCGGAGATTGTCTGTCTGGATACGCCAAAGTGCCTGGCCACTTCTGGCTGTGTTGCTCCAGCTTGTAATCTCCTAATGGCGTTGTTCCGTTGACCTGCATTCAGTCTTGGCATTCTGTCACCGCCTCTACTGCCGTAATAAGGACTGTATGAACAGCCGTTGATGTGGATTTTTATACCCATTCAGCAGGGGGGCCTGCATGCCTAAATGCAGGATCCTGTGCTGCACGTTTTTTACAGGCGGTTGCGTTTAGATGAAGCTGTAAAATTGATCCCCAAACGCTACCTTTATGTGCTTTGCATGTGTTTTCGCGAATTATAGACACATCATCTTTCTGTTTGACTTATTTGGTTCTCATTTAATGTAATTATTTTAGATATTTGGCAAAAAGTGGTTTTACATCTATGTCAAGTTTCCTTTTTTGAAGAGTATATTTACAACAAACTCCTCAGAAAAAGATTCATAGGAGTGAGTGAGTGAGTTGGGTTTATCGCTGCTTTTAACATTATTACAGTTATATCGTGGCCTGTCAGCTTAATGTGGGAGGAAAGCCCAAAGTGATGCAGGTCTCAGACATTTACCACTTCGGTGAAACCCACGAGCATGGGTATGGTGCAGACAAACCTAGAAACATAATCGGGGCGAACCGGGATTCGAACCCACAACCATAGGTTTCTGGCGTGCCCAAGGGACGCAACTCTGCACAGCGAATCGCGGCGCCTTAGAAGACTGGACCACCCGTGCGCCCAGGTTCATAGGAACGTAACTCTAATGTATGTGGTAGTTTAACACAAGGGCACATTTACCTATGCTTGAATCTGGATGATATGACATGGACGTTGGTGCAACAAATACTCGACTATGTTGTAACGATTTTGTATCGCTTTTATGGAAATATAATCCCCAATTCTACTATACAGTGAACGTTTGTGCCACTTTTGGGTAATTAGGTGCATATATTTCTGTTTGATGAGTTTAAATTTGCGTCCACAAAATGTTTTCTATGCTTAACTGCCGGACTTAAGAAAGTATACATCCATGTTTGAAGGTGGCTAACAATGAAAGAAATAAGAACTGATTATTCGATGGTGATGTGTTTAATAAGGGTAACAGGCGAGATCGCATGCATCATATCAATATCTCACAACAGGTGCACGTGACGTCACAAGAAACAGAGACTATTGTGTTTATTGAAAAGATATTCGTGCTTCAGAATTGTGAGTATCGATGTAAGGTTTTGATGCAGATCAGTAAGGAGAGCGTGTTCTTTTTTTCTTGCTGTTTCCCAGTCATGTTAAATATCATGTCCGATGCCCCCAATGGTGACATCTAACTTTAAATAAATCCTTTCATGTTTTCAGAAATGTATACCCTTGTTGAAATCAGTATATTGGCACAAACACTTCAATCGGAAGGCCATATTCCCATGTCATTGATATGGTGAGGTGAGGTGAGGTGAAATGGGGTTTAACGTCAACTCCAAGATTATTTCACTTATATAGCGACGTGCATGCACGTGTATGTATGTGTGTGGCTGCTTGTACTAGTCCGGACTGATGCCGATTTATAGTGCTAGCTCACTGAGATTCCATGCCGCAGTTTAACATGAATACCCCACTCAGACACAGTATACTGACTCCGAGCCGTCCGGTCCTTGTTTTAGCCCCTTAATGCCGAGCGCCAGACAGGGTAACAACAAGTACCCTCTTTTAACGTCTTTTGGTATGACGCGGTCGGGGATCGAACCCCGGACCTTCCGCTCTCCGGGCGGACGCTCTACCACTAGACCACGGAGCAGTTCATTGATATGGCAATAAACGTAGAGTTAACATCTTCGTACTAACGAGGAACTATCCAAGAACTGTTTTGGTGTCAGCATGATCCTACTATAGACCATAAACAAAGAAAGAGCCATTGTATGTGTTAGTGTTTAGGCCAGTTCCCATGCCAATGTTCTAGACTCACATCACATCGGTTGTGGTCACAGAATAGGCAAATTGTTCCAAGACTAAAGCAGGTTCTATGTTTCAGATGGTCAACAGGGCTGTTGAAGAATCCGAAGAGTCTTCCTGTAGCTTTCGCATATTCATCCACTCCAAGGTCATTTCGTGTCTGAGGGGTTTCATGGAGACTTCATGTTCTGGAAAACTGAAGGATCTTGGAGTATTCTTCCTGTAGCTTTCATATATTCATCCACTCCAAGGTCATTTCGTGTCTGAGGTGTTTCATGGCTACTTCCTGTTCTTGAAGACTGAAGGATCTTGGAGTATTCTTCCTGTAGCTTTCATGTATCCATCCACTCCAAGGTCATTTCGTGTCTGAGGGGTTTCATTGAGACTTCCTGTTCTTGAATACTGAAGGATCTTGGAGTATTCTACCTGTAGCTTTCATGTATTCATCCACTCCAAGGTCATTTCGTGTCTGAGGGGTTTCATTGAGACTTCCTGTTCTTGAATACTGAAGGATCTTGGAGTATTCTTCCTGTAGCTTTCATGTATTCATCCACTCCAAGGTCATCGCGTGTCTGAGGTGTTTCATGGAGACTTCCTGTTCTTGAATACTGAAGGATCTTGGAGTATTCTTCCTGTAGCTTTCATGTATTCATCCACTCCAAGGTCATCGCGTGTCTGAGGTGTTTCATGGAGACTTCCTGTTCTTGAATACTGAAGGATCTTGGAGTATTCTTCCTGTAGCTTTCATGTATTCATCCACTCCAAGGTCATCGCGTGTCTGAGGTGTTTCATGGAGACTTCCTGTTCTTGAATACTGAAGGATCTTGGAGTATTCTTCCTGTAGCTTTCATGTATTCATCCACTCCAAGGTCATCTCGTGTCTGAGGGGTTTCATGGCTACTTCCTGTTCTTGAATACTGAAGGATCTTGGAGTATTCTTCCTGTAGCTTTCATGTATTCATCCACTCCAAGGTCATCGCGTGTCTGAGGTGTTTCATGGCTACTTCCTGTTCTTGAATACTGAAGGATCTTGGAGTATTCTTCCTGTAGCTTTCATGTATTCATCCACTCCAAGGTCATTTCGTGTCTGAGGTGTTTCATGGCTACTTCCTGTTCTTGAATACTGAAGGATCTTGGAGTATTCTACCTGTAGCTTTCATGTATCCATCCACTCCAAGGTCATCGCGTGTCTGAGGTGTTTCATGGAGACTTCCTGTTCTTGAATACTGAAGGATCTTGGAGTATTCTTCCTGTAGCTTTCATGTATTCATCCACTCCAAGGTCATTTCGTGTCTGAGGTGTTTCATGGCTACTTCCTGTTCTTGAATACTGAAGGATCTTGGAGTATTCTTCCTGTAGCTTTCATGTATCCATCCACTCCAAGGTCATCTCGTGTCTGAGGTGTTTCATGGAGACTTCCTGTTCTTGAATACTGAAGGATCTTGGAGTATTCTTCCTGTAGCTTTCATGTATCCATCCACTCCAAGGTCATCTCGTGTCTGAGGTGTTTCATGGAGACTTCCTGTTCTTGAATACTGAAGGATCTTGGAGTATTCTACCTGTAGCTTTCATGTATCCATCCACTCCAAGGTCATCGCGTGTCTGAGGTGTTTCATGGAGACTTCCTGTTCTTGAATACTGAAGGATCTTGGAGTATTCTTCCTGTAGCTTTCATGTATTCATCC